TTCTATCCACTAAATCCTTATCAGATCGTAATAGTTGGTACGTGGTGGGGGTTCTTTTATATACGATTCTTTTGTTCTGGGCCTTTCCTATNTGCACGGTGAGACAGTTTCGCTATTAATTAAGAGGTCTGGATCTGAACTCCGTTTTAATTTCTGTATTATTTCCTGGATAGTTTGTGTCAATAATTTAGTCTCTGTCACTTACTTAGGCTCTGTTGATTCAGATGTGTCTGTAATAAGAGAAATTGAAGCTGAATGTGTTGCTCTGAAACATTATTTTACAGAAAAATCTGATTTGAAACTTTGTATTCTTCAGTTTTGTAGTAATTGTATTTGTTATAAAATGCAACTTACTATTACGTCTTGTTGTTAAAATGCAAAATATCCTTCCCAACGCATACTGTTTTGAGTAATTTCAGAATTTTTAGCGTAGTAAACATTGTAGCTGCCAAAATGACGTACGTTCACCTTCGGATAGAATTTAGTTACTTACCCTTTTCTTGATAAACATTGACAGGAAATTTATTACAGCATTATATTGTATTATTACTGTTAAAACTTTAATAAAATGAACAGTCTAAGCAGTTAAATATTAATTATTTATTGAAATATAACTGGTATTTAATGTAGTATATTTCTAGCATTAACATTTGATGTTAGTTAATAATTAGGTTCATAATTTTATTCCTTAGAGGAAGTTAGTTGAATTACAAGCATTTTCCTAAATAGCACCATTGACGTAAGGCTCTGACAAATACTGAATTGATTCTTGCCGTAAACATTAAGTAGAGACTCCATGAATCACCGAATGTACAATTTTGCATTGCAAATGATGTTATCGCCAAATTATGTAACTTTCAAATGCTTAAAGCTTGTGCGTAGATCTCGCTACTGTATATAATTTGCATTACTTGACATACTTTGGTTCGCTGCCAGTTTTGGAGGAAAACAAATTATAGTAGTAAATTGAATTTTGACTGTAGATCAAACGTGAAGAAAGGTGCAATATAACTAAATTACAAAATAATAATACCGTCCCATTACCATAGCAAGTATTTATAATGGTGTGCATTGAATTAAAATCTAATTTGGTGTGCAATTTGTGAAAAGATGAAGACTTTATCAAATTTTTTTTGTTTTCTAGCAGTTGTATTTACACCCAAGGATAGAGAGTTAGAAGTTAACCAATAAGCATTCACATACTAAAAGTAAAGTGGTAATTAGTTAACTTCTGACTCTAACTCTAGATCTTTTGTTACAAATATGGTCATGAATTTTAAAAATCTGATCAGATGTAAAAATAATGCAAGAAAATTATAGAAAAAGTTCAAAAAGTTACGTATAAGGCAATATTTGTGTCTTCAGTACAGTGGTACCTCAGGATATGAATGCCTGAATGCCCCAGCATACAAAATTTTTAGGATACAACATGAAATTCGAACATAATTTCGCTCCACAATACGAACGAAAACTCACCATGCGACGTTACATTAGTTTGCAGCGCCATTTTTTATTCCCTTCTGTTCGTCGGTCTCAGTCCGCGTATTTGCTTTGTCGTGGAAGGATCTTGCTCAATAAAGGAGATCTTGAGGTATTATCAGAAAGTGACTGATTTTATTGAAAAGAAACATCCCGAAAAGGTTCACACTGGCTGTATTATTGCTCGGAGTAATGACATTTGCCTATGTCATTTTAGAAACATTTTAAAAAGTAGGCAAAGCCAAACCTGTTTGGATAGATATTTTACCAAGCAACCTCTATCCAGTGAAAGTGATGGTGGAAGTGAAGGAAAGAAAGTAAAAAGCAGTGAATAAAAATTAAAAAATATATATATATATAAAACAACACTAATTTTTTTTTTATCTTTTCTAAGTTGTTATTACATTATGTTATGTAAATTAAGTTTTAGTATCATTTCCCTTCTCCCTCTCCTCTGCCACCAGTTTACACCTCCACCATCGTCTATTCTCAAAGATAAAGTGCAAGTAAAACTACATTTTTTTTATCAATTATTATTCTATTATGGTTATTTATACATTTACAATTACAAAATGCATTTTTCAGTGTTTTCCTTACTATAGTTATTTTTTTAATGTACTACTTAGCTTTAATTTGAGTGTGTTTTTTGTGTTGGAACAAATTATTTGGTTTTACATGTAATCACATGGAGAAAAATGATTCACCTTACGACATTTTCATGATAGGATCTCAGTTTCGGAACGGATTAATTTTGTATCCCAAGGTACCACTGTACTACATTTTTTTAATTAATAAAGAGCAACTGAAAAGACCGATTCAGAATTCAGAACCATTATATAAAACTAGTTATTGAAATGCATAAAGATTTAAAATTGCCACACCGAAATTGATTTGTTAAATGTATAATTATTGATTGACTAGTGAACACAAGACTGTGTTATTAATTAAACACTTGGCATTTTCCTCTGTATAATTATTGAGTTGTAGTTTGTTTGTTAAGTTACGGCAATGCAACACTCGGGCAATTTACCTAGAGGAATGCCTTCCAGGAGGACTTTTTAAGGGTATTCCCCCTATTCGGGTGTTACAGACAGAAATCCTGGAAAACTTTGATGGCTAGCACGTCCTGGCAAGACACGAACCCACGATTGATCTCCCAGTGTTCAGGGAACTGAACCGCTTGGTCACTGGTGGGCCGTATAATTATTGAGAACTGTTTTGAATCACTTAACCAACCATGTATACAACGGAAGTTCCATAAGATTATAATGAAGCCAAAATTCATAGCCAGCCATATCTCATCAATGTTCAGATACATAAACACTTATCGCATCTCAGTTGTGTTGAATATAGCCATACAAATAGTAGACTATATCACATAAGGTTAAGTATCCCCATCATTAAGTAGCACACACCCAATATCAGTTTCAAAAGCACATGATGGGTCGATCGGTGGTCAGCCCATTGTGTGCTCAGTTGTATCTTCAAAAGACACAAAATAATGGTCTCTTTTAGTACTCATGGGGCTGAAAGAGTTATAGAAAAACTTAAATGCAATTCTCTGTATTAATACTTAACTTCACATACAGTTTGTGATTAAATTGTTGTTATCTTTACTTACACAAATAAATTTTTTTTAGATATTTAATTGCTAATTTAGAAGCATTCATCTTTTATGGAGAAATCAAATTTTATTTTACTATTAGCCTTGCAGCACTTCGTTTATTTATGGACGCTCAATTTTACTTAAATTTTGCTGTCGTGTTTACAAAATCGGGTGGAGTCGTGCTTGCATAATTAAACAGGTAGTTCATATAATGTTTCATTTACTATCGCTTGTCCATTTATTTTTATTTACAATTATCGTTCATATTCGTCTTCCGTACAACTTCTGTTCATAATATTTAAACTGTTCTTTATTTGAGTCATCAATAAATTTATTTGAAGCTGAATATTATCTGCAAATCAAATTAAAATGTCAATAAGGCCTCTTCCATTGGTGTCTCTTCTCTCACTTTTTCTTATGACGCTTAGATTTTATTTGAAGGAGATTGTCTTTGCTGTCTTCCGTCTCAGAATTGCTAGTTTTACCTATCAAATACTGGTTCCAATTTTAAAATATTCAGAACGTTTTTTTGTGACAAACTATCCTATAAAACTTTATGGGTAATTAAGTAAATCCTCCATCGGACGATAACAGAAACTAGTAAATAGTTCATTAATGTTACAGGAATGATGCCAATATTCTAGGACTATTTTACACGCTTAGTTGATTCATTATGCCATGTATTTTGGCATAGCTTAGCGTTCTTCATTTTGTGCCAAATCTATTAATCCGACTATCTAATTTGTCCAGGTTAATATAAAGTGATTGATCTTATTTCTATGTATTGTTATTTTATTGTTAACAAATTAAGATTGATTAAAAGTATTTACTGTAACTATTATCATACTTTTGCTAAATCTAAGAGTTGTATAAAGCACCGGACCAAATATCCGGCTTACAGAAATCTGGTATTACCAGAAAACCAGCTAGATCTGAATTTGGAGGGTTACAGTTTGCTGCACGGCTGCTTTGTTTTGGTTTCCATGGTATACGCATCGCACGACACTGGTTCCTGCACAACTGCCAATTTATGCTGCATTAAATACAATTTCATTCTTTACTTTACATTAATTTATATTTTAAATTGTGTGATTGTTTTTCTGAGTGTTGTATTTAAATATATATAAATAAAAAGATCTCGTATTTTATAAGCTATAATCATATTCAATCGTAAAAATCTTTTTAAATTGGTAAACAATAATGTGTATCAGTTAAGATTATAATTTAATTTTTCAAATTTAATTATCATCAAAATAAACTATCAAGACTTTCGTTTGTTTAAGTGCAAAAATTTTAATTTAAAATCGATTTGCTACACAGTTTACATTAAACAATAAATCATTCTTATCACTTTGACAATGAATAGTTTAAATCTCATTTAGTAATTAATCTTATCATTGTCTGCGCAATGTTTATATTACCTTGTGTTTTTGTTCGTCGGCCGTTTTATAGAATTCTATTTGTTGACAAAGTGGAAAGAAAACAGCAAGAAACTAATGAAAATTATTTTGTCGATGGAGTTAGAATCTAATTGAAAATATAAACTTCGAGATATCCTCATAAATTTAAGTTCTTTTGTAATTAACTTTAATTTCCGTATAATTTTCCTATCTTTCAGTTATGTTTATAATAAATGCTGGAAATGTCAATCAGAACTTTAAATTATAAGAAAATTATGCTTCTCGGAGTGGAGATTATCATTATAATTGGATAAGCTGGTTATGAATGAGTTTGTAGACTTAAAACTGCTCTGAGTTTTGAGATTTTCATTCCAAGGAAGCTTTGTTTTCTTATAATTTTATGTTTATAATAGTTTAAAAATGATAAGAATACTAATAATTTTTTTATTTTACGTAAATATTAAAATTAACCAAAATTTCATGAGCTTATTTTCATTTATTTTATTTTTTTCTAGTCTTTTCAAGGCAGTCAAGGAAGAGCATACTTATTTAATTCTGTGTAAGTTATGGCATTTATATATATATTATTTTTTAAGTATTTTTCTTAATTCTAAACTCGCATTTTATACATAATTATATTAATACAGTTGAAATTGTTAAATTAAAATCAAGTAAATACACTACACAAATTAATAACTTGTAGTTTGTTGTTTAGCATAGACATATTGTTTATTCTCATCCACTCATAACATGAATACAATTTTTTCCATATTAAAGACTGAATTTTTAAGAAATTCTACATAAAATCACAGATTTATATTACCTTTTTTCTGTTGATTACGATTGCACTTTAATGTTTTTGCCCCACTACAAACAAACCTTGAATATCATAGAAGTAAATGCCAAGTAGTTGGCAAAATTGATGTGTCACTTGACAAATCCAGCCAAGTAATGTGAATCATCTTAAATATTGTTGCTATTATCAAAACTTGTGACAGTAAATATTTACTGATTTATATCAGTATAACTATTATAATTTAAAATAAAAGCATGGGAAATGCAATTAGCAAATTTAAAAACTTTCCTGTCGTGTTTTAAATATTTAATATTGTTACATTTGTAGTTGAGTATAGATAACGTTACCTGTCGAGTGAATGGTTCGAACTGTCGACCTTTGGAAGACAGCCTAATACTCTTCCAGCCGAGCCAACTGTCGTCTTAACATCTGCCAATGAATTTAAATTATTTATATGATGGCTATCTCAATCATTCAAATAATCTAAATCTCTTTATACAATCTCAGAAAATATCTGATAAGAAAAAACATTTATAAATTTGTATTTTTAAATCTAAAATATTGATCATCACAGCCAAAATAAATTCAATTGGTTTTGGAATTTTAAAAATAGATTCGGTTTATCATCTGTTAAACCTGAAATTGGATGGCTGCTCTTGAAGGTGGATACGTCACAATAATTAGAGTATTTTAAGGTAGTAGTCACTTCACAACCTACTAGGAAATAGTTTAATATATTTAAAACAAAAAACACTTGGGAGTAAACTTGAATATTTTACTTATTCCCATTATTCTTATATGAACGCTGTTAATAACAAGCCATAAAATTGAAATTATCTGTGGGTTTGTATATTTTCATACAGATTTCTACTGAAATTGTTATAGCAGAAAGCAGTTAATACTACAGGGTGTCCATAAAGTTATTGTGCAGTGATAAATTTGTAACAACACAAAAGTTATATTTATGGCATTGCATATAAGACCCATAAGTCATACGTCCCACATTTCCATTTTTCAATAGATGGCATCACTGCTCACAGAAATTCCAGTTTTGAATTACAGATTTTGGAACACTTATTTACTAATCACAGAATCTGGCTTGCTAGGTCATCAGACCTTGCTCCTATGGGAGACATTTCCAGAATTCACTGCAGGAAAAACTATAATACTGTACTTAAAACTTTCCACTGCACAATTACTTTTCGGACAGCCTGTGTATACTTATTCGTCTTTCATACTGAAAACTCAAGTCGCTAAAAATAATCATTGGTGGGGTTTTTACATTCCTTACCAGTTAGAATTTGGTGCAGCGAGTAAGCAAATATTGCTCCATATTGATACAGTTTATTATATACAATTAAACTTTGATAATTCTAGTAATATGATTGTATTTAAATGCGTGATTTAGATTTTAATTTATTTCCTGCATCTTGATATTAGTATTAATTTGTAGTTTACCTTGACAAATGTTAAAAAAAAAAATTATTCAAACTATAAACAGCATTTAAATTGATCTGATTATATAAATAACTATTTTATTTCATTATCCTGTTTAATTAATTACGGGAACTCCCCTAATTATGAATGTTTAACTTTCATCTTTAGCTATTGTTTGCAATTTTTATAAACTTTAACAATTAACGCTTCGAAAATGCATCCAAAATGTAATGGTAAACCTAGCGTGTTGTTCTGTTACCCCAGAAAGTAAACTTGACATTACAAAAGTGAGTGAGTTAAATGAGAAAATTGTGTTTGAAACATTTGATACGAAGTAGTAGCAAGAGGGTAAATAAGCGTAATGAATTCTATTTAGTATGTTGAAGGATCAAACGCTAACAATACTCACTTATTCTGTGTACAACTGTACTTTCTAGGTTAGTTTTTGACTTACGAATATTTCAACATACGACAAAAACTCAGGAACCTAACTTGTTCGTAAATAGGAGAGTACCTGTACATTTAAACAGTTAACTTTATGAAATAAATTCTGTATGAAATTTTAGTTACCTTCAGTAATTTGTAAAATTGAAATATAAGATTTATAATAAATGTTTTTGCAATTCTATAATTTTTTTCTACAGAGTAAATGTTGGATGCGGACCAGCGGAAGAACGCGTTCTACTTACAGGATTACATGCTGTTGCAGACATATATTGCGAATGTTGTAAAACCACTCTCGGCTGGAAATACGTAAGTTAAATGAAAACTTTTCGCAATAATTTAAAACAAAAACATGCAATTAAAAAATTAAAAGTTTACATTACACTTTGCTACATTAAACACCAAAAATTTTGATAGTTTTTAACAATTCTTATTTTAAAAAACTACACCACAAAAAAAAATGTTTATTAAATTAAAGAAAACTTGGGGACAAACTATCCTATAAAACTTTATGGGTAATTAAGTAAATCCTCCATCGGACGATAACAGAAACTAGTAAATAGTTCATTAATGTTACAGGAATGATGCCAATATTCTAGGACTATTTTACACGCTTAGTTGATTCCTTATGCCATGTATTTTGGCATAGCTTAGCGTTCTTCATTTTGTGCCAAATCTATTAATCCGACTATCTAATTTGTCCAGGTTAATATAAAGTGANATATAATATATACATTATATACTTTGGAATTTTAATAATTCGAGATCTTCAAACGGAACAACAATTTCAAAAAAAAAACAATGTACAGTAAGTACGGTACATAAATAATCCTATAATTTGGTAACACGGAGCGTACAAAGCACTTATCCGGCCGTATAAAATGACGTCATTTATGTGTAAGTAGTGTTCTTACACTCGTCTTCCGGTGGGTTTAATAACTTGTTCGGTTTCAAACCCGGCACTTGAGCCTCTCGGTGGACCCTGATCTGGCGCCTGACGTGAGATCTCTGCGACGATCCGGAATGAAGATGGGGTAGCCTGTTTTTCAACTCGACGGAATGAATCGTGGGCTGGAACTGTACAATGCTGGAGACGTGTTGAGGGTAACTCGAGCCCACCTTCTCTATGGACGGGGGGCCATTTTGACTAGTGTCGTCGGTTAGAGAAGATAGCCTGGGTTCGTAGAATCCGTTGCACAGGCTTTCGTTGGATAAAGTGGACGACGACAGAGACTGGCACTGGGATCTTCTGGAAAACTCCGAATCTCCGGAAAACTGCGAGAGTTGAATGGATGGAAGCCTTCCGCTCTCTGGAAGGGAGTAAGATCTGGCCTCCTGGTACGTTGGGGATGGACTCGACCGGGCGGAGGCACCATCCAGCGAAATTCTAGATTTCGGGAACGGAGGAAGAGTAACGGAAGGTAGCCTGGGCGTAGAAAACGACATCTTCTGGAAAAACGATCGTTTCTTGTTGTTGTTGTTCAGTTTGGAATTCAGTTCGGCCAGCTTCGAGCACTTAAGTTCCAGTTCGTATTCCAGTCGCGAAATGATTTTCTTCTGTTCTTCGATGGCGTTCTGGTGTTGCCATTCCTGCAGCTTCAACTTCCGGTCCAGCGCCGCTATTACGTTGTTGGCGTTTTCCAGTTCTTTGGACAGGAAATCGCTCCGCTGACAGCAATGAGCCACTTCCAGTTCCAGTTCGGAAATCCTCTTCCTTAAGGGCTCTGCAAGAAACAAGAAAACACTGCGTAAATCCGTTGCAAAGTGGTTATTTTTTTTTAATTTGCAAGAGTGAAACACTACCTTCATCCACCAACAAATCGCTCAGTTCTAACTTCCTCTGAAGATCTGAAAAATAAATACCAAGGCGTTATGCACGTCAAGAAGCTAACCTCCCCTTAAGAGGAAGGAAAACGTGCAACAACAAACCTTGCGTATTCCTTTGCAACCTTCCGATTTCCTGGTGCAATCCGATAAGCATTTGCGAGTGCTGCTCTTGAAGAAAAGCTATGTTGCTGTGGGCTGTCTGCAACTGGTCTTTCAGGCGATCCACCGTGCCGTCGACGGGAGCAACAAAAATCCAAGTGTCGCTTTTGTTACTATTCGTCTCCCTATATTGGGGGATATGATTGGCCATCCGGCAAGGCAGGTTGATGATTTCCGATTGTGCAACGGCCATTGTTTAGCTAAATTATATTACAAATGTCTTGCATATATAAGTGACGGAGTCTCCTGTTAATAAGAAAAACGGAAAAATTACATCGAAATGCATCACTCACCCTCGTCTAATCATTATTTTTTATACAAATCCAGGCCGACACCTCCGAGTGGAGGACACCGAACAATACTAGACGCGTATTACAGATAACAAAACACACTTGATCCCGTAATAAAGGTACAGTACGTAATAATAAATTGATTTTTTTTAATACAAACGAACACGTAATGGCGCCCATTTATTAAAATTGATTTTCTTTCTCAGTTTGGCAACGTCTCTTCCCAGAAGGGGTGCAATTACTCATATTAAAACGGCACCATTACTCACACAAATTGACCGAATTTTTTAATGGAAAATGGCCGCCGTGTTTATACACTTAACTCATTATAAACCTTCATTTCAACACTGTTTATTAACGGTTCTGTAAGGCCAAACCAGTGTTATTACACTATGTACTGTTAAACACACCTCCACACGGGAAGGAAGGGTATATAACACATTAAAAGGAACGTTTAAACCCGAATTATACCCCGTTTTTTAGATATTTACATCCTTAGAAGGCTCAAAAAGAAAAGGGTTGCTCAATATTTACTCGTGTAATGGGCTAATATGTGTTATGTGTAGCATGTTTGTGGATTTTTAAGGCCTTGGCACAGAAATGCGGGTTATAATTACATACCTCCTCTTCATCCTCCTCCTCCTCCTCCCCTCTCTCTCAGCTGGGAACTGAATTGATTAACGGCACGTGGAAGACACAAGGAGATAAATCTATAATAGTGTGGTCGCAGGTGTTCAATTCCATACCGAACGGTACAAAAGAACGTAGTATAATGGCCGAAAGAACCGTTTTTGCACCAACCTACGCGTTATATGGAGGCGTCACCGCTTAAAATACGCGTCGATTTAACCTACTTTCGTCGTGTTTGCGGATAAATGGCGTAAATACTCACTTTATATTCAAAAAACGTTCGATTTTATGCCTATTTCGCTAGGACTAAAATAAAGCTAGTGGTTGTTACTATAGCAACCGGTAAACAACTCGGATCCACCTACATTTTTTTTAATTAATTAAACGGAAATTTNAAAAAAAAGGCCAATACTACGTATTCGAGAAATCAATAAATGAATTTTTTGATAAATGACATCACCTGGCAATAACCATTAGCTTCATTAAGGTTAGCTTCATATATATATATTTTTTTTTTCTTTAACTTTTCTTCATTCTCCTTTGGCAAACAATATCTATGTTTTCTTAAGTAACCTTGCAGTTTTATTCATTAAGTAAAACTGTAATAATATTCTTAATTCAAAACCAGTTATTGTGAATCTATTTACAAATAGTTACTCTGATTATATCCTTCATCAGTTATCTTAAATTATTATGTATTACTGATGATAATCTGTAATTTATGTGCATACGACTTTGAACTATTTCATTTGCTTTGATTGATAGAGACGTTATGACTTTCAAAAATTGATTTTTTATTATGAAATTGCAAGCTACAGTTTAATATATTTAAGAAAAGGAGATTTTAATGAAATTTTTCAAATTAGATTTTTATAGATTAAAAGTTAACGTATCAACGAAACTAAACATTTGCCGAAAACAGTTTCATAAATTACTTTGCGGAATATTAAAATTTCTTCTGAAAGTAAGTTTTGTTTGAGCACGATAAAAATCTAATATAGCTTATGTATCTGAGAATTTAAAATATAATAAAGATCTGAATCAATTACCAAAAACAAATCTGGACAGGCAAACACCCCAGGAATTTTTAGGGGGTGGTCTTTCCTGAATATGTTAGTCTCTGTTCCTTGTCGTTCAGCTGCCCCATTACAGACCTACCATACCCTCAATGGGCCTGAAGAAAGGCCTGCTTAGTGCCCACAGAGTGGAAAGGAGTGAAAGAAAAGTCTCTATTGCCAGATTAGTTTAAAGTTTTAACAAGACAAATTATTTAGATCAAATTTTTATAATTAAATTAAAGATCAGCATATTTTGTGCTACCAAAACTTTAAAAATTTCTAATCTTTACACATATTAGTGTAAGAATGGTTAATCTTATTCTGGATTTCTAATACAGCCTAGCAATATCCAGAATATAAGCCCATTTTTGGTATTTGAGAATTCGTACATGATATTTATTATCAGCTTAAACTTTAAAATTGTTTAGGATCAATGTAAATTATCTTATTACTTGTTTTTTGTAGAAAAATCATTTTATATGTACTATTTAATCTCAAATGAATATTTAAAGTGTTTGAGTGATTTAAACACTGTTAAATTACTTTAATTCAAAATTCTTCATGCATGACCCATAAAAAATAGTATTGATGATCAAGTAAAGACAGTTTTTAACTATTAAATTTACTATCAAAGCTGTTAACTTCCATAACTTTTCCAAAAATTAAATGAATTACAATTAATTGGAACAATTTTATATTTTTTACATTGATTACAAATTGAAGGGAAATTATTAGTTTTTAAGGGCAAGGAAAATTTTGTCATTAACTTAAATTGGTGACCTTGCAAAAGAATATTTATATTTTAAGGAAGTCATCAGAAATTTCTATTATTACTATTATTTTTTTTTTTTGTATGCACTTCATCATGGATCAAGGATTTTTATTTTTGTTTGTACTGAGAAATCTAGATGCACTGTTTTTCTTTCCTTTCAATTGCTTTAAGTATCTCCTTTCAAGATTTTAAACATGACTAGATGCTAGTTTCTCTGATGCATCTATGAAAGCAGTATAAAAGAGAGTTCCTACTTCCTTTTATACTGCTTTCATAGATGCATACACTGATAGTGATAGAATAATATCTATTGATAAATGATCTTCTTTATTGTTAGAAAGGTGCATAGCTCTACTAAAACAAATAAGTACAGTGGGTGAGCAGTTAACAAACTTAATCTGTTCCAAGACTTTGTTCGTTAACTGATTATCAATTTACCGTAGGTTTCTATGGGAATTTGATTAATTCGTTCTGGAGACTCCCAAAAAATAAAAAATATATACTTTCTACCATGTTTATTCGTATGTAATAATAAAAATACATATGTACATGGTCTTGCATTTTTATTTGTCATGTTTTTTTCGTTTGGGGGTTAAAGAATCTGTCCAGTGTCGATTGCTTTTCTGTCTTCTTCATGATTTTTCAGAAGTAATTAATCGCATTGTAATTGTAGAGATCCCTAAGCCTATTAACCTCAACCTGGTTTTGATGCCATTTTAAGACTGTTGTTCTGACATCCTCCCACTTCTTCAAAAGATCTTTAATAGCAGATACCAGCATAAATCCGCTTTTTCAGAAAAAAACATAAAAGAATTGTTTCAGTCAGAAATATAAAAGGCTGGAATTACATGGGAGAGTTTTAAAGTTCGGGGGAATACTATCCGATCAGTATATACTGGGTTGAACATTGATGTTGATGTCTGTCGCACTCCGAAAAGTTTCAAATTGTTGCCTGAAGTCAAAGGAAGACCAATCGGTATTCGTTATTTTACGTCGCTTCTTCTTGTGTTTGTTCAGAGAAGTGTTTGTTATTCGAACATGTGTTTGTTGTCCGATCATAGAAATCTTTTGTGAAAGTATTCATTACCCAATTTGTTCATTAACCGATCACCCACTGTATTGAGCTAGTTTTAATTATGCAAGTGGACATATACAAAACTTCTTTGAAAAAGGAATATCCGAGATATTACTAAATTTGTATGGCTTAAAGTAAAGCAGAAACAATACACAGTTCAAATCCAAATTATTCTATTTGGCATCAATATGGTTGTTGCCTGCAGTAGAAGGATATTGTTTGAAGCTAAAAACATCAAGCGAGCAGAAAAACATATTTGGGTTTAATTTTTATAAATGCCAGAAGTTTTTAGTTTTTCAGCATATTTTAGAATTTAAACAACGTAAATAATCTAATAGGCTTTCAATACCATAGTTAAATTATGTTACAAAAAACATTACATTTTAGAAATTTTTTCTGAATATAAGAATTATTTTCCCAGCTATTATGTATAACAGAAGGAAAGTATGGTGACTGATAAAAATTTTCAAAGATTTTTACATTTTTGGACTTGGAATCTTTAAATGTCAAAAAATGCAAAGAAAAAAGTTGGAGATTTTTTTTTCTGTATATATGGTATTAGTGTGTGTTGGGGGCATAATTATGTCACTTACTTACATTGAAGTTTAATAACTCCTATGTCTTTTGTGGAAAATTTTGAAATTTTGCAGAGAGGTTTGTGTATTAGGGGATGGTGCTATTAAATTTTAGCAGTGGCATACCATCCATGGAAGCTGTGGAAGTGCCACTTCCTTTGTATTTTCTGAAATATAAATACATATTGTGCAATTATTTTCATATTTTAATGTATTTTGAATTAATTAAAATTAATATTTTATATGTATCTTATTACAAATTTCTATACATGTGAAAAACAATGATAGGATCGCTATTGTATATTCGTATATGCATATTCCCAATGGAAGCGCTGTATTGTCGAATACGGTCTTCCATTGGCGAAAATATCTGAATCATGTAAAGCCACCAGATTACAGGCATTCGCGCATGTGCTTTATAGAGCACCAACACTCATGCAGTTTAGCTGGTGCATGCTACATTCCAAAACATCATGTAACTCTTCCAATGATTCTATCCATTAGCCACTTGCAGGGAGTTATTTGACTAAGTGCATTGTTTTAAGATATAAAAACTAAAGAATATTTTGTTATTTTATGTACATTTCTTTAAGTATTATCCTGAGAAGCTCAGCTTCTACTATACTAATTAGATGCTGTTTTTTGCCTTTTTGCGGAAAGTCACACATATTTTTAGACCCATCTAAAAATTTTCTAATTAGCCTCTGAAGAAAGGGAACGGAACCTCATTCTTGCACCCAATGAAAATGATTAAGATCGGATGTGTAAGATAACTTTTGATAAACTAAATTGTATAATATAATACAGTAGAAGGGTTAGAAGTACAAAATTAGCTAATCTTAATGTTTGTTTTTATTTTTTGCACAGGCAACGTCAAGCTTACATGCTAGTTAACAATATAAATAGTTTGAAATAAAATCTCATAACAAGCTGGCACCAAACACAATTGTAAAGTTTTTGCTGGGAATGTTATGCAACTTGTTGCTTTTTTTTTTTTTTAAATTGATTCCTACAAGAAAAATCTGAATAAGAATATTATTAAAATTCAAACATTTTGAAAGTGAGAAGTTTCTCTTCCAGTAAAATAAATTATTAACTCTAAGCGCTAACTTTTCTGAGATAAACTTCAGAGATCAAGATGATAGACAGCTTGATTATATAATAGTTCCAGTAAGAAGAACTGATATTATTGGTAGGTCAAAATTACAATATAGCATAACTCATTACAATTTTTCCACACATTTCTTACTGTCACACCTATAAAATCTGCATATTTGTAAGATTCATTCACAAAATTCAAAAGTGTAAGTCATTAGGAAAAAATCTCTATCCAAATTCCATGTCTGTACCTGTGCGGATGTCATGCCACCATGGTGCAAGGCATAGATTCTTATAAGTTACACGTTGTATGTATATAAAAATATGAATTTATAGAATTTAATATAAAAAATGCACTTATGTATATATGTTGTATATAAGTGCATTTTTTTATATTAAATTTCTTTTCTTACACTTATTTGACATTGACAGTTATTTATTTTCAAAGGTAAGTCGAGCATTTGGTCTCCTCCATTCTTATACTATCAAACAGTTCTGATGTGCATGTTAGTGTTTAGGTAATGCATCATGTATGGTCTTTTACTACAACACCAATTTACTTACATGTCAGAATCTCTGCTTCCTCCAATTGTGTCCATCCAGGAACAGTTTGGTTTCTAAAGTATGTATGCCTCTTGCTCTATTCCAACAACATACCAGTAGATAAATCAATTTGTGCATATTTTTAATAAGAATTTAATAATAATCTATATCTGTACATTACTGACTCTATGGGAACATCTTTTTATTGATGGAATGTGGATTTTTATGGGAACAGCATTCAAATTTTTCGTAGAAAAATCCATTAATTGTATCATTTTCATTTAGTAAATTCCATAAATTTTTTTTAATACCCATCATAGATTTGGCCGGAATAATTACTGCCATGAAATTGAATTTAAATAATTTCTTATATATTATTAATGAATGATTACATGTATATGCTTAGTTTCTTTAATTACAAATGTTATCAATAAATTTAGCACAGTTAGTTCATATTCCCAGATGATATTCAACTCTCATTTATCCTCTTGGAATTATCATCAAAAATAAAATCGTCAATATGTGCATTATATGCACTATAGAACACAATTATTCTCTATATTATGCAGTAATAAATATGCTATAATATGCACTATTGTGTGGACTAAGAAGTAATTTAAATTAACAAAGTGTAGATATAAACCACACGAGGATACTGTCCGAAAAAACAGTGCAATTAATCTTTATCGAATGTTATAATCATTATGTAATTGTCTTTTAAATCAACTGTGGATTCATACAGTTCAAATGCATCGACAGATTACTATCAAAAGATTTTAAACACTTTAGTTGTTTTCAAATTGTTAAGTGATTACTCGACATTCATTTTTTACACTGCTTATGATGTATAAACAGGAAGTTTTCATGTATTAGTGAAATACTGTAGAACATTATCTTTTGAAGTTAGTGGAACTTGGTAATATATTGAAAATGAATAATAATCAATCACTTCTTTGGGTTACCAAAACTCTGCCATCAGTTTGACAGTTCAAAATGTCAAATTGATGTGGCCCTACAGAGCTGAAAATGTCTTTTGTACAAATGAATAATTTTCAGTAACACAAAGCAGTCGAATATTGTTCATAACGTTATCTATTTGTAATATTTCATGTTAAATTATACAGGTGCAATTATTATTGTTATTAACTTACTTGGCTCTTTAAATTTAATTAAATATTTAAACAAATTCTTAACTTCTTTTCTAAATCTCAATTCCAATACATGACATTTGTGTGTTACATTCTTTGTAAAATTTTAACCATTTATTCAACTTGCATTAATTAGATTTCCTGCATAAATCAACGTTGCGTATATGTACATTTTTTATGATAGAATTAATTTTCCACACGATTTAAGATTCAATAATGATTATAATTGAATTGACGAACAATTTAAGTCTTAAAAAAGCAATAAGTTAAATAAATTGTATGTTAATTAAAGCCAGCAATTATTTATTGTGACATCACAATGCCAGGCTGCAATTTTTAATATATTTCATTTAAAAAATATATTCTCTCCACCTGAAATTAGTACCGTATTGTCTTGCCCCTGTATATCATGCTTTTTCATTAGCAACGAAGTCATGCCAGTCATCTATTAACTGCTTTTGGGGGGAAAAATTTCAAATTGAAATAACAACTTCCAATTTGTATCAGAGGTTCATTTATAATTAATCAGGGTTTCCTGAGGATTTCCTATCTGGTCTTATCTTTCATCTATCTAATTCCATTCTCAAGATAAAAGAATGACAGTGGGAATTTATAGGTCTATGATTTTTTTCAAATTGCAGCCAAATTGTCTTCACGATTTTTCTTGGCTTTAGATTCTTAGAATATAGTAAATTAACAGAACACTTCTTGATTAATTTGTAAGGACAAAAAGCTAATTCATTCAGTTTCTTTAACCGAGAGGTTACTTTTGGTCAAAACAGAAGTACAAGTTTTGAGCCCACAAAAATATTTAATCTTACAAGTGTTTCGATTAACAGTATAATTGTTAGATCTAGAAGAGAAAAAATAAATAAGGAATATTATAAGAGACCGCAATAGCAAAACAACCAAAAATACAAAACGAAATTTCAGTTATACAACTAGCATCCTTGCTTAGTATCTGTTCCCAGTCATCAAATATCCTAAAACAAGAATGATATAATGGTGCTTTCCGTCTTTGTTATTCCTCCAATCACACAATTGTGTATTTCGCTTTAGGAAAGAAAAAACTGTAGGATTTTTGTGGGTTTCCTAAAGCGAAGTCGGACACTCGCAGATTCTGGCAACAACAGGGAGGAAGTCGTGGTCGAGGAAAGAGGAAAGCACTCAAAAACGTGACCAAAAATGACTTGTGGGAACGCTTAGAGAAGTGGTGCGGATGCCAGCTCAAACATATAGCTTTTTCGATGCAGTCACCAGAGCTTACATCAAAGGAGAAGTAGGTGGGTCTGCATGTCTCTCCGAAACTTCTCATAAAGTGAAAAAACTATCTTTGAAATTACACTGGTTAATTTTTTCTGCTTGAGATTTTTTCCACAAATTTGACAGTTACACTGTGTGCACAATGTTGCAAGTATGCAGATTTGTATATAAATAGACGGGCTGGTTAACTACCAGGCAAACTTGGGCAGCGAGTGCCAATCGACCACAATGATCTTTATCCATTCCATCAGCACTTAAGTGGTCCTACTCACTTCCAAATTTCTAATATGTCTATAATAGAAAGTTATCATATAAATTTTGTTTGAAGCAACATGTTACTAATAATAATTTCTCTTTTGTACACGATTGTAGGAACATGCCTTTGAATCCAGTCAGAAATATAAAGAAGGCAAATTCATCATCGAGTTGGCCCACATGATAAAGGAGAACGGTTGGGACTAGACATGGAAGACGATCAACCGACGACAGGTTTCTACCATGGAATATCATTGGATTTGCAGAAACGGTTACGTTAAAGACAATAGGATTAATTCCGGTAAAAAAAGGACGGTCTGTTACGACTGTGTTCTCTCTACCGTCGCCGATAGTGAAAAAAGACGACTCGACTACCAGCCTTCATCTCTCGACGTATCGACGTTACTTTGTTTTTTCTATGGAAGACGACCGTAAGTTGATGATATGTTACGCGGGCGCACGCCGCCCTCTCATCATCGTCATCATCCGACTGTACTCTGCGTGCGATTCCTGATACTTAATACGAAGCTAAGCCGTACTGTTTTCTCGCTCGGCGCGTTACGCCGCCTTTTCCGTAACGGGGGACGGGTAACGGTACACGAGCTACGACCTAGTCATTTAATTTTTAAAAGACTGAATTTATTTTTTTAAATCACTACTATTTCTCTTATTTTTTTAAATTTCCGCAAGAAAAACAAACAAACAAAAAAAAAAGAAAACAACCGACAAGGAAGGCTGTAGCTGGGTATCACACGCTGTAAAAATCATCACTTACGACAACTTTTCACTCACCATACTTTGTACATTCATGACTTTTTGTACCATTATTTTTTTTCGCTTTTTAGCCTCCATGCTTAGGTATAATCATACATTAACAATAGTTGGCCCGTCTGGAGCGCGTCGACTTCGTTTCGCTTTTTAAATTCTTCTAGTACTTGTGACGTAACTCTTCTTCTCGTTCAGGACGTAACAGAAAACAATACTTTGTAGCGTGGTCTTTCCTTTTTACTATCTTCGGATTTTAATTCATCTCGTATCCTAAGTGTCCTTTCAAAAAAAAAAAACAAAAAAAGTTTCGTGTGGTATAGTGGCATTCCAAAACTATTTTGCTTAGGAGTCGATTAATCTGTACATTAAAAAACACACGGCGGCGTCTTTACGCAAATGGGCGTTTCTTTTGTTTCATTGTCTTAGACTTAAAACAAAGAAAAAACTTTATCTTCCAGTTGCTGCAAAGTTACATAGAAACATCAGTGATCAAACATTATCAGGCTACTAGTCCAAACACGTGATAAATAGAAGGCAAACGTAACGGGAAAAAACAAGTATATATACATATATACATATATATATAAATGATGTTATAATAATACATAAATTTAAGCGTAATTCTTTGCAGCTTTCATTATTCACATCACACCACTCCGATAGACATTTGTTCGTTGCATTTCAAATATCTATTTGGGATTTTAATGTATCGTATCGCAACTTAGGCAGCAGTCGGTTGCGGGGAGGCGTTTCACACGGTAGAAAAACGGCGAGGGGTTCAGACGCAATTAAAACACGAAATTTAAAAAATAAATAAATAAGAAAAATGGGGAACGTAAAACTTTCCAAAAGGTACTTAGGGGGTATTTATCACGTTATTATTATCATCATCATGCATGCAACCGTGCAGGTCACACGTGCATGAGATGTGTGGGGGCTTCGTAACATTTATTTTCTGTTAATGCTGGCCAATAGCAGATATCGTTCGAAAATCGTTTCAAATGTGGTGGCGTTGTTGTTGTTGTTGCACGAGGAGTATTATCGGTTTCCTCTTCCGATCCGCGACCCCCCCACCCAACCCGTGCGCTTTTCCCGCAACCGACAGCGTCGTGCCAATTTATTGTATTTAAAAAAATAATCCGAATAATATACCATTTGCACTAGTTTTTTCTCCCCCCCCCGTGTAAATAGGAGCGAGGTGGTAAGAAAGGGTGTCTAAACATGTATTGTTTCTTAATAGTAGCGAGAGTGTATTTTCTCAATAGTGATGTTTTTAATATTCCGAGAAACAAAGGGAAAATAATAATAATAATCTATCCTGTAAAGTGAAGCGTTTGAAATGATCTACAGATAAACGTATCCCGATATAAAACTCTCCCCCCCCCTTCTGGAATGTAACAAAATATGACTATTGACGAAACACTAGAAAAAAAAAAAAATAATAATAATAATACTTTTATCTGTGGATCAGATCTCAGGTGTTTATTTAAATTTTGTTTGTTCGTCTTATTATTTTGTACAGTTTAATTTAGTAAAAATGCAGGAGTCAATGCAAAGAGCACTCGTAACATGTACAGCCTGTTTCCGTTTCCGGCCGAGCCTAAGTTCCGAGCAAAGAAAAAAATAATAATAATAACGAAAAAAAGTTTCCTTAAAAATTTGCCCGCGTGACCGGTCCCGGGAGTATGCGTGTTGTGTGTTAACGAAAAACACACGATAATTCCAATCAGTGTTACGTGTAGTGTTTATCATTAAGTGTGTGTGTATGTACTGTACGTCGGAGGGGGGGAAGGCAAGCGAGGGAAGACGGCACTTTTTTCCTACGCGTTTCGTTTCCTTCCCCCCTCCCCGGTTTATTTCTTTTATCGTTTTTTTTTTAAGGGAGAAATTTAGGGCTTTTTACGTGTGTACAGTGTCGTATATATAATTATCGATTTATGATTTGGTGTTTTTTATCCATTCTTAAGAATCGGTTGTGTGACGTGAGGTCGCGACCGGCGAGGGGTCGCCTATAAAAAATACTAAATAAAACGAATTTAAGTTAAATATATTTATTTGTATCGAATGTCTCTAGCCTTACGACTTGTGCTTCCTTTTGTTTTCTAAATAAAGCTTAATTTTTCTGCTTGGTGTATATATACACATATATATATATAATATATACATTNGAGTTTATTAAATTTAATGATATTAAAAATACATGTAGAAAAGTCTACAGTTTTTACTGGCTTATCGAATAAACGATACGAATGGACCCCTAGACCATCGCTGACGCGCAATTGACTGATTGCCCCTGGATGCCGGCTTCTTACAGAAACACAGCTTCCTTATCATCAAATGTCATGGCACGCCACTGATAATATATACTGTATTAACCTCCAAAATCCTCTACAAATCTGACATCTAGATTTGAAGACAATTTGTTCTTTTCCTATAAATTACTCTCTAAAATCCTTTGAAAGTTAATATATGTAATTTTCTGGAGGCTTTAGTATAATATCCACTTCAGTTGAACTGAATTATTCTGTTTTCATTGAAATTGCGTTAAATATTCAAAGAATACAAGGAGAGCAAATACCACACTTTAAGTAAGGACATAATACTTGTCAACATATTGCTTAGGAGCCATCTTTTCACTATATATTGTATTTCCACTCCAATAGATGTCTTGTAACAAGCAGATTTGATCTGTTGCTTTCAAAATCTGTTATATGAGTCCATACATAAAACATATCAGCTTATTTAAAATTGTCAAAGTATAGGATAGTGAGTTTATATGTTTCTTTCCTTCTAAATGTGCAAACTCCGTATCTTACAATTTATGGATGTAAACAAACTCATTTTGCTTTACTCCACACGATTAATAGTACGTTCACATTGGCATAGGCATAAGAACTGCTGCACAGTAGATATGAACTATTGCTTTGTTCCCTTCCAGTGACCAATTGCTTTTTTACAGTTAGTGTTTGATCAGTCGCATTCTAACTCGATTTGTAGTACGATGCAAATGACGTTTCGCTTTAGTTAGTGTTTGTTTCCTTCATTTATAGTGGTTATACAACAGCATGAATACAGTTTATCAATTTTGATTTGTAGTTATCTTGGTACATTGAATGATATATGGAAAATTGGTTATTCATACTTAGAAAATTAAGCTCTTTAGCACATTAAGCTTGAACAGAAGTCAACAAATCAATATTTTTAAGTTTAATAGATTGATTTGCTTAAATAGAGTTTAAGCAAATTAATAGTATGCTGATTTGTTAATGTTTTGATACTAAAATAGTAATAATAATTTAATCGAGTACGAGAGTGTTAATATATTTACTAATCGATAATCGAGTGAGGTTTTTTTTTTAATTAGGAAAAAAAATGGCGGCTCACCTTTGGTTCGTATAACTCCGTTACGTTCGTATATTCGTATATATGGGTTTTAAGAGACAAAAGAACTGCCAGCTGATTGCGGAGTGACGTCTGTACCCGCATTGGTGCGGGTCAGGCGTCTCCGTTGGTGGGTATGACGTGAGTCATACAAAGCAATGACCTTGAATGCGAGATGGATCAATAGGGATTGTTGCGAACATCCATCCATAAATGCAGCAAAATGCAGTAAAAGATTGGAAGAGAATACGTCCGTTTTTGTCGGTCCTCTATAACATCGTTTCGTTTCACGGAATGTCAGCGCTCTAGAAAATATGCGATTTATTCTATCGGCACCAATAGCTTTTGAGGTTAAATCGTGTTTCCTATTGCGTTAGCGGTTAAAATTGCTTTTTATTTATCATTTTTTTTTAAAATAAGATTAGGCATTTTCCTAAATTAGTTTTATAGAAAAAATAGGTTGAGCCGGGTTTTTAACCAGTCTACACGAAATGAAAGTGCGTGTCGTGCACCCCTCTCTCTCCCTCTTGGAGACGGGGGATGTGACGATAAAAGGGAACAAAACGGCTGAATTTTAGTAAGTTTTGACATTTCTTATGCTTCTAAAACTTAGATTAAGGCTCCTTTCCTAATTTCAAAGTATAATTTTGGGGGGTAGAAAGCTCACGTCATTCATTCTCACCGGAGACATATCGCGTGTACATGCTGCAATACTCCATGATCTTTAGACTTAATCTAAATAAATCTGTGTTAAAATGTCGTCTATGATGTATTTTCGAGTCTCGAGAAGAGAGAATTAATCAAAAATTACAAAAAGTATTTCAATTAATGGAACCAAATCGCAAATAATTCAGCCAATCCCCCCCTCTACCCGTTAAGTATTTTACAGTCGGGAGCGTTGAACTTATAATGCTGAAGCTGTATAATCGTAATGTACTGATTTGCGCGGTGATGAGAAATGAAACAGGAATTTATGACGTGTATTGAACGCACCCCCCCCTTTTTTTTAATAAGCTCGGCTTCGTGTAGAGCGCGATCAACAGAGCGTACACGAAAAGTATATTTATCTTTATCATACCGTTATCAATATTTACACAATTAGGGGAGAGAGAGAGAGAGTGATGCTGAAAACTTTCTCCTCCAGGTGTTTGACTATTGTGTTTACTTTCCCTGAGCTGATTCATAAAAGTGGGCCTTCTACAATGAAACCTATTCCTTCGGCTCTCAAAAATGGGCCTTCTGTGAGAAATTTTTGCGTATTATCAATGGCTTCTCTGTATTGAAGTGTGCTCGTGAGGTTCCTAAAAGAAATGGGTGTCTGTAGTGAAAATAGGTCGCGAGCGGGACCAGTTTCACGCGTAAATAAACTCCAGCCTAGTGTCATCAGTCTATAAATTAAGGCCTCACGTTTTTACGTGTATCATTTAGCGTTGGGTATGGCCTGTTATATGTAACTTTAGGCCACAATAAGAAGTCTATTCTTGATGGTGAAAAATGGTTCCTAAATATGGACGTTATTCTTTAAAATTCACGCCTAATTCGTGTGTTATTGTTCTATTAAAATTCCGATGATCCTTCACATGCATTCATAACAAATGTATTAGTAATTTCCGTTTCCTGCGTTGACACTAAGTGCCAACTGATTGATAAAGAATTTTAAACAGAATAAGAATAAAGAATTTTAAACAGAAAAATAATTATAATTAAAATATTAAGTTGGTCCGAGCCGAAAACTAGGCGTTTTGTAACTCAAAACTTGTATTTGATCGATTACAAGGTATATTTTTCATGGTTAAATCCTATTACACAAAATGATCTTTAGTATTAAGTTGCATCAACAGTGGTAGAATTGGATATAATATCTTGTGGTACAAGAAATTCAAATGGCTACACGGTACGGTACATCAATAATTATTTTCTGTCCTTTCATAGTAGGGCCTTCATGCTTCCTGCCGAAAGACCGAGTGGATAAAACTACTGAAGACTTGTAGTTTGTGGTGGGTTCCCCCTGACTAAAGGGCTGATCACACGAAAATTTCGATTTTCTTCACGTGTCCTAAATAGGAACCAGTTTTCCATAGAAAGTCCTATAAATTCCCATTGTCTTTCCTTAATCTCGAGAACGATAGATAGATACATGAAAGACGAGACCAAATATGGAAATATTAAGAGCAAGAGGCCCCAATTAACTGTATATGAATTTCCGATTCAAACCGGATTCAAGTCATGTCAATTCAAAACGTTTCCCTCCCAGAGGTGTTAGATAGATGACCGGCACGACTCTATTGTTAAAAGAAAAGTATGGACACCAGAGTTCATAGTATAGAGCAAAAATTAAACTTTAATATTTTTGTAAACGTTTCTAGACAATAAAAATATCCCGAAAGTAGTCGAATGTTCCATCAAAACGTACAATTTTATGCAAATTATGTAGGCTCCATAAATACAGCAGTGATGTTAACAGAAGGCTAGTGCAAACCAGTCGCAAACAGGTGTACCAAAGAATAACTTAATTCTAATATGAATGTACCACAGAGCATTATATCAAGGTTACCAGCTAATGGAAGTCCGAGAGTTACCACCTTTCAACAATGTTTGTTTGTTTAGTTATGGCAACGCAATACTTGGACGATCTGCCTAGAGAGGTCTTTTTAAGGGAAACTGGCCCCTATTTAGGCGTTACAGACGTGGAGAAAAACCGGAAAACTCCATGTGGCCAGCGCGAACCCACGACCAGAACTCCCAGTGTTCATGGTACAAAAGACCGCTTGGCCACTGGTGGGACCACTCGTCAATGACTTTCCTAACAGTTTCATGGAATGGGGTAACCGAGTGATAAGCTCTCATAATGAGCCTTGCGTATCCTTTTAATGAAATTTTCAGGAGTTATTTTGCATCTTCCTTCAGGCGGCGTTTTATAGAAAATTACATTATACACGTTTCTATCCTCCCTCCGTATTAAAATGGATACAGTCCAGCGACTCGTAAAATGTTTAACATCTGTCTCTGAAGATTAATAGCGGCAGAAACTATAAATCATGTCTGCCACGTGAAAGCTGGAAGCGCGCAAAGTTGTAATATTATCAAGAATAAATTTAGTTTTTTACATTGAATTTTTCAATTTATGGTCGAAATATTGGATTATTTTCATCCTTAATGATTTTTCTGCGCTTTTTCCTGATCCAAATATCAACTTTAAGTGTTTTTATGATTAATCTTCGCCAGGATATTAATTACTTAAATATGGATGTCGGATACTTTAATTACAACAATGCCGCCATATTTGAGAATGTCCAAATTACCTAATCATTAATGCTATTTAAGGCTGGAATTATTGTTACAAATTCTCAGTAAGTAATTCTAAAAATATTCTTTTGAATATTTTAATTTTATAAAATTAAATAAACAAAATTTAAGATGTCGTTTTGAAATTAATGGCTGGATGGTCGAGCTGTTAACATGGCAGCCTACCACTTTCGGGACCCTTGATTCAAGCCGAACGGGTCGAAAAATCTTAGGAATTTTTCGGGGAAGATATGTTCCGTCTGCCTCAATGTGGGCCTGGCAGAATCTAGAATGGGCTTAGTAAAAAAGGTCCTCTTAGGTGTTTTCTTAAATCTTTTCGCCTGTGGGCACTAACAGGGCCTCCATCTCTATCTGTCTAGGTTCGGTTTATATGGAGCGTGCGGTCCTTCTGGTTATAACTCCGAGAGAGCGATGGCGCTTGCATCCGACTATCCGACTGCCGAAGCTTTTTATCTGCTTGGTTTTACGTGAGAGTGGAAAGTAATGCCTTATGGGAGGTCTTTTAAGGGTAATTGTCCCTATCCAGGCGTTATAGACGTAGAGAAAACCCGGAAAACTCCACCTGGCCAGCCCGTCCGAGTGCGGCGCGACCTACAACCGAATTTTCAGTGTTAAGAGAACGAAACCGCTTTTTTTAAAAACTCTTTCCGCTCTGTGGGCACTAAGAGGGCCTCTTTTTGCAAGCCCATTATGGGTTCGGCCAGGCCCACAGTGGGGTTGCCGGGTGGTGAGGGACGGGGCCCAACATATCCGAACGGACCACCCCCGAAAAATTTCTGGGGATTTTTCGACCCGTTCGGATTCGAACCCGGGTCTCCCAGAGCGGTAGGCTGCCACCTTGTCCGCTCGGTCGTCCGGCCTAATGTCAACGAAGTGGAGAGAATTAAAGAGAAAGACCGTTTTGAAATTTTATTTTATTTTATTATTATTAATGCGAAAATTATATTAATTTCTAAAATATTTTTATGTAGTTTATTTTTTATTAAATTATTATTTATATTTTATAAATTTACGGAAGATGGCAACACGAACCATTTTCGACTGTATAGCATAACAAACATTGTCGTCTGATGTTATATCGTTAGACATTTTTTTTATACATTTTTAATCAAATATAAAGATTTATTTTTAATTCGAGAGCCGTTGGATATCAAATATATAAAGTTTGTTGTAGTAAGTAACGTTTTATTAGTCTATTTTACTATAAAATCTAGCTTTAAGCTCATATTAATCACTTTTTACCTGTAAGTAACACTTACCAACATTGAAGCAGCATGACATAATGAAGCATGTGACACAATCTCCAATAAAATTACATCATTTTTAACAAAATTAAAGTAAATATTTACATAAATTGTGATTTATAACTGGTTATTTTGCCAGAATACAATTTAAACTGTCATTTGATGTTTGCACTTAATAATGTTAACATTATGCACATAAACAGTATTTTGGATGAAAGGTACAAATGCAACTCCGAACGGGTCGGTTGGGACCTTGTCGGAGCTGTAGACCTGCTCGTACGAGTAGAAAAGTTAAAGAAACCGATGATTGGTAAGGTTTGAGCTCCAAATGAGGGGTTTTATGCCCCGAGAATTGTAGACTATCTTATACAGGAAAAAAGTCAAAGGAGCCGTACCTGTACGTGCGACCCTTTGCCAGATATTCACTTCCGAAGGTCAGGTTTTAACACTTATTGGTATACTGCTTATTCTCCATGCTCCGCATGTAGTCGTGCGCTTCGGGAGCTATTGCTCACGCCAGAGTGCCTGGGTAGGGTGAGCTCCTGCACCCCCTAAAACTGTATAACATCGAGTACTCTGCCAACGGTTGAGTGGGCTACTCGAATCCTGGATAGTCGCCTGCCTTATCTTTCAATGTTTATTTGGTATTGCCCACTTCTTAAAAAACAAATATTGAATCACGCCTTGTCTTGCATCTTGTGTAAATGGCTTTATCTTTTAAGCTTAAGGAAACTTCACCTGTTGCTATAAAAAAAATGGCGGAACTCAAAATGAATGCCAATTTTGTCTGCTAGAGGGTGCTGGTAATCGCACTCATGTAGCTGTGTAGCTACACAGTTATATGTTGCAAAGGGTTAAACATAGATCTTCAGTTCGTTTGACTTTTTTACTCCTGTGAGCATGGTCTACAGCTCTGATAAGATATTAACCATCCCATTCAGAGCTGCATTTGTACCTTTCATCTGATATAATGTTATGTGCATAATATTAACATTAGTAAGTGCAAACATCAACTTGTAACAAGATAATAGCATATAGTGTGTGTATATGTATATATACACACTATATACCATTATATAGAGACAGACTGGACTTAATTTTGAGTCTGGTAATGTCGGGATCACTAGTTCACTTTATTAACTGGTGTCATATATTAATAATAATAAAAAATTGGGTGAAGGGAGACAGTAAAATAAAACAAACTGAAAAGTATTTGTATAATCAATTAAATTTGAATATAACTAATAAATAATACTTGGAATATTGAACTAAAAGCTCTTCTATGTATACAATTTCTAATATCTTTACATTGCCTATCAGAAGTTCACAAGAGGTGCATCATCTATTTACATTGTATATAGTTAATATACTATAGTTATCACTATTACTTTACTCATAAAGAATCATTTAACTCCAAGTTTACTAATGTACCCTAAGATTTCAGTTGCCATTTAATGTTAAGATGCTAGTTACACTTACAATCCCTGTGTATATTACACTATGAAATAGTCAAAATTTACAAAAAATTATGTAAGTGTAAGTAGTGTGTACCAAGTTTATAAAAGAGAATTGTACATTGTATAAGTATATGGGAACTGCAGTAAGGGTCTACAAGAGCTACACGTGGCTTGAAGCCACAGATTGGCTACTTTATACACTATTCAGTATTTAAAACAGTATTCACTTCTGTTTGATTTGGCACAATATATTGACAAGGAGTAGGAAATGTCAAATACCAAATATTAGTCTCAAGTAAATCATACACACTACTTAGCATTGACCACATGTTTGCTCAGCATTTAATGAATACTGAACTTATGGCGTTATCTTTATATGTATATTATATATTTTTTAAGAAGTTAAATTGATTGACGGATTTTTTGTGAGTCATTAAAACATTATAAAGACACTACAATTATCTCTAAAAAGCCATAATATACAGTGGCGTGCTGTCATTGGAAGCGGTGGATGTGCCACTTCCCTTGTATTTTCTAAAAAATAAATACATATTAATTTTAATTATATGAAAATAATCGCAAAATATTTTATTATAACTGCATTATGTATCTTATTACAAATTTCTATACTACACGTGAAAAAAAAGATAAGATTGCTATTGTATATTCGAATATTAGTGGCGGAGTGGAAGCGCTGTATCGTCAGCATCCAAAAAGCCAGATTCGCGCAAGTGCTTTACAGAGCACCAACCTCACCCGGTTTCAACCTCACCCGGTGGAAGCCTAGGACCTTGGGTGGATGCTACACGTATACCGCATCCAATTCTATCTGGGACCGGTTCTGGGCTGTTAGCCGCCTGCCCGCTAGATATTTGGCCGTCCTTGCCCGACTACGTGAATCACGAGTAGATTTATAACTTAACCCAACCGATAAGAATTTACTGGTATGTTTTTACTAATGTACTATAAGATTTCAGTTGCCCATTTAATGTTAAGATGCTAGTTGTATAGTTTTGTTCTGTATATTGCTAGTGTTCTGTATAGTTGACAGGAGTTTAAAAAAATCCATTAAAATATTTGATATTTTTATTCCGCTCTCTGATTTTATATTACTCACGGATTTCAATGTTAAACCAGTGATATTATGATGTACAATGAAAAAAACACGTACAATTCTTGTATAATGTTAAAAAATTAACCGTTACTTTGATAACATCATTTACAATTAAATTTGATGAACGAGAGAGATGCACGAGGTACAGAAAAAGATTTAGAATTTATTTTCCTTACATTTACGATTTATGTATCCGTTTGTCATAAAAATTTGTCTTTTCACTTTTTTCCCGCGACTACAAATATTCGAGTACAAAGTAACCGGTTTCGACTTATTTCTACTTAAGAAGTAGTTAAATAATTAAGCGATTAGGGAATTGGGGACATAAACAAAACCCTGATGAAAGAGCCAAATTTTACTTAAACAAAAGCTTAAGCAAACCATCTCTAGCCAAGTACAGTGGAGACTGATTTCTTTTCATTATTAATGTAATAAAGGCAGAAATTTTTCCAGTTTAACGAGAGTGACCGAAAAGTTGTAAATTTAGGGTAATTTCTGAGGACACTTGGTCCTAAAACAAATTAGTTAGAAAACAAATGACTACTAAGTTTAACATATTTAGATTTTTACAGCTATGGTGAGAAACGTTTAAAATCTACAACAGCCCCGTCGCGTCCTTTGNGAATACAGTTTATCAATTTTGATTTGTAGTTATCTTGGTACATTGAATGATATATGGAAAATTGGTTATTCATACTTAGAAAATTAAGCTCTTTAGCACATTAAGCTTGAACAGAAGTCAACAAATCAATATTTTTAAGTTTAATAGATTGATTTGCTTAAATAGAGTTTAAGCAAATTAATAGTATGCTGATTTGTTAATGTTTTGATACTAAAATAAATATATTTAATAATATTATCAGTGAATTATATATGAATATATTATATCAGTATGTTTATTTAATCAGTAGATATCAGTGCCAGTTGATTCATAATTCATTATTACAGATTGATATACGTGTTTACTCATATTTCTGTAGTTAATGTCGTGAAAAGTAATTTAATCAAAATTTTGTCATAAATAATATCACAAAAATGCTGGAAATACTACAAATATAGCACATTGTTTGCTTGATGCTACACTGAAAACACAAGATTTCACAAATAAAAAATTGTAGATGAATGTATAGAGTAAAAATATGGATTCAAATCCTATACCTAATACAGGATATCTAGAATAAATAAATTTTGAAAGAAACTCAAAGATAACACAACTACTACAAGAAGTTACTTATAAGGAGCCATTCAAGTATTACTTCGGCAGAAATTTTTCTTTTTTTAATCCCTCCCGCATCATTTTCTGTCATCAGAAATAGCGATATCACCTCCCTGTTATTATGCCATTGGAGTAGAAGTTTAAAGTAATTTGCAAATATTCAAGAATTATTTTCAGACAGTTTTCTTATGAATGGAGAGAAAATAAACAATAGGTGCAATTTTATGTTGTCAAAGACTTCCCCCTCTCCATCGTCGGCTATTGTCAGATGCAAAATGCCCTATCCTCCACAGACTATCGACTTAATACTTGAATGGTTCCTAATAAACAGGGCACATTGGCAAAGTGTATCATTTCTTTATCTCCCGAGAGCCTGCAAAGTAGATGAGTCATAATGATTTGCAATGGCTCATTTTTGGCATTCCAGATAGCTGAAAGTCTGCATGAGCTCCCAGATGATACACATGCCTACATGTGCAATATATTGTCTGAGAGATCACAACGTGCAAACTTAAATATAATAATGAGTCTATTATCAAATTCACAAATAACCAACTTAAAACAACAGTAAGCATTTACAATGAGCCCGACAATTCAGTCCTTTTGGTCGTCAGGATGTAAACGGAAAATTGACAGAATTATGCATTCATCGGCCTTAAGATATCTTCTTGTATCATCTGCATCAAAGTAAATGGATTTCATACATTATTAAGGTGGTGCTGTTAAATATTATTATTGTTTTTAAAAGATTCTAGTGCCTCAGAAAATCATTTGTTTTTGTGTTGTTTCTCTAGACATATTAAAAGTATGGCCAGGGAAATGTCCTATTTTCTCATATACTGTACGACTTATAAACTGATGTTTATGAACTCTTAGTGTGAATGTTTTAATTATGTTATTTCATTAATCACATTAACTCTTGTAGGTAATATTCTATTTATTAGGTGAATATAGGACATTACCCTATTTTCATGTATGTAATGCTCACAATTTCTCTAATTCTCTAATTCTGTATAAAATCATCTAGAACGAAAATAAAACCTTTGAACGAAAGTCTACCCACTCCTGGTTTATGCTATTGTTTTGTTACTAAAGGTAAATCAATGTTGCACTATCCGGAACAATATACACTCCGTCCGGGGAATTTCAGTTGACCTGAAGAAGAGCGAAGGGATCGCTCGAAAACGTTTGTCAACAGTGATGTATAGTGTATACGCGTCGAGCGACGGTCACATGTTCCGGATAGTGCAACATTGATTTCACCCCGGCGCTGAGAGTAGAACAGTTCCTATAATTACTAAAGGTATCCACTCTTTCACTGTTTTAGTCCATCTGTTGTCGTAATATCTCATCCATCTTGCTCATTTTAATTCAAACCATGTAGTTGGCTTGGGTTTGCTCCCAGTCGAGAGGCTATCTGTGGCACGTGGCGTTTTCAATGTTATCTCTACGTGTTTAACGTCTAAACAGGGACCATAAAGGTCCTACTGGTTTGCTCGGCCAATCACCCTTTTGCTGCATTGCCTTATTCTGTTAAGTCGTTTCATTCTTACCTACATTTTGAAACTATAATCCATCTCCAAGTCCTACACTATGTTGACATAGGATTTGGAAGTGAGGAGTGTAAACTTCTGGTTGGGTCATCCTCAATACGAAAGTCATTTGGGTTGCCAAGTGAAATACTCCTGTATTTTCGCAGAACGACAGTAACGCCGGAGTTTCTGGCATGTCAGTTAAACTGCAACTAAAATATAAAATGAACCAGATCTAACAAAACTAGTTGTTAATTAAACATTAAAGAAAATATTTTTCCAAGCACAATAAAATAATAACATTGTAATTTGATTGGCATTACAATGTTATTATTTGACATTAGTAGTACAGTAGTAGTAGTAATTAGTCAGTGTGGGCTAAACTAACTGTTTACCCAGACCTTAAAAATAAAACCATCATCTCAAATTTCAGAGCGGATGTTAATCAGTGTAAGCTGAGATAATTTACAGTGAGTTTATTAAATTTAATATGTTTGTTTTTGCATTTTTGAATCAAATAACAATAAAATACGCATAAAAAAAAAGCACTTTTGGAATTCCACGACTATTTTACATCATTAGAAAGAAGACAAAATGAAGAAATTAAACATATAATCGTAGTTTTTGATATAATGCTGATAGTTTCACAGTTTTACAATAAAAAGTCATTTGTTTTTACATGATGTAAATCATTTGTTTTTTTTTTTTTAATATGCCCTCTAGAGAGGGATGTATAACCTCACTTAAACCAGCATGCCAGCATTCCCCAGGATAAACTGGCATTCTGGTTTTTACCATACGGAAATATCCTTCCAAATCTTCTGGAATAAGTTGAATGTATATTATATAGCAACTTTACCCCATTCTTTCATTCATTCTGAAGTAACATAATCGGTTCCAAGTGCCTTGCTGTCCTTGGAAGTTCTTATTCCTTCAATTACTTCATCTTTTAAGATTGACCCCTTTGTCTGTTATTGTTCCCAGTCACTATTTTTCATTATTCCAAGAATTTTTAATGTTGCCGTACAAAAACTGTAGCAATGCAAAGGATACTATTTAATTCAGTCTTTGAAGACTGCATTAAACAATCTGACATAATGAAGACTGCATTAAACATGAGTGAAACATAATGGCAAAGAATAATGTGTTTGATAGTTGACCATACTGATTTTCTACGATACTTCTCATACACACAGCACAATATCATCTATTAAGGCTGTCAAATTTACAGTATGTTTTCAATAAATCATGCTTTTTAACTGTCTTTGCAACCAAAAATCACACCAATTAAGATCTAGATTTTAGTTGGTTAATTAGTTTTGGTATTTCCTTTTTTAATGGAAATATTTTTTAATATATTTTGAAATGTTGACATACCAGATTGGTTGCATTTGAACCATTAAATCTCTCTGTACACAACATTGAATAGAGGTACTTCATAATAATTTCAGTACTTATACACATAAGTAAAGTATGCTAGTTAAAAGTAATCTGTATACTTCGCTCTATTCTCTATACAAATTTTAACCAACAATAACTGCTTCGGTAGATATTAACTCTCAAACGACGTTTTTACAGCAACTTTAATAACTAATGTTTTTAGCTTGTTTCCATTGTATGTTGAGTGAATTTGCTAAAGTGTAGACCTCCATGACCATGAGATATAGTGACTTGTCACTATATCTCACTATATTAAAAAATCATAAGGACTATGAAACGTAATGAGAAACAAATGCTGAACTTGTGTGGATTATAGTGCAATAAAACGATGACTTGCCTTGTCAATATCTTTCACATTTCATGTATTTTTCCACACTTTCGTCAATACGTGAGGTATCTACCAAGAGCACATTCTCCTTTTATATGATATTTTTCATAAGAATGTGTTAGATTGTATAGACCAGGGTCTGCAACCTTTTGGCACTGTTATGCCAAATCTAATTTACACCGATATGATTCTATCAATTTTGTTATATATACAGTATTATCGAAATTGATCTGGTTATAATGGATTTAATTTTGAAGTCAAGTTGTTAATTGAATTATGTTCTTACATATATGTGAAGCGCATGCACAATGTGTAGATGGCGATACACAGTGTAAACGCATGTAAATTCAAGCAAGAGATTCGTTTTTAATGTACCACGGCCTACACTGAACTATGGCTTGCATTTAAATGTCTAGTTAATAATTAAAGTATAATTTTTACTACATTTCTATTCAATCAGAGTGCCACTGAAAATTGTCTCGTGAGCCATAGGTTGCCGACCCTGGTATAGACGGTAAGATTAGTCTCTGCAGCTCTGTCACCAATTAACCTTGAATCAATACACAATGACTACAATCGACAAATTAATTTTTGTCAGTGGATGTTAAGCTATAAGAAACTAATAAGCATAGTAGCTAAGACATCAAATCACAATAGAATTGTCAACTACCCACAGAGACTTTGTGGAGGTTTTATGTACATGTTTAATTAACTTTTATATAATTTCTTTTAAATGCTCTTCAGTAGAAGTGTGTATGAATACAGGAAAACTAATTGCTTGTTTGAAGGAAGTAAGAGTCTTATAAAAGTGTAAAATGTAGAACTTTGTACGCATGTGCGCACACAGTCAGTACGAGTATTTAAAATGAAATTAAGCCAAGCTGAGAGAGATAATTGAGCAATGCAAAACAAGAAAAGGTAGTTTAAGAGGCCAATTGGAATGGAGGTTTATGTAAAATGGTGGAGAAGAGAGATATCAAGAAAGATATATGTATGAATAGAACAAAGTGGAAAAACTAAAGGACAGAAGACATCACATTCTAGAAACTGATTTTATGGGTGCTTCATAAGTCTGGAAATTTAGGATTTATGTTGATCTTTCTTTAGGCTTTTATAGGTAAAGCATGGCTTTGATAAAGAGAAAAGAATTGGAGTTTTTTTCGAAGGTGCAGAATGCAGTTTGTGAAGTTGCAGAACGGTTTAATGGGCCAAATCTGGATTAGTGGGAAGTCCGGATGCAGCTCACTTAACCATTCGGCAACATCACACTGATTGTAGGTCCCTGCCATCAAAATAACTCAAATTTGTCAAACTCTTTACGTAGAGCTATACGTTACCTGTAAAGAATAAACAAAGATCAACATAACTATTATAATTCTATTCTTACGGGACATTCTGTATAGCATGTGTTGGTTTGTTTGTAATAAAAGAGGTATCACATTTACAAACGTCAGAGAATTTGATAATATTATGTAAGAATATTTTTACTTTCTGATCCACCAGGCTACTTCTTGGATGATTAGAAATTTTGAAATCTAAATATCTTTTTAATTATGCATTTAAATCAACATTATTTATATATTTAATATAATTTTTATTATTTTTAACAACAGCTTTTTGCATAAGTATGAGCGGACAGGCGAAACGTAGAGCCGCAACGAATACCATCGATTCGGCCACTTTAACGGTCAATGAAAAGATTCTTAAAGAATGTCACAAGTTATATACAGATCCAGAAAAAGGTGAGCGCTTTGCCAATTTGATAAAACAAGTTTTTAAAATATTACATAGGAAACTTTATCACAGCAACATAATTATCAATAATCACTTATACTTTATATTGTTTAATATTATGCACAGAAATGGTTAGATTGCATTATAAATAGTTTAGTTAACTCAAAATGTGTAATACACTTCCATTTATTCTTGCTAAACTCATACATTCTTTAACCCTTTGCGCTCTTGGGTGCCATAGCGGCAACACGTTACGGTCAATCTGGCGCCGATGTCTGTAGCATATGGTTGCATGATGTATTTGTACTTTATATTGTTATTTGTGATTGCAGTTTTTACTCAATCGTGGCAGATAAAATAGATACAAAGAAAGTGATGACGAGTCGGCAGAGTGAGTGAGTGACTCAAATGATGACAGTTGGGTGGATGTTACATCCAAAGTGATATTTTGAGTTTGATATTATTTGCTATGTAGCCGCAGAGAATGAATCCACAAAATATATTGGATAATGTCAGAGAACCGTTACATTTTCAAGTTGTTCTTCAATGATAATTTGATTTATTCTAATTATAAAAAAAGACAAATGAATATGCCCAATTTAAAATGGAACAGAACAGTTTCTCTAGAAATGTGTTGACCCAACAGTGCTGGTCAGCTGCCCATAACAGCAAAATACTATTTTATTCAGATGCACTTATGAGAGATTGATTTCAACATGATTTTTCAGACGATCCATTTAAAAACACAACCAACCAAAGACAAATTTGAGAACTCAGATTCATGAAGTCAGTAATCTTTCAGAATACTTCAGTTCAAGATGTTTAGACCATCTTATACTCTGTAAATGTAACTGTGTAGACAAGTCGATTGTTAAATTTAAAGGAAGAATTTAAATCCCAATAAGAACTAAGTGGGAAATAAAAGCTTTTACATCACATGATACTGAAACTGAATATACGTATAAAATCTTCCCATACTACGGCAGTATTATAACACAAGATCTTACAAAAATAGAATTACCTATCAGTTTTGGAATTCCTCTACAGTTTTATACAAGTAAGTGAATTTTGGATAAAGTCCCAAATGCCGGTGGATATCAAATGCACACTGACAGCTATTAAACAGGCGTTCCTCTCTGTTTTCAATTGTTAAAATCAAAATGCCATCTTACAGGGACAATAAATACAAACACAGAGCTTTAACCAAAAAAGTACTTGCATAGAGATGCAGAAATTGGCACGATTCAAACAGGAAAACAAGATAGAATGCGTCCAAAAACCAAAAATTGTAATAAACTCTATTAAAATTTTGCATGGAGTAGATTGAGCAGATCAGTACGTTTATATGTACCAGTTCCCGAGTGATAGAGGAAGCTATTTTTTGAGAATGCGTATGATAAAGTCATACATTCTACATGAAACAATACAAAAACAAAAATCTCAAAAGCCGCTGTCATACCTCATGTGTAATATTGTTGGTATCAATTAGTTGATAACTTAGTTATTGACAGGATTCTCTTTTATAAAAACCTAAGTTTTGTAGTGGATAGAGTGAACAATAAATCAGTGTTCAAATTATCAAATAAATCAAATCAAATTAGAGCAGAGACTGGTTTTTGTTTCGATAAAAGCAGTTTGAATTAAATTCACATTTTGAGGAGTTTCTTTAATAAGTTTTGCATAGTAAACTGAAGTATTTAAATTGTAATAAGTTTCTGTAAACATACTTTCATTATTTTGACCTTTAGTAAATAATCTAGAACAAAACAATGATAAAAACTTACGGTAATCAGTAGGACACTGTTGATAATGATTATTACAGGATAAAATGGTTTGTTACCACCATAACAGATTACGTGTTACATTCATTAATAAAATAAAATCACATAAATCAATAACATATCCATTTTTTACAGCCAAAATCAGTATATACATAGAACTTGTCCAAGGAAAATTTGCTTGCAGAAGGTGGTAGTTGTGTATAGTGTGTGGCGTGGAAGTTTCATTACATAGAAGCCTAGAAACATTAGTCTTTATCTCAGCACATGCATCATACTTTGGCAAGCGGCAATATTAAATACACACAACATTTTTTGCACAGATATATGCTAACTTTATACAAACATGATAAAAGACTTGCTTTTTCAGTAACTACATTCTCATATTAATTCGACAGAGCTCTTATTTCCAATATCAGCAGAATATTGATTATCTATCACCACCATAAATGAAATTAAGAGATGCATAGATCGGTGTCTCCGACTGGTTGCTGCGGCATGCCAGGCTGCCACACTGACTCTGAGGTGCTGCAAAATATAAAAATATTAGCATAATAAAGATTTCATGTATGTAGATTGAAGTTAAAACAAAGCTACGACAACTGCCGCATAGCATCTGGCTATATATCGGCTATAATAATTATAAATTACTGATAAATTTGACCATAGAGGGAGGTGTTAAACCTCTACATTCCATTTCCTACTACATTTTTAATTACTTTAACAGTTTTAAAGCTAAATGAATGATTTTTTTCCAGCTTTAAAGTCTATATTAATACAACCATAAAAAGATATTAATAAAACCAGGTTATAAATTTTTACACCTTTGCGATGACTTACCTTATAGTACTTCTTTATTTAATTTGTTCCAATTTCAGTTGTAAAACCTACATCATGCAGAATAATGTAGCAATTCAAATTTCTAAATGTAGAAATTTGGTTGCGAACTTAGAAATGCCGTTACAAAAACCCGAACTATTCGAAATACAAAAAACTATTTCAAATAGATTGAATGTTTGCAATCCAGTTTCGCATTCAATAGTGTTCTATTCAGCAAAATTTCAATTTATAAAATACAGATAGGCACTGCTTGATAATGGGAGTATGTTCTGGCGTGGTCTGCTATACATAACACAATAGTAACGCAGCAATAAGCATGTAGAAAGGTTATAGCTAATAAAGATTTTTCGGCTCCGTTATAATCCGTCATTATGGGATCTTCGTCCTTTGCCGATCTGTCAGTCTAGTGGCACATATCTGTTGTAAGTTTAAATCTATTTTTTTACAGCATATTTTCAATTTAAATAGTTTATGTAGCGTTCTAAGAATAATCCAGTCGTGTGTGTGCATACAAATTATGTAATTCTCATGTTATAATCACGATTGGATTTCTGCTAATTTATTAATGTTATTTATATTATGTTTACATAAATACTCAACAGATGGAGCTACTTTGATTACAATAATCAAACATCATTCTATGCCAATCAAAGATAGGCTCTTCCCCTCCACTCATACACGTACATTAGTTTTGCGGCTGCTTTCTGGGATAATTCTAGGCCTTTCCTCTTCACTAAGCAGTATTAAATTTAAAAGCCTGAGCTGCACGCTTGCGGTACAGTACCCTAAGCTATTGTTAATTTAGCTTGTGTAAATCTATAAAATTTACATAGCTAGGTCCCATATTTAGGGTTTTTTTTTAAGCAAATTTTAGGTGAAAATTCTTAACTAAAGTATCGATAAACACATTAAATAGGAAATAATATTTTAAATATTTTGTAGTTGTTTGCAATGTTTAAAACTTAATAATGTTGGCTACGGAAGACGAAACGCAAACTATAGTGTGTCATTAAACTCTGAGAACGTCCCGTTGGTCTTGCGCAAATCTTTCCTTTCTGCATAAATTATATTTGTGCTAACTTATGAGTAATATAATACATTTTTCTCTTCTTACGAATGATTTTTTTAAAGCGTTTTTTTACTTGCAACACAATATAATCTGTATTTTCAGGGGTTTTTTTAATTATTATTTTATTTTTTTAATTGTTTATTATTGCACATTTAATAAACAATAATATGAATAGGGTTTTTTTGTACAAATGAAAAAATAATGGGTGTTTCACTTTATGGCAGAAATCAGGAATCTAAATACACCTGTATTTAAATTATTTGGTGAGATAGAACCACTTTAACTCACTAAAAATCCTACTTTGTAAGCTATTACAGTGGAGTCTCAATTATCTGAGATGATGCTGATCTGTAAGGGTGCCTCGAATGATCAAAAACTCGATATAAAATGCTCGACAAAATACAAAAATTGAGGTCTTATGACAATTTCAATTAAAATTTGTATTGCCGCAACACATATTTCTAAAGCCTCTTTCAAGCATCAAGCATTAGCCAGGAATAGCGAAACACTTCTTCCTTCTGTTTTTATTGATAAAATATAACTTATGAGACAGCTTTTGTAGCATAACATTAGTCGAATGGCAGGCAAACAAATAGTGTATTCTGATGTACAAAACAGGTTAAACATTGCCAAAAATCTTTTAAATTGTCCTACTTCTTAATTCATTCATTCATTCTGCAGTATGTCTATAGGTATAGATTATAATTGTACACTTGACTATCATATTCTTACCTTATTTGACGTTGGACTTAATTAGATTTAGATTTAGAAATTACAGTATTTAGAAATGACAGCCATTTATTAACAACCTTTCTTTGTGTTAAAATTATTGGCCTTGTAATATTGGGAAAAACATGTCAAAATGACAGTTTATAAGTCTACATCTATTTTTTTTTAATTGTATTTTATCTTTATGACAATATAAACTGTTCTTGCATGTTTACACAAACAAAAAAATACTATAATATACTATAAATCAATGGCATTTTGCCTCCTGTCCAGTATTAGGTGAAGGAAAATTTTTAAAGGATGCATTAGCTGTAATTTAACCTTGGAATTTATATTAAAAGGCTCAGAAATGGTCCTAAATTAAACCATTAACCATTTAATAGTCTCAAGTTTGCGTACTATATTATTACTGCTTCACTTATAGAGTTAAGACTTCCTCCTCCTCACTTGTCCCAATCCATGCCGAGTTATCATTGGTTGACCGTCTTTACCCAATTTTTATCTGCGTCAAGTTTGACTTTCCGTCCAGTCTATTTATAACATCCTTATCTTCCTTTGCTAGTTGATAAGTTTAATTGTTTGCGCAAACATCCCAGAAAGTTATTGTTAAAACTCACTACAATTCACCGAATATTTGTAGCTAAAATGTATGTTCTGATTTGTTTTTGCTTAAAAATGTGTGTAGGTCTGCACCAACAAGTGTTGGTGCACACCTACACACATTTTTAATACAGGAGAATTGGCTCATCAAGTTTCCTCTGTCCACTGGCGTAACTCATCATTATATCTGTAAGGACGTCTATAGAATTTTAACCGCACAGCTTTCAGCAAAAATATTTATTTTTTAAATATCCTTGTTAAAAACAACAAATGTTACGAAATTTCCTGACAATACGCTTTAGTAGAGAGGAACAATCAACACTTTCTTACTCATTTACTGTATTTTTTTTAATATAAAAATACATAAATTAATAGCTGCATGTTAACAAATACATTAAACTGAATTCTAAGACAATTATATGCAAATCCTAAATTTTCCTGCATTAAATTAATAATTTAGGATCTAATGCATAGAGTTAGACACACGAAAGCTTATATCACGAGAATCTGTAGACCATTTATAAGACAAAGTTACTAAATGACTTGCCAAGCAACAAGTATTTTATTTAATGCGTAATCCAGAGGCTCTCGAAAGGGTTTTATATTAACTTTCCTCATTTTTTAACGCTAATTTGCCCTTTCAAACTGAGACAAAACATCTATTTATGCCATGCCATGAGTAACTTGAGGGACGATGGACGTTAGTTTAGTAATTTGAAATAATTATTAAAATGATGCAGAGAATTCTCCTTTCTAATCGGTTTGATCAGCTACAGGAAGAAGGAATTTCCTGTCCGCCATATTTTCTATGTATTATCTGTTCCTGTTCCTTTCTCACAATAATATGAGTCACTCTGTGATAATCATCTCTTGGGTTTTATTTTTGTTTTAAAGTTGCATTCGAAGACAAAATTATTTGTAAATTATAAATTAGCCAGTGATCGATAAGTTACAAGAAGCAATTGTTGCATTAACGCAAATCAAAAAATAGAATTTAAGCTACAAGGCTACGGCATAGAATCTCGTACTTAGAAGCAGAAGGGCCTCTTATATTATAGCTTAGGGATTCCGGTCCAAATTGAGGCCTATTACGTGGACGTTCTGTGCAATAAAAAATCACTTCAGTGGAAAATTAGAGCTTTGAAATGGGAAAAATCTGTTGCCGTAAGCGACAACGATGCAAGATTTTGTTTAAAATCCTACTTCATTGTCTTAAATTTTCCTAATGTTAAATAACGAAGAGCAGAGCTTATGGTAATATATACAGTGTATCTTTAAAAGATACTGTCACTTTGGTTTGTGCAAATCATTTCTGCTCTTTTACAAATTCACATTTGCCAAAAAAAAAAACACTATGTTTACTGTTTTAAATGAGAGTATTTAGTGTCCTTCCCCTTTAAATTTATCCTATTTAATTAGTAAATGCATAGTTTTCTGCTCACACATTAATTATGGAATATTTGAAAGCACGTCGGTACGTTGAAATTGCTTGAAAATGAATAAAATATTTTTCCATTTGGCCCTTGACATTACAATGCACCCAATTCCTGCGAAATCTTATCGGCCGATTTTTTCTACTCTTTCGCTTCCTGCCTCGTACCATGTTTCAGGAATTCAGGAACTGTTCCCCCACCCTTCCTCTCGCGCGACTCCCTTGCCGCTGACCAAATTTCTCTTTAAAACTAGAACTAAAATAATAATTTCCCACACTGGGGGGAAAACAAATAATAAGAACCCGTACTCGACTCCACGAAGCCATTAATTTGGGCCGGCATCCAACTTTCTTAAGCAATAAATAGATGCATGTCATTACAGTGTTACTGTTAATGTTAGTTACCGACAAGTCATTGCATAATTTTACTGTTTAAGTTGCAATTCTCGTCATTAAGCTAATTATTCGCACATTCCCTGTAGCTACATCCCCAAAACATCCTTTAATCATCATAATTTAGCCAATGGATCGTTTAGATTTCTGTCGTCTGTGGATATTTACACCTCTCCCTCCAGAGAACGAGACAAATATCATAACAGTTCTCTTATCTTATCTTATGCTTCGATTTAGAGAGTAGATATAGAAATTATCATTTTCGTTCATCCGAGAATGCATAAAACAATAGAAAATTATCATCGTGATTCATCTCATGAAGTGTATGACAAAGGAAATCACATTCATTTCTCTAACAGAGCATTAATTAAACAAGGAAAATCATCCTCTCCATTCATCTTACTAATATAAACTGTAAAGTAAGGAAAATCATCATTATTCATCTGCTAGACGATAAATGAATATAAAAGGCATGCTTTTCATCATCTGACAGAGAATTAAACAAGGAAAATGAAGCTTTTCATTCCTTTAGTACAGGATAAATTAATAGAAAATCATGCTCATCATCATCTAACTCAGCATTAAGCAAGGAAAGTTAACCTCTTCATCCATTTTATAGATGATAAATTAATAGAAAAACCGTGCTTTTCATCATCTGACAGAGAATTAAACAGAAAATAGAGGAAAATCAAGCGTTTTATTCCTTTAGTACAGGATAAATTAATAGAAAATCATGCTCATCATCATCTAACTCAGCATTAAGCAAGGAAAGTTAACCTCTTCATCCATTTTATAGATGATAAATTAATAGAAAAACCGTGCTTTTCATCATCTGACAGAGAATTAAACAGAAAATAGAGGAAAATCAAGCGTTTTATTCCTTTAGTACAGGATAAATTAATAGAAAATCATGCTCATCATCATCTAACTCAGCATTAAGCAAGGAAAGTTAACCTCTTCATCCATTTTATAGATGATAAATTAATAGAAAAACCGTGCTTTTCATCATCTGACAGAGAATTAAACAGAAAATAGAGGAAAATCAAGCTTTTTATTCCTTTAGTATAGGACAAATTAATAGAAAATCATGCTCATCATCTAACTCAGCATTAAGCAAGGAAAGTTAACCTCTTCATCCATTTTATAGATGATAAATTAACAGAAAAACCGTGCTTTTCATCATCCGACAGAGAATTAAACAGAAAATAGAGGAAAATCAAGCTTTTTATTCCTTTAGTATAGGATAAATTAATAGAAAATTATGCTCATAATCATGTAACTGAGCATTAAGCAAGGAAAGTTAACCTCTTCATCCATGTAACTGAGCATTAAGCTTTGTTTATTCTGATTCGTTTATCATCTATCAAATGGAGGATGAAGAGAATAATAATCCTCTTCATCCTCCATTTGATAGAGGATAAACGAATAGAAAAAAACTATGCTTTTTATCATCTGACAGCACTAAACAAAGAAAATCATCATTTTTATAAGAAGAAACGAGAGAAAAACAGCAGGAGTGTTTGTCTTCAACTTGTTACGATCGTACAGAAGATAAAATTACCCCCTTTCTGCGAACGGGAACAGGGCAGACGACACTCTCCCCCTCGCATTCTAGGAGCAAAGGAAATGCTTAGCCACCGTGCAAACAAACACCTTTTTTATCTCTTCATTTATCGTCCCCTCACCACTCAAACCCCCCCCCGAAATCATCCGATGACGATCGCGCGGGATCTAAGTTGGGATACGTTACTAGCCGAATAACGACTCGTTCGGCAATTCTTCTCCCCTCGACCCCGTTTACTCGCCGGTTTCTCACTCGAAATAACGCAGGGGGGAGGCCAGCGTGGCCGGAAACCTCCCTCGCCCTCCAGAAAATTCAAACCGGGCCCGGGCGGCCGGCGATTGGACAGGACGCGTCACGTGCCCGGAGACGTAATTCGAATTTACGTCGCCGCCAATCGATTACGATAATCGATTATTCGGATTTTAATTGCCCTTCTTTCTCCGTCGCCCGCGATTAATTAATTGGATTTAATCGCCCGGACCGCAGCCAATACCTGCCATCGGCTTGATTTATATTTAAAATTCGTCTTTCCCAGCTAAACGTCGGCCGGCCGGCGCTTTTATATTATTACTCCCGCGGCCGCCATTTTGATTATTGTAATCGATTTTTTCGCGTGGAAACCGATTTCGAGCGAGGAAATTATTATTTTTTTTAAATTAATTAATAACGAAGAAAAAAAAATTAGCGAAAGCGAGAAGGTTCGGGTAGAGAAGGTTCGAAAGTACGTCACGGGCACTCAACAGGTAGGACGGGGGTCGAGCGAGCGAATTAATAATTATTAATGCTCGGGGAGGGTGAAGGCGAAGTTTCCGCACGTTTCGGGCGCGTGGAATTTCGAGCGGGACGGAGAAAATTCTCCATCGTCTGGTCACCCGGCCGTAGTTTCATTCGGCGACGGTAGATGGCGGAACGTCGACGTTGCGGCTGCTGCCGACGGAATTGATCGCGGGAGAAGCTCCCCCTCGTTTTTTTTCCTTAATATTATTATTTTTTTAATATAAATATTTTTATTGGATTTTTGGCCGGCGGACGAGACTTGAGCTGCGGATTCGATGGCGAGTATTTTTCCGCTGCGGCGGGAGGGACGTAGTAAAAATGTCGGGCGTAGGAGGGGGTGGCGGTGGCGGAGTCGTGCCCCGTTTCCTTTCCTATTAAGCAGCAAGTTGTAATTTGTAGATAAGGACGTCTACTGCCGTTATCAGGGAAGTGGAGGACACAGAACAGGAAGCAAAGGCAGCGAGTCTCTGCCGTCGTCGGCCACCCTCCCTCCCTTCTTCCTGCCGATATTAGAGGAGGAGGGGCATCGCGTGTCACACACACGCGCACCAACGCGCGCCACGCGCACGTGGGCAAGTGCGGCAGTCGAGGTTCGGACGGGTCCCGCCGACGACCCTCTCCCCGACGTTAAAACCACCATCCATTTCAGGACTTGTGAAAATCGCCGCTTCGCTGGGGATTCGGCTCCTGGCGCCCAGGAAGAAGGTCACCGTCCTCCTGATAGGAAACCATTCGGCCGGCAAGAGCACCTTCGTCAACTGGTGAGTGTCCGTTTTTTTTTTACCGTTGCCCGCGGGGTATTCCTTTTGTTCCTTCGGCGTCTGGCGATTCTCATCCTCTTCTCCCGTTCTGGCAGAGGCAGTTGAGTACGCGGCATGTTTCCGAAGGGAGAGATTTGCTGCGGATAGGTAGTCTTTACTTTAAATCGCACGAGAAGCGAACGGCCCGTCGTTAAGAGCTCGTCTTGCAGTGTCGGCTGGTGCCAACAGTTGTAATCGTGTGACCGCTTTGTTTATAATTTCACTTAGTCTTTAAATTATGCTTTAGTTAGATTAGAAATTTCCTTAAGTTACTCTTCTGCTCTTAAGTGCTTCCTAGACAAGCGTGGTTTCTGCAATAATTTATTTTATAATAGTTCTTTAACAGACTAACATTATGCCAGTAGTTATTGCACAGAAATTTTGCATTATTGCACTTTGTAAGCTTTGTACGATCCTTCGCAGAGTCGGGATATCCCATTTTTAAGCAGATAATTTTGTGCGCTAATTGTTTCGAAATCTACTTCGGAAATTACTTTCGAATCTGGGATAAGATAATTGATTGTTAAAATAAGCTTAATCCTCTCGTGTTATGAATTTACGGGTTTCTCGTGATAACTTATTATGTGTTTGCTTATAGAAATTCGCACATTCTTAAATTAAACGGTTGTATCTGACCGAAGAGCGACATTTGGCCATCCGCATCTGTGTCATTCTCGTGGATAAGAAGGGCCTTATCTCTCTCCTAGTTTAACTTTAAGATATGCCATTTGTTTTGATGATTAATCACTTATCTCAATACAAGCCGTTCGAACCGAGCTTAGATATTGGAGGGTTGTTAGCAAATTTTCTTTGTATGCTTCGTACTTTCTTTTTTTGCTATTTCTTTCTATTTTCTTTGTTTTGTCAATGCTCTATTGGGGCAAAAGCTTTAAATATCTGTGACCCAAGTGCTTCCGAACTTCGCCGACCAATTTTTGGGATGTAAATCTTGATTTTTCGGACTAATTTATCCCTCCGGGCAAGCCGGATTGGATCAAAAGTTGTAAATATTTAAACACTATGCTCTAGGGTGCTAACAAATACAATAAACGAAGACAATCTGAAGCTTATATTTGATATTCTTGCAGCAGAAACTGCAACAGTAATTAATTGGTTTATAAATATGAAAGTCTTTATCTGTCATTTCTAATTACTCACTTCCGTAGATAATGTTTTTTTATTACGTACCAGACTCTATAATGTTACGCAGTGGTTCAAATAACATAGATATCCTCTGCTCTTATTTTAAAGAAAACTGAATGTTTTAATAAGTAAATATAATTAATTTAGTGTACAGATCATATATGACTGAAGATATTGTGTGTCAATATCATTATTTACGAATTGTGACTGTATATGTGATGATTAATAATTCGGTTGATAATTTTGTTTATTAAAAGAAAAAGTCATATTTAATTTCCTTATAACAGCCAAGCAAGCGTATATGTAAAGTAATTATTAGTTTATGATTAGAAATTTTAGCACATGTCGATTAAATGTGATTTTAAGGGATATTTTTTGCTTGTACGGTCAACTCATCCTCTTGTTTCTTCCAGGTACATAGAAGAACACATTCAGAAAACTGGCGTGGCCATTGAAACTCAGGGATTTACCATCGTCACCAGCGGAAAGAAAAGGGAATCGCTCACGGTACATTTCATTTTGGAAATAGTTTCCAATTGTTAAAAATACGTTACAAATAATTTACTCTTTTATTTTGAAATAGGGAAATGCCACACTGCATCTCTATCCGTATTTTACTCCACTGCAAAAGATTAAAGGTAATTTTAGAGACGCTTGTTTTCATTCATCTCTTTAAAGAGTAGCTTTACTTATGTTTTTCGGACAAGATCGACGAAGTTGCTGTGTCTCGGCGGTATAGTCCATCATCGGGTTGCTAGCTGTCATAGGAGGCCAGCTGCCCAGTGAAGGGCTGTTCCACCAGACAGACCTCTTCGAGAGCAGAACCTGCAGTTGCTGTCAATTCAAATCTTTTCGGAGATATCAGTAACTGAAAGTAATTTTTGTCCCCGCGGCAGGTCTGACGGACTATCTGACGACCGAGATATCGACTTCGAAACAGAAAAAGTTTAGCCTGGTGACATTTGTCGACACTCCGGGTCTGGTGGATGGTGACATGAAGTACCCGTTTGATGTCAATCAAGCCATTTTATTTTTAGGTAATCAATTATGTGCATCAATTGATAATTTTGTTAAATTAGGAAATTATAAAAGGGATCTAACTGAATCAAAATTGTCATTAAAAATCACAGTTACGGCATAAATATTATCTTGCAGGCGAGGTGGCGGATTTAATTTTTGTTTTCTTCGATCCAATCGGACAGGCGCTATGCAAAAGGACTCTGAATCTTGTCGAGAAACTGAATGCAAAACACAGCGACCGCATCAGAATGTATTTAAGTAAGGCGGACGAAGCCGGACATGAAAGCGATCGTCAGGTATGATAATTTTGTAACGTTCTTTCTTGTACAAGTACTTGAATAAAACACTCAATTTAAATATAGGATGATTCCAAATCCCCATTAGAAAGTTTAAAGGCATATTCTATGATTCAGAATAACAAAATGTTCTGATAATGAACAAAATAAGTATATAAATGCCATAGGATAAGTCTGTTCTGGTTTCCTTTCCTGTAATAAAATTATGGGTGTGACGATGGAATGCGTATCAGTTAATTATATAAATGTGAAAGCATTCTTTGCTGCGCAACACTAGTGTATGACTCGGAAACAATGACATTTCTCATATTCAGTGCGTTGTTTACAGTCATATGATTCATCACATTTGCCTTCCATTTGCTTTGCAAATTAATAGCTTTAATGAATGTATGTTCTTTGGAATTAAGCACAAATTTGCTATGGAGAACTTATCATACAAGATCACTTTTACCATTGGAAGAAGTGTTCCTGTATGATGAGTTCTCCATAGCAAATTTGTGCTTAATTCCAGAGAACATACAAGCAATAGAGAACAGCAAGCAACTTCCTGGAGTTTCCATGGTGACTACAATGGCCATATCTTGGAAAGTTAATGTTTCGCTGAGCCTTCTTATACTTCCAAGCTGTAGGATACACGTTTAAAGTTAACAATAGTTTTGGAATTATCCTGTGTATAGAAAAATTAAAATATTAACATAAATATTCATTTTCAGAAAGTGTTAATGCAGATCGTTCAAGAACTTTGTAAACGTCCCGGTTTAAACAAGTGCGGTTTCGATTTGCCAACCATCTACGTGCCTCATTCGAACAATGTAAGTGTCTGCCATAATGCAAATTAAAATAACTTGCAGAACGCGGTAATTAAACCTACACATTTTTTGTATTTAAATTAGCCGAGCAGATGCGTTAACAGAATTGAAGAAGTGTGTAAAGAGATCGACAGGACCATCAATTTGACAATACAGAACACCCTAAACTCTCTCGAATACGACTGTGAACGCATCGCCTCCGCAATATACGATTCCATTTTTCGTGACGAGTGCGTATTGTCCTGAAATCTTTATTAATCCTAGATTTGTAAATACTTCCGGAAAAATGTTACTTGTAAATATTTGTCAGACTGTACATAAATGAGGAATATTTTAAACATGAAAGATTAAATGATTATTCACAATATAATTGACACTCTACCCTTTACTTGAAAGAAAAAATTGGGAAATTTTTACAGATTGTCATTCAATATAACAGAATAAACTTATTACGTAGTAAACATTTTCAACTGCCTATTTAACCGAGATAAAGTCAAATGTACACTTTATATTGCAATGTAAAAATTCAATAAACTTGACGCGACATTGCAAAATACATAAATTAGTATAACCGACTAACTTTAGACGGCCAAAACTCCGACCATTTTTGGTTAATGAGCCGACGACTCAGTTAAGATATTACGGCGACATCAAAAGTATTTGAAATTAAGAATGAACTGTTGTAATTGAAATTTGTATACTGGAATGGAATATTTATTTTAGAATAGATGAGTTATAATAGAAAAAATATCACAAATTTTTATATAAAATTGAGGGATTAACATGCTTTTTGTATTGTTAAAGTTGATCGGATATCCGAAATTCCGAGTTAAGTATTGCCTTGACGTAATTGTAAGCTTTGTGTTTCTGGAATATAGTTTTATTTAACCACATTGAATAAAGATGTCGAGATCACTTATAAAAAAGTACACTTGTTCCCTCCTGCATCCATAAAACTTCTAAAAGACGATAATGTTAAGGCAATGAATGTCTATTAATTAAAGTACAAAACACAAACAGTTGTAACTGTGAAAAGCATCCTTTTCTCCCCAAATTCTACAAAACGTTTCTTTTTCTAGTAATATTAATAAAATAAAAATCTTAAAAAAACTGAAACTAGACCCTCTTTTCTTTTCCTTTTTTTCTGTTCACTGTAATTGAACCTCTTAGTGATATCCAAATCACTAACCTCTCGTCCAAGCAAGCATCTTGGAAGGATGAGAGGTTTGGAAAAACCTCTCGTCCTTCCAAGATGCTTGCTCCTTCGTAATGTTATGTTATCAATTTCTTATCGTGCTATATGAAAACTATGATTGGGAGAGTGTAAATACATCAATTACGTTCCCGTACTTGGCTAATTTAATTTCTGTAGGGGTACAATAGGGCATTTGATAGGGTGCTTGTCACACACTTTTATAAATTGATCCAGTTAAATGTGACTCTTTTGCCGACACAATATGCAGAAGATGTTGCTTTTCAAAATAAACTCATCACATTACTCGAAAATATTTAAACATTAGGATGCAATATTGCAAGATAGAAATTTATTTATACTTGAAACGTTAGTAGCCAAGCATATATCTAGCAGCATACGTGTTCTCGTCAATAAAGCTCTTCTGCCTTTAATCCTTTCAATATTAAAAAGTAAATGTTATTTTCGAATTTTATATGATTAACAACTTACAAAGAGAAATGAAATGAACTTAGTAACTGTATCCGGATGTCATCAACATCATCTTTATCTCATGCATTGATTATAATAAACCTTGTTAAAATATACACAATACGCTAGTAGGAGGATATTATTATGCATAGTTTTAACTAATATGGGCTGTAGCCTTTTAGTATATAAATCATCCTTGAGAGGAATGCGGCAATGTTTTTAAGTAAGCATTACTTTTGTTCGAGATGGACCTAAAAGTGAAGCATACGTAATGCAGCTTCTTTGTTTTTATTAACTAGTTGAATTACATAAACCATGGCTTTATTCTGTTTGTAATGAAGGAATTGTTCCTGTTGCACTCTGTTATTTGACAATTGAATTATTTGATGATTGTCACAACTATTTGCAGTTGACAAAAGTCATAGGTTATCCAAACTAAGATCTTATTTTGTTCTATCATTTAACAATTTAGTTTATTTCTCATAATTAAGACAAAAACAAAATAAAAACACGGAATTATTGGCAATCTTAATTCCTAATTAAAAATTAAATGCTTGTTTTAAAAGGAATGGATAAGATTTTTTTTAAACGCAAGTATTGTATTGATGCGTGATATCGGTTTAATTATTACAAAATATAAATATATCGGTAACTATGATTAATTAATTATTAAGACACTAACAAGAGAAACCTTTCGATCCATGCATGAAATAAATGACATCTCAATAGCTATCGGGCATATTTGTTTCCAAGAAAAGAGACGTCGAGGTGCATCTGGCTCCTCCAAGTCGCAAAAAAGGCCTCAAAATTTGTGACAAGCAGACATAGAAGTAACTTGCAATACCCAATCATCTTCCCTGTTAGCGAAGTGATAATTCAAATTAATTTATAGATAAATGTGTATTTTTTTAAATATTTGCTTAGCTGTTCCTTGCATGCATTTATATGTTTATAACAAGTCGTAGCAACTTTCGGTAGAAGTTTTGTGACAGAAATGCTAGTCGCTACAACTAAAGGGATTTTCTTTAATATACATACAATAAATTCATAAATAAAGACAAGGAAGTACATCTGTGATGACAGAATGATTGAAATAAACAATAAAATATTGACACTTGACACAAATTATATACACTTTTCCACAGTATAAATATATGTAATTGCTATCAAATTAAACAGAAACTTTATGAAGGCAATGTTTCTACTGCAACAAAATTCTCCAAATTGATAGAAAACCAACCAACCAACTACTCAAATACAATGAAACTTTGAAATTAGAAAAATTTCATTTGTAAATTGGGTTTCGAACCAGATACTACAGAGATAAAAAGAAATTGCAAGCATTACCACATCACCACAGGTAGCCGGGGATGTGGCGCGCACACAAACACACATGAACACTGTTATTTTCAAGGCTATTTTTGGCACTTGTTAGAGGAGCGGATACAAATACGTCGGGACGGTTCTCAAAATGTTATTTATTTCACATGTGAGTTGGAAGGACATTAACTGTTTTCAGCTTAGAATGAGTCTCAGTGGATTAGAATGATGTAGAACAGCAGATACAGTTGGAATTCTTGTATTATTGGTATAAAATCGAGTGATACTAGGTAAAATAGTCAACATTTTGGCAATTGGCCCAGTAGAAAGGAAACTAACTAACTAATGTACAGAAAGAGTTAATTGCAATGCTGAGTCTTGTGTTTATAAGCCTGTAACATGACTTCCTGTCAGTTAATCCGATGAAATTTTGAGCATGAGATCCATCACCAAACAAATTAAGTGTTGGATCCAAAGATTTCAGGCCTTTTGATCTTTAACTCCCCAAAAAAAAAAAAAAAAGGCAAAACAGTTTAATGTTTTTTGGACATTAAACTGTCCAAAAAACATTGGACAGTTTAATGTCCAATTAAATACCCAATATACTGTTAAGTATATTGGGTATTTAATTTTAAAATTCCTATTCTAATTAACACCAATTTATTCTATAAGACTTTGTTTTAGCATCCAAGGCATTGTTGCACACAACTATATGTTTGATAACTTTAAGCCTAAGTTTTCTTTTCCAAATAGGAATATGTAAGGAGTAATGTTCTCATTGAAATTATCAAATATTCAAATTATCAAATATAATAAATTATTTAGCATTGACATAATCCTGTTTGAAACACATACATAACATGCATATTTTTGTGCCTGTGATGTAAAAAGTGTAAACTGCAAACAAAAGATTACACTCTTACAGATCATCCATTTGGCAACTATTTTAATAATTGCCATACATTCACTCGCAGCATATCTTCCTCAAGCGCCTCTTCGAGATAAAAATCTGAAGCTCTTCCATGCTTTCTCCTGATAGCATAGTGTCAATGAGAATTGGAAATGAATGAGTCTCATTTATTCCCAATTCTTATTTCACAGTCAGGCACTCTAGATCTCCTCACACGTCCGTCTTTGAAAAGCATTAAACACACACGAGGACATAACACATCCTTGTCGTACTCCCTCTTGATTGCAAATTAGTCACACACTTTACCATCCACACACACACATGCTCTGCTGTTTTCACACGTCACTCTCACACCTTTAAGTAACTTACTTCTCATTCCGTAATCACATAATATCTGCCATATTCATTCTACTTTTCTTAGACCAACAAACATTGCAAACACTTTCTTAAACATTCCTCCATGTGAAAATCTGATACACATACCCCTTCACTTCCTTAATAATCCACATTGCACATTCCATATTTACTTTCAGTCAACTTCTCAACTTTCAACCAGCACTTGCACAAATACTTTTCCAGGTATACTCAGCAATCAGAGGTTCTTGTACTTTCCCTTGTCTATTGGAATAATTGCACGGCACCATGTTCTTATCCCAACATAAGGTGCAAAGTCACAGCATCCATTCTTCAATATCTTAACATTTCTGTAGTCACACCACCTGGAACAGATTTGCCATTTTGCATTCCTGAAAAAAATAGTGATGGATGTGGCCCTATCTTCATTTATCTCTGCAACTGTTCCTCCATTTGTGTGCACTTTCACTACCCTTCAACTGGTTTTCAAATATTCATGCCACCTCTTATTTGTGCCACAACAACTCACCATTTGTATTTCATACTCAAGGTATGACATTTCTTTGTTGTCACATAACTATTCTGGAAGCAAAATGAAGAGTATTTCTATTTCTACTTTCCTGAAATGTCCCTTGCAAATGCCTGACCCATGCTTCATTCACGCAGCCTCTTGCTTCTTCACTTTATATTCATCCTCATTTACACTGCCTTTCAGTTGGCCCACGTTTGCAGCCTTTTTTCTCTTTCACTGCTCGCTCAACTGTTCCACCATATATCTCTCTTCCTGTTTCTACCACACAAAATTGGAAATTTAGCTTCTCCAGTCATCGGGCACTCTTTTTCCTCTTCCTCCATGATCTTCAGGTGCACTCTCACTATCACGAGTAATCATTTGAACCACGGTTGGCTTATCTCATAACTCTTATATCCTTTCCATTGTACTTCTCAATCTATTGTCATTACACAGCAAAATGTATTATGCTACTCTGACTTTAGTTCACGTAGGAAAATTGTATGTAAACTTGTATGATAAAAAACTGTTGGACAACAACAGATATCTTTCCACACAAGACTCAATGAATTGTTCTCCATTATCATTCACCCAGAGATTACCACGTATACCAGCACTCCTTCAGATACCTCTCTTCATACTCACATCTCCAGTTAGAATAACACCCTCCACAACTTTTTCCAAAACTCGTCATTGCAAATGCCAGAAAGGACAATAATCATTCTCTATATTTTTATTTTGAAGCACACTCACATTGTTCTTTAATTCACTTGCTTGTACTCCTTCATGCACGTATGCATTAATTAAAACACCTACTCCTGTGTTTGCTTGCTCTGTCTCTCGCACAGACCAGATCAACGTTCTTGTTCACATTCACATCCATAACCTTCTTGTCTTTCACTCTCGTCCAGCTTATTTTCAGTCATTTCACTTCTTGCTTCTCTTACATTCCACACACCAAATTGACATTCACACTTCTGCTTTCTTTTTTTCATTAGACAACTATACAATCGAAGTGAACATTTCCAAATAGTCTTGCAGACAAACATTTACGATTTCACAATTAGATTTTTACTTATTGTAGTATATTTTCAGACAGTCAAAACGGGAGAATTTTCGTGCCAGCGGAAAAGGAATACTGCTCGCCATGCTGGGCATCGTTCTGCCGCTTCTGTTCGTCTTGAATTTCCTCACCGGTAACGTTTCAAGCTACGTCTTGGGGGAGAACCTGTCCGAAATAATTCGGCTGTACACGGTAAGTGACTGCTCTCCAGGGGATGTTTCCGAATTTTCCAGTATTAATTTTTAGTTGTCGTTTCAGCCGAACGTGGGTGCGCTGTGGAAGAGACTTCCTTCCGACTATTACGTTTCGTTCCTGATTGCGGTCTCCATAATTTCTGTCCTATTTCTGATCCTGGCAAAGTGGTATTTCAGGTAAGTTAAGAAAATAGTGATAAATTAACCTTTTAATAAAATACTAATTTACGCCTTGTGTTTCAAATCAAGACTGAAGCCCACCCTCACCAGAAAACAAAAGAGGACCCTAATCGAAACTAAGGATTACATACAAAACTATGTGAAGGTGAAAAAGGTAAGAGGATCATTTGTGATTCTTTAGTTATCGATCCCATTTCACATAGTGTTAAACATTAAATTATGTTCTAGCAACATCTCTACCAAGAATACCTGATGCAGAGTGTGGCCGATCACGATCTGGCGTGAAATCAAAGATGTTAGTACAAACGTACTCATATTGAAAACTATTATATATATATATATATATTGTTATGGTAGCCAAATGATGTATAGAGACATAAAAATTCCTATAAGTTTTTACAGTTTGGTGTTATATACTTTCATAATGAGAGACTAAGTTGGCAGTAAATACAAAAGAACTACAATTTTATTTGTTTCTATACAACATACTGAAAAATGATATTACATGTACTGTGCTAATGCGACAGTAAAAGGTTCTTTGGCTCTAACAAAGTAAGTTTACAGTTTCCGTGATGCGATCGGAGTAGAAAAATAGAACTCTGATATATGTACATCGAATATTTTTGATCCCAAACGTTTCTTTAACGTGACAATTTTGTTCCACGACAGGTTTATCACAGCGGAGAACCTCGATCTTCGACGTGCAACGATTAAATTTCTCAATTATATCACAACCGGCATTGGGACATTTTGATTTGACTGATGGCCGAAAAGCCTCGCCCACCGAAGTTTCTCGAGCGACGGGCGCGATGCGCTCGGGGGGAAAAAAGTTACAAAATAAAACCGACGTACGTTTTTCATCCTACCGGTTTTGTGTTTCTAACATAAATAGTGCAACGTACGGCCTAAAAACTATGAGTATTATTTAGCTGCCCGGTTCTCGTCAGATTGCTGTCTCCCTCGCATTTTTCGACTCCAGAAAAGGTACGGCCCTTTCGGAAATTTGGGGAAGTTCCTTCTCGTCGTAGTCGTACTCCTCCTCTTCTTCCTTCATGAAAAGCGTACCGTTCATGACTATTATGGGTTTTGGATCCCACAGGTGAAGTGGTTCGGGATGCTTCTTTGGTTCCACAGCTGCTCGAATCCTCTGCAAAAACAAATGGCCGGTAATGGAACAGACATAAATTGAGACTGCATAATGTTTCTTTTTTCTCTGTAGGTACTCTCATCATAGCATTGTTACCAAAAATTTTTTGGCTGATGGTAGAGCCACAGGGTAATTCTACCAAACAGTTGATAATTGCATTGTAAGATCCAGAATTTCCCCAACACCAGCCAAAAGACTTCTATTCTGCATGCACAGCATTGCACATTGCCGAAACAATGGGGAGAGTACCTAGAGAAATAAACCGAGACTACATAACACACACAATTCCATTGCTATAACCAAAACTCTGGACAGAAGCCTAACAACCCTTGTATTTACATGCAAAAATTAAGTAAATCTCACCTCCACAAAGTGTACTTTCGGCGTTTTGCGGAAAGTATTCAGTCCTATGATCAGTATCCAGCAGAGAGTCAGGGAAAAACCAAACCATCCCACAGCCTTACCCACTCTGGCATAGGTGTAACCAGAATCGTCTGCCAGCTTGTGCATTGTTGCAATACTAAAAATTACCACAGCCTGCAATAGAAGTTCACTGTCAAATTTTGAACGACAACGATTACCTTTAATTAAAAAATCTCCTACCAGCAACACCAGTGGCGAGAGAAAAGCCCAACAGATCTGAAAGTAGACGGACACCTTCATCCCCAAAGCTTCCGTGATGTCGGAACTTAGTTTTTTGGTCCCTCGATGATTAAATCACATCGAACATAATTAGTTATTTTAATTAACATAAGGTTCTAAACGAATTGTTTTGATACTTACCATAAATCCAACTGAGGGAGATGGCTTCAAAAACGGCCAGTATGACAACTGCCAGCACTCCCACATAATGATCTATCACTTGAAAGAAATATATTCCAGCCTGTAACGGAAAACGCATTACATTCCGACGGTCCGGCGCTAAAGAATTTCCGCTCGGAAAATATATTACCTGCGTCACGTACAAAATGCTAGAGAAAAAACAGAAGACGCATATTACGAAGAGGAACAAGGAATGTCCTTGGAATTTCCGTTTGATGAAGTGACTGTACGATTCTTCTAGAGACGTCACCACAACAGCCACCAGTTTTATCTGAAAGAGACATACAGAAATGAATCGTTTGCAGTTAATGGAAGAAAATAATGTTACACCTTGCATATTGTGCCCACTTACCATACTTTCTGACGAGAAGCAATAAAAGAAACAGTTTTAATTTAACGACAGAAAATTGCTTTGAAAGACAGAGTGCAAGAACACTCACCTGATACTCCATTCCCAGCCAGAAAAACATGATAAAAAAGAACACACCCCACAGCGAAGGCACCGGAGTGGTCCCCACGGCGACGGAGTACACGACGAATGCCAGACCGGGATCTGCAACAGATCGGTGTCAGACATTGGCAATTTTGCCTCGCGTTTCTAATATTTACCTTTGTGCAGGATGGAGTCTATCGGCCTTCCGGTTCTCGCGGATAGGTGTCCAACGCTCCCGAAGGCAATGCACGCTATAATGAGAACCGTGACCACCGTAAAAAATGCCAGGATCCAAGTATCCCTACGAAAGCAATTGCAAATGATAATATTAACATTTAATAAATTGGATTTGGTTCATAATAATAATTTTACAACTATATTTAAGACCCTAAGAGACTTTCGAACACACCAAAATAGGGTCACCGAAAATTTCCTACAAATAAAAATTGAACAGGAGATAATACAAAATTAACCTTATTTATTTTAAGATGGCGTATTACTATTGTAGTTACAAAATAGTTCACAATCTCCTTAAGTGACACCGTACCCTGCCGAACAGACTTCGCAACAAATGTCGGTCTAAGCTTATGCACAAGCTCATTGGTTACTCTGTTACTCAAATACATTTATGTCAAAAATTCCTTTAAGGATTAAACGATGCCGTTCGATCGGTTGCAGTTTTGGCGGATTTCGTTCTTTTGGAACACAGTGTTAGAATAATGACAAGTTGCAAAGTGGCTTATTGGTGTGTGCCTTAAAAATGTCATCAATGTAAGTGTTTGCATTTATTATCCCAGTAGAGAGAAACAGTCCATTCTTCAAACCACAATGACGGAACTTAGTCTTATTCATCTTGTAGTGCTCCGGGCATCTTGGCGACTAGAAGAGATGTAGAAATCTCAACCGGTAAGATATTTAGAATGTGCAAAACAATATGTTTCGTCGTCCATCACAATACACTAGTACTTGGTTGTATAAGTCTTGCGATCTGGGTTTTACTGCTAAATTTTGTTTCGTTTCGCAATCCGGAGCGGTCCGTACTTTGTAATTCTTCAGTCCATCTCGCAATTTTACTATTTAAACGTAGCTTTGGGATGTTTTTACCGTTTTACCACATCTTGCAAAGAAAGTTTTAAATTTTCTTTTGACGACCGTCAAACTTTCCACTCTGTCGTAATTAAAAATTACACGCTTCCTTTCGATAACAAAATATTCTTTGAAGTTACTGGCGACTTTTGCAACCATAGATTTTGCAAGTTTTCTTACACTAAAACACGGAATTTCACAATACGCACGCAATATCAGTTTGCAACATTCCAATTCTAATGCCGCCACTTTTACAGTTAGGGAATTAAACAAAACACTATCGTGATTTTTTTTTGTTCTGTACGTCTATCAAGTACTTTTCCTAAAATACTATTAGCTCTAATAGTTGAATTTAAATCTGTACAAATTGATCTCGGCAAATTCGCCCTTTATTAGAACATTTTCTCCTTTCTCCTAATAGATTTTGTAATTAATAACCAAAGAAAGTTAAATATTACTTAAAAACCTTGCTTTTTATTTAAGTACTTGACGTATTGAAAAAATAAGTACAATATGCCAAAGTTGTGAACTATTTTACAATACAGTAGACTTCCCTATAACACTGTTGATAATTCCGTGTTATATGAATTCCATGTTGTAGGAGTCACTTAAATTTTAAAAATACATGTGCCGGGCTGTGAACAACTCAAGTATTTGTAAAATCCAAGAGACTCGTACATCGTGGAATTCGTATAACACGGAATTATCAACAGTGTTATAGGGGGTCGACTGAACTAGTGTTCGTGTGAACACTAAGTAAACTGGTGGAATTTTGATAACCTAATCCACTTTGTTAAGTTAGCGTTCTCTTTTATCCATCTGCATATTAAATTACTACGTATTTCTTTTCTTTTTTTGGTATTTATACAATTTTCGTAGGGTGTGATTCTTTGACACAGGAATCTACACTTACAAATTATGGGATTAGAAAAGTTATTTTAATATTGTGATAACTTTTTCTTATGCAAATTACTTTATTTGTGTAAGTTATACGAGAGTTTTCGGCATTGCAAGGACAGCAAGTGTTTTTTGACATAGTTCAGAGGTCAAAACCAATAATAACTCTTAACACCGTAGTAATTTTTCGGAGCGTCGTCATAAATATTTATGCAACGTTTGCAAATCGACGTCCCGATGTTAACCTATTCCCGTGGAAAAATTTGACGAGACTTATCTAAATTTTTTTATCGTCCTAAATTCTAAACAATAGAGCCAAGGACATTTACTAAACTAAATTTTCACACATAAAATTCAATGCAAATAGATTTTTTTTTTTCAAATATTAATGAAGACGATCTGCCAGATCTTGGTGTCGAATTACGGCGAGAGTTTTACGTTACAAGTTTTGACCTAGTCGATGTTTTTATATTTTATGCACGTCTCGAACGAGACGCTTGGAATTGCATAACGGATTTTTCTCGTATTTCGGCAACGGCGGGGTCTTAAATTCCTCGGAGGAGGCGCACATCAAATTTAAGTGACTGTAAAATGCACATTGCTCTGTTTCTTAATAGGAAAATATGCGGTAACGACAAGTTAAAGATTATTTCCCTCGCAGATTAATTGCATTCAAATATGCTTAGAAAGTAAATTATTTCTTGATTGTAATGATAAAGTATCACATTAATAACAAAATACAGAAGCATAAATTAATATTTTACATGTAAAAGTTTTTATGACACTTGTTTCGCATTGTCAGTTACGCAATATTTATATATTTCTTATCTGCCGTGACGAGGCAATCGTCAGAATACCGTTCAAAGTTGCGGCACTTCTGCCATTTAATATTCCATTTTATTAACTTTTTATGTAGAAAAAAAATGAAAACCTATCAACTTAATTAACCAAATGGATCTGTTTACGCATTCGGGATAAACTTTACAAGTCAGATAATCACAAACAATGTTTAAAACCGAGTGTTAATGACGGAATGCGATAGCTAATTACGACACAATGGAATGATAATGCAATTCTTTTCTTAAGAACAACCCAATTATCGGTCATGCATTAAATAGCAAGCACAAATTATGGAGAGACAATTCATTTATGTCGTTTTGTCTTGTATAAAAATGTACGGACATAAAGTAAAAGTACTAAGTTTAAAGATAATAACTTCACCATACCAATATCTCATTTCCATAGTTCTGGTCGACGACAACACATCTAGCAGTAAAACTTGAAAGTTAGCATTCCTGTCTCTAACTACACGAGTCTTACAGCATTAAATCGGCCGTAAATGACACATCACAAAAACGGATGGTGCAAATAGAAGACGGAGTAATGTGTGCATACCTACATGAGCTGCGGTACGACCGGCCTCTCTCAGCCATTGAATGTCTTGAGAAATGGTCCGCGCGTGGGACGGTAGGAAATCTTAGGGCATACTTCCCTGCTGCTTCGCTAGAATTTTGTCCATAGTTGCCCAACAGCTGTACCGTCTTTAAATACTCTGCGTTTAGCTTTCCGAGAGCCTTCGTCGACATGATACTCTTCGAGGAACTATCTGCACATTTTATCATACAGAGAAGTTTTATCACTTGAATACGAACAGTACTCTCTCATATGCAAAATATAACTGATGTGACACCACTCTTACAGATAAAAACTCGGGCATAGCAATGTGCAAACAATTCACTCATCAGATACACTTTGAGGAACTATCGTGTCAACGAAGACTCTCGGAAAGCTATACAAACGAAGACGGTACCACTGTATGGCAAATGCAGATAAAATACTAGAAAAACAGTACGGTGGTACGCCTTGCAATTACCTACCACGTGTAGCATTTGTTGAGGCATTTGACAATTAAGAGAGACTTCATATTGCAGTTTATCGTCGGCAGCATAGGTATATATGAGCAACTTGGTCCTCTAACTTATTTTGTTACTAGCATTGTCCATTTCTGTCAAATGTCATTTCCGAATAATTTGGTGACACTACAACTTTCTCACTTAATTTAGCCATATTTTTTGTTAAAACTTTAAGGCAGTTGAAAACTTTTTAACAGGCCAAGAAATGTTTTTGGATTATTTTGCAGTCTGGCTTCGGCTCTCGCACGTTTCGGAATCAAATGCCGGAGTTCTATGGCATTTCAGAGATATTTTGTGGATTTATTTTTAAACCTATAAGCAAAGCAAAAGCCATTTAGAGGCATAGAACATTGCGGAGATTAATCACATTGCTTTGTTCATCATTTGTTTCGTTTCTAAGTTGGCATTTAAGGTTTTAATAACCTTACACTGTAACGGTAAAGAGTCTTTCTAAGGTCATTTTAAAAAATGAAAAACATGCACATGGAATCTATACTAAAACTGGAATATATACAGCAAAACTGCTTAAGAATCACAAAGATTTCTATTATATCTAGTCCAAGTGTCGTATGCCAGCCAAGAGAATGTGCACGGTCGAGTGGCATTTGTAAAGACAAGGACACAAATTTCTTGTTGCTATCACAGTGTGCATACAATTCCAAGGTTAAAATATATTGAAAATTTCTTATGTACGTCTCTAATTCAGAAAATTCTGGTAGACTGTCTTACGGCTTCAAGGCCAGGAACATTGTTTATTGAAATATCAGATTACGTATGCATTTCGGGCCTATTTTGTTTCTAGGTCCTCTTCAATGCTATATTATGATATATTAAGAAATTATTAGTAACACAACAAAAAATACAACTTGCGCTGGTCTTATCCTATAACAAATAATTTTATCATACCGCAAAAGGAGTGACGTAAAGTATATTTACATAAAACTTTCCTTTCGTTATACACTTATAGTTTTATTTATATAAAAAAACCTTACTATACACCATACCGTACACTCTAGTGTATTCACTACTATGGAGAATTTCTATATTATTTCTGTTAATCTGGCAGTTATATGATTAAACCATGGGAAATTATTATATTTCTGTAAAATTCAGCCTGTTTCACCTATATAATCTTTCGGGAGTTTGGCAATCACAATTAATCTTATATACTACATCCATTTTTTTAAAGGCTGTTTTACCAGGTGTGTAATGCAAAAAATTACCATATAGATATAAGGAAGGAAAGATTTATGTAAATATACCTTACGTCAATCCTTTTGGGGTATGATAAAATTATTTGTTATAGGATAATAACAGTAACCGTCTTCCTTAAAGGCAAGAATTTTGCTTTATTCCGTATCGGTTAAAAGTTTTACTTTTAGACACTCCACATTCCACGCACAAGCTAGGAAAATGTTTACTGATTTACATATTTTTAACTTTGTGTACACTATATGTAATATACTGTGATAACTTGTACTAAAAACTACTCTAACTTTGAACACTTCGGAGTTTTGAATGCAAAATTTGCCTCGGAGTTCGAATGGTGTTTCGAAGTTCAACTGCGCTTGCAGTGAAAAAATGCACTCAAAGCACAAATGCAATTGTTGTGCGTCCAAGTTGTCTTTCGCTCTTACTCTTGCGTTACACTTAAATGTTTTCGGTGCTTTTTCCGCTTTACTTTCTGCGTTTGATTATATATATATATTGTATTGTTTGTTAACAATTTCTTCCTACAAGTTTTCTTTGTTGACAGCTTTTGGGCACTCCCTAATCCGTAGACCAATAAATGCAAGTTTCATTTTATTAGACGGTACTTACGTATTTTATTTACGGTTTCGTCGTTTTAATTTCTTATTAGGGCATTTAATTGCGTTGTTTTTACCTTAAATCACGTGTATTTGCCGTTTTAATTTTATCGAAATGGGTATCGTTTGGGGTCTGGAAACGGATTAATTCATTTTAATACATTAATACATTACTTCTAATGGGAAAAATTGATTCGGAGTTTGAACGGACTCCCGGAACAAATTAAATTCAAAGTATGAGGCTTCACTTAGCATAAAAATAGTAATTGTGACAAATGTTTGTTTTATAAAATATATGGCTTTATATTTACAGAATGACAAAGCAAAGAAACAAAATAATTAGTCAGAATCTGTACAAAATAAAAACCAAATGAAATATTACTCTGTGTTGTGCAATGACGTCCGTCCTTTTTATACTTGTATACGAGTGGTCTGTTCTAATAGATCAGCTTGAATAAATTGAAAAATATATGCCCACAAATAAAAGAATATTCTGACTTTTAATTTAAATCTAAATGTAGAGCACATTATGTTGCTAGATACATGCAAATAAATCCGCGCATACATTTTGTATTCGGACAGACTTGTGACCTTCTCTCAATACACCTTACGCTAGAAAAAATTCCTTTTAATCTTCAAAAAATTAATTTGTGCTAGCTCAGAGTGGCATTTTCAGTTCTTAATGGCATACCGAAGGGTCAAAATACCAGAATTTTTTGCGCTGAGCAATGACAAATAATCGCTTTGTTTTCATGTAGGGGAAAGGAGTTTACTTATTTGCTTGTAGTCGTAATGTAGAACAATTTGTTTACAAATAACTACCATTTGAATTACAATAACAATCTGATTGTTATTGTATGAATCACACGAACGCAGCCGACAAGAAATTATGTTAGAAGCATATGTTGCCTCTTTAAATAAGACGGCAAACCTCCGAAGGAAAGCTGAGATGTCGGCGGGGTCCAAAAGAAGAGAAAGATCCGCACGGGAATTTCACCTCTCGGCAGTTATGCGTTAAAACTCTCGCGTTACGAGTGTAAACGTTTATCAAGTTTTTGTGTATTTTGCAAAAACAACTCGTATGTTTGTGTGTTTATGATTGTAGTTTTATTACATCAGAATAAATTACTCAATTCATAAATAATCCGTATGTATTCCCGGTGAGATATGTCATGTATTTAACTTTGGTCTTACCTGAATGCATTGTTCTGCTTTTTGTTACACGAACCGACCGCTATACTGGATCCGATGATGATCCCCAGAGAGTGTATGATTTGTGCGAGTGCGTACAACCATACCTATAAAAAAAAAAAAGACTCGCATGAAACTTTATGTTATTTGTTTATTCTAAGAGGTAAACCTTACTTTAGCATTGCCCAGTTGTTCCCAGTTTGGTTTGAACAGATAGCAAAGGCCCTTGCCGGCTCCTTCCAGGAAGAGGACCCTCAGAAACAGCGACAGCAGGACGACGTGAGACATCACGGCCAACACGTAGACCGTCCTCCCTTTGAAGAGGGTGGCCTTGCGTAGCGCAAAGTAGACCAGGACCCACGTGAACAACACGGCAGCCATCAGTTCAAATCGCAACTCTCCCAGATTTTCTATTTTGTCGCTCACTTCCAATAACTTTCGGCTGTAAAGAGTTCAGTTCTGCAATTACTACCAATGACTCTAGTCCCGACGATCGTCCAGAATCGTTAATTCAAAATACTCACTCCAAAAATTCTTGAGATGATAACGTGCAGTTGACGAAGCTCGCAGAAGTAACCGGAATGCGTTTAGGCGCTACGGTAGCATTAACAAAAGTGATATTCATACCCGTGACATTACTAACGTCGGGAATTATGCCCAAACTACTAGGCGTGCCGTCAACATTGTTCAAAGCAGAAGAATGCCAACCTCGCATCTCCGCGGAAGAGAAAGTTATAAATTCGTTCCAGCAGGACTCTGTGTTCCATGTGTGACCGCACGTAAGCCAACGGGGAAGAGAATAAAAGGAATTGAACAAATAAAACAATGCCCAGCTAACTAGAACGCTATAATATGCAGTCAGTAGAAATGAAGCGACAATACTGGAAAATCCTATTCCTGTAACAAAAGTTTTGCATTTAAATTCAAACAAATATTCAGATATAAATCATTTACTGACCTTTCATCAGAGGACACAGTTGCCCCAGAGCTGCAATCGGTCCCGTCTGCATTATCTGTCCTACGGACAGCTCCATGCATAGCATTGGCACGCCACACAACACTAACAAGATCAGGTAGGCGAGGACAAACGAACCTGTGGCAAATAAAATATTTTATATCTAAAATTATTCATCTCTAGTATAAAATCGTTGCAAATTTCTACTTCTGACTGGAAGTAAAACACAAGAATTTTGTATTTCAAATTTAATAGCTAGGTAAAATGTGCACAAAGCCATTTGTCTACGTGGCGTGGAAACACTACTCATCCCAAACACTGAAGATATTTGGAGTCATGTGGTCTATATTCTCCCGGTTATGTAAATATACCTTACGTCAATCCTTTTGGGGGTATGATAAAATTATTTGTTATAGGATAATAACAGTAACCGTCTTCCTTAAAGGCAAGAATTTTGCTTTATTCCGTATCGGTTAAAAGTTTTACTTTTAGACACTCCACATTCCACGCACAAGNAACACTACTCATCCCAAACACTGAAGATATTTGGAGTCATGTGGTCTATATTCTCCCGGCCGACCTTTTACCAGACAAGACTGCCAAAAATACCGCAACTTATGCTAACAATTCAACAAATTCACAATGTTCTGTTAGCAACAGAAACTGTGACAGATATGCCGCAAATGTCGGACTGCTCGCAACGACATTTATCCCCTCATTATGGCTGCCACTCGTGACAAAACAACGCAAATTCTCTCTGAGGTGCTCCAGTGTCCAAATTAGACTCATTTGGATTTCATCCATTTTAGCCATGCGTGATTGGACGAAACTAGAAAACGGAATTTCACAAACAAAACCGGTGCCGCCACAAGAGAAATGTCGAAAAGTAGCTAAGAAACGTAACATCTTTGGACTTATTTCTTGTTTTCTAGCCGTAAAAATATTCCCACGGGTTACTTTTCGATCTCTCCTTATAATTTAAAAAATATTTTAAAAATTTAACACAGGAAAGTATAACAGGAAGCAAGTTAAATTTCACACACTACAAATTTTTATTGCATTTAATAGCTGCTTTTTTTTCTATAGATCGAAACAATGAAATTATTATGCTCTTCTAACAATATAAAAAAAAAACCCTCATAAAACAGCGCATTTCCTTTCATTCACAATTCAAATTACTGGAAACGCATCAAAAACCAAATGTGACTAAATGCTTAAACGCTTCCTATTCACAGTCGGTGACACAAATTGTCGACTACAGGATGTAAAATTAAGAACATACAATGATGGGAAGTAATCTATTACGTAACACAGCTGATAGTGTTAAACGACCGCCCACGGTTGTCGGAGAGGTTTCTGGGATCGGCACGCGGAGTATTATCCGTTACGCCGAACGCGCCGTTTACTACGTAATTTATTGGAGAGCGGCAATCTGTATCAATTGATGTGCCGTCCCCCATTCATTCGCTTTGGAGGTGTCGGCCTCCGTCGACATCAATGGAGTAGTACTAGGAACTATTTACGGGCGGTATTGTGCCTCGTTAATACATAAATGCTTTGTGTATTAACCTTGATTGTGTTTAAACAATGCCGTACTTTAAAATGGGAGCATTAGCCTGGCAGAATTACATTCTAATTATGCGCTAAATATACTCGCTTTAACTTTCCATTTTAAATTTACTTTCATGTGTCGAATGTAGAACTGCATTTGGCAATTTAAAGGCCGTGCAGCAAATTGTGTATTAGGTAGGTCACATTCGGTACGAGGTCGTACTCGACGGGCAAAGATGAAATGCCCCAAATCTAGAACCCAATATTCAGAGTACTTTGGAGATCAAATTGTCAAACGTTATCAAATGTCTCAGCTTACGCACACCTGTTAAGTCCGACTCCGTAAAGGCACGTCGAACGACAGATAAAACCATAAATTACCGCAGACTAGAGCAGATAAAACAAAAGGTCGCGGCCTCGTCAAAAAATAACTCTCAGAGATAAACGCGCGTCATTGTTTACTTTCCACTTGCTAAAAGATTTTCTATATACTTTTTTCTCGGCACGTAGCTTTATCTGTTTACTTTTACAATTTTTATGAGCTTTACGAATGACACGAGCGATAGTAACAGTGAAGAAGAGTGACGCAACCCAATTAAAAGCCTAGAAATTAGTGTGTTAAGATTAACGAGGCTATTAATTAAAGAGATGCAACTTTGGTTTCTGTGTGTACGACAGGAAGAGCAATTGCCGTGTTAAAAACGATTGTCTTAGCAGAGACGACGCACGCAGCTTGTAAATTAAATGATTTAAATGGTGTAAAATTAATGAGGAAGCCAAAATGTCTGACAAATTAATTTCAATGCCAGTTTGGGGCAAAAAAAACTTAAATTTCAGAATCGTAGTTGTAATGTGCATCGGTAACGTTCCCGACTAAGCAAGACGCCGCATAAAATGGCTAATTATTGCAAAGTACAGGTACGAATACCTTTAAAGAATGCCACAACACGACTAAAACTCGCTTCTCTTTAACTACTATGCTATTATTTAAACTTGCATAAAGAATAAAAGAAAATCACATAAAGCTATGACAAGAGACATTAAATGCTCTATTCGGATCCAACAGGTGGTTGTTAAACCAACTTAAATACACAGAACGGTTGCGCTCGGAAGAATTCTAACACAGGGAGGGTAGTAACGTTACACAATGCGTCACGCAGCTATTCAAAATATGGATTTGTGTCGAGCAATATCGGAATGTCATTCCATTAACTAACGTATGAGGCAACGGTGAATCTGCAGAAATAGTCGGGTTGCACGCATACATTTACCCCGTTAACATTCTTGACTTCTCTACAAAATACCGAACGCGCTACAAGAATAACCCATCTTACATAAGCACGCATAAAACAAACGTAATTATTCAGAAGCAATTAATGCGCTAATTAATTACTAAGATCATCTTAACGAGAGCAAATCATACTTGCCTCCTCCATTCTTGTAACAATAGTAAGGAAATCTCCAGATGCTGTTCAGTCCCAGGGTCTGGCACGCCACGCAGAGAACAAAATCCACCTTGACTCGCCAGCCGGATCCGGACCGGGGCTCATAGACGTAGCCGTCCTCGGAGGCGTCCTCCTCGTCGTCTCCGAGAGGCAGGCCGGCGGGGACGACTCGGCACTCCCTGAGCTCCGGCAGGGACTTGGACATCCGGCGGGACGTCAGTCGAAGGAGGGAGCGGTCCCGTCCGTACAGAGACACCCCCTGGATGGGGAAGGGAGCGGAGTGAACGGTGGCGAAGACGTCCTCGGGCAGGGGCATCCCGCCGTATCCCTGCTCCGACAGTGGCGTCCGGGGAGCGTCTTCTGGATACTCCAGAGCGAAGGTGGGCCTGGCCGAGAGGGGGCCCTCGAAGATGTCGGTGAAGGCAGGCTTGGAGGGTTTGGCTTCCGGGCTCCTGGCTCCCTGCTGCTGGTTGCTGTTGGACAGGAGGGCTCCCTTGCTCGAGGCATTGGGCAGTGTGAGATTGCCAAAGCTCCTGCAATTTTCCAGGTAAGTCTTCAGTTTCTTCGGGTCACGTGGTTGCGCAACGACGAAACCAGTCGGTGGGGTGCAGGTCAGTCGACATTTCCTCGTGTCCTCTTCCATTTTCTGCCCGTTCGTAGCGTTGTAGAAAGCCAAGAAATGCCAGCGATTGCGAAATCCACTCCGCTCCAGCACTCCCGGTCGACTATCGTCTCGCTCGCGAGAACCCGCGAGATTAACTCGACGTTCGTGTCGTCATGGCAACCCACGTGTGCGCTACGACAGACAAAGAAACCGGAAGTGAACTTTTCCCGCAGGAATTCGCTCCATTCTTAACAAATTTCTCAACTTATTCAAACTTCACGCCCAATGATCTAACGCCGTCTTACCTATTATTATTGTCGGAAACTTCCGACAGATGGCGCCACGTCGTTTTTCGAATTTTTATTTAAAGTAGATTATTAATTCATTAATAACAGGAATTTTTAATTTTAAAAATAACTAATAGCTTCTTGGCCCGCGAAACGAACGAAAGACGGCGGCACTCTTCCACTTCCGGAAAGACGATACCAGATTTGACCGACAGATGGCGAAGTCTAAATTTACCACGTCGCCATCTATTAGTACAAGAAATTAATAAATTTGAATTTTAAATTTTATGGCACTCTTTTTAATTAATAAAATTAAAAAAAAACGAAATAAAAGCAGATTACATTTAAATTTAAATAATAATAAAGTATATAAAAAATTCTCGGCCGCCATCTTGATGTTTACCAGAAATAATGAGCAATTTTTATTAATGCAAACAGATAGGCAGGCGCGTTATCTCACGTGTTTATTAGATAAAGTTATTAATATAACGTACACAGACACGTGTGAGAGTCATTACGTCATTTAATACCGCATTCTCTTTTCTCCCCGTTCAACGCACCAGTCAATGAGAGTAAGTAATTTCTTGTAAATTATTTTAAAAGAGCGCATTTCTAAAATTACATTTCCTCTCGACAATAATTTATCATCTAATCAATTATTAAGATACTAAGTAATTGGGCGAGACAAGAGGTAAAGCCGCCATCTCGTGTTAAAATTTATTTCTAGTGATTAAATTCGACACGAGATGGCAACGTAATCGCTTATCTCTATGCCAAATTACTTTGCATCTTAATAATTAATTAGTCACATTATAGCCAAATGAGATTCCGGCGATACGGTTTGATTTATATTTAAGTAAGTGTTCTTTTAAGAAATTTTAATTGTCATGAAAATATAAGAATGCATTTTTTGTAAATATTTTTAATTTATTCAGCGAGCGTTCATTAAAAAAAAACGACGTCATTCGGGTTTAATTCGTTCGACTTTACGAACTCACCCGAAATCTCCTGTTATTTAAGCTCAACCCATTCGAACTACGACACAATGACGCCCCCTTTCGTCCTTTAATTACCGAAATTTAACAGCATCGATGCCCCGACTATAGAAACAATCCTGCCAGATTTCAAAATGTTTGTTTTATAATACAAAATGGTGGTCAAAATTTGACCGATTACCACAATCCCACGTGTTGAATATTTTCTGCAGCCGCTAAGACACGTGGCTTTCGTTAGCCAATAAAGAGAAATTATATATGTGACGTCAGAACAACAGAATCTATGGGTGCGTTCGTAAAGTACTAATTGCAGTAAGAACGGTAGATATCGGGGGTCAAAGTTCCTTCCCGTGTTAAGTCAATGTATAAATAACGCGTGATACCCGAAATTCGATATACGGCGGAGTTCCTGCCTAATTTCCATTGAATGCCGAAATTTTTTCCCAAAAAATTGGCCATATATACATATTATACCAAAGAAAAAACAATTATGTTAGTATATTGAATTTCGATTTCCCATTGTAAGTGTAACAGAATTCAATTAGAACTTTTTCCATAATTACTTTTACACGTGAAGAAAAGCTAGAAAACTCCACGTGGTCGGCCCGCAGGTCGGGTGCAAACCATTATCGGCTACCAGTGTATAGTGGTTTTGCCCGGTGGGTGCGGACCATGATAGAAATAACAGGTGTGGGAAGCAGCCCAAAGATGATGCAGATTGCTTGCGAAAATCTCCCGCTGACCAGGTTTGAGCTGATTTGTTCAGCATGTTACGGGACACAAAACCATTCTCTATGCTAGAATATAATTGAAAAAAATTAGTGAAATTTACTTTTACTTTGTATTTTCTCATCCGTAACAAAACGTATGATAAAATGCTGGAAATGAATTGTATATGTGATTATAACTTTCTTCTACAGCTCCTTCCATTCCGAAGGCCCTTTATGCCCATATGTATTTGGCCAGATCTACAATGGTGTGGCCAAATGGAGAAGAATGAGGTCCGAGAAATCCAGACCAAACTACTCGTGACAATTTTAAAGCCAAATCCTTTTGATCGGCAGGATGTCATGTTTAATGTTGTGGCTTTTTAGCATGCGTATCTGTGCAATGACTAACAGAACCATGGCCCCCACATGGTAGTGACTGACCGGACTCTAGTCAGGGGGCCTGGTGTGAAGATGGTCAGCTTGTATTTTTTGCTTTGCTTGGACTTTCTTGTGGAATATTGAGTTCAATTTAATTGGAGTATTTAATTCGTGTCATTCTTTCATTTCTTGTGTTGATTCCTATTTCGTTTCTGTTTTTAATGTCGTGTCTGTCATTGCAAAATTTGTCGGTGAAATTCCTCTATTGTCTCTAATAAATCTAATCTGCTTTTGTAAATGATTGTTTAATTTGTGAATGAAAATATTTGTCATTTAGCTGCCTTATCATATCCCAAAGCAGCCGGGTCGAGTGGTTAGGTCCCGCGTCTTACATCACTAAGGTCTCGGATTCGAGTGGGGAGGGAAACTCGCCAATGATCCTGGTCTTGGGGATCTGCTGTAGAATGTGGGGGGTCATGAACAGAACCAACATTAGGATCGGTTTTATTTTCAACATGTAATTTCTCACTTAATGGGAATTTAACTACAGTTTGAGCTACTGTATAACCGTATTGGAGGAGTCATAATTGTTTAAACTAAGAAACAAATTATTAAAAACAAAAATTTTTAATCAACTATAAATTATAATTACAAATTTAGCTTATCTTTAAATTAAAAACAAAGAAAAATAACCTTTTGTTAAAAATGGAATGCTTAACAAAAGAATTCGGTTTAAGCTTCTTGTTAAAAATACTCATTCGATTAGAAAAGCAAGTGTTTTATAACAATGCATATATACAGATTTTCCCGGTTATGTACTTCATGGCCACTCTTCTGAACTACATCTGAAAAAAAAAACAAATGGAAAAATTGGTATAGAAGTTACGTGAGTCAACGGGTTTCAATCTGTGTAACTTACTCTACGTCGTCTTTTGTTAGCGCTTTGCCAGAAAGCAGAAGCGAAGCAAACTTGGCTGCAATAGGATCGTTATTCATAGATGCTACAGCAACTACCTTTCCTTCTCTACAAGAAAAAGTTCAAAAATTTATTATAAAAATGAATCACTACAAAGCAAACTCTAACCAAAGTGGGACATTGTTCTCATCATATACACAATGCTGAGTGAGAAAACAATTGGTCGAAAGGGTTTCATTCATAACTGTCAATTTTAAGGAAACACTCGACTGGTCGAATGGTTGCCCAAAAGGGTACAAACTGACAGTTCGTATCTAATTTGCAGAGGCTTGTATGCCAGTGCAAACCTAGCTTAAAGTGTAAATTGTCTACATTGTGTAACCTAATAACGTGAGGAGTAAACTCAGTGATGCCAACTAGTTTAACAGGTAATTCCTAAAAACAGTAGTAAATAAATGTTAAAGATTTAAGCATTTCTCACGTGTAGCAGGATAATATAATATACAATCAGCTCACAGCATCTTGAAGTCTACTCTTCACAAATAAATTGGTTATTTTACTACATATGAAAGCTTACCTTATATAATATGCAACAAACTGCAATTTATGTGCATCGCCATGCATTGTAATTTTATCAAATTTTCCTCCATATCCTAAAAATTTAAAATAGCTTTTAAAAAGGTGTTTAATATAATTATATTTGGTGAAATATAAATTCATTTACCGGCATATCTGACACTCTTCCCAAATAACATGGACCAAAAGAATGGAACCGTCAGCAATTTTTCATTTTTATTTAGCATGTTCAGTGCGGCACATCTTCCTGAAAATTAATCACGCAAATGTCATTTCCTTGTAGATATGATACTAAAACAAACTGTGTTTCCCTTCTTTTACTTACCGTGAGCCATTGCTAGTTGCCAATGTCCAATATTTACTCTGGCATCCATTACAGTCAGTGGAAATTCGACGATATCACCTCCGGCAAATATGCCATCCACGTTTGTCTTCATATACTAAATTACAAAGCATTTCATTAAATAACATATCTACACTAAATGTAGATTTCTTAGATTAATCTCCTACCTCGTCGACTACAATCTGCTTTGAAGTATTTAGTTTAATATTTGTATTTTCAAGGAACTCTGTCGACGGTAAAACTCCTGTAAATTGATTTAAAAACCACACTTAACAAGATAAATTGATTTAAATACTGAAATTTCTAATGTTTAAAANGCACACTGTAGAAAAATCTAGAAATACAGTTTTGTATATCATAATAATATTAGTCGTTTCCAGAGAGCTCTATAAAGTAGAGAAAAAAAAATCTATAAATTTAAATTTCTCATAAAATAAACAAACAAAATTTCAAAAGTTGCTACTTTTGGCTGATTTTCTGCGGTCTCTGCTATCTCACTACGTCCCTCTAAAAGTCGCCACGGTTGGGAACACTGGTGAGCAGACATCTAGGGTCTAAAAATAAGGCAAAATGTAATCGCCAGTAAAAAGGAGGAAAAATTTAAGATTTAAAACTATAATTTCTTGTGAACAGCAGTTTGGGCCCCCCCTTCCAAGTGGGCCCTGTGCGAATGCACCTGTTGCACCTGCCTAGTTACGGCTCTGGCAGGAATTGTTGAAAATAAAGCAAAAAGAATTAGGTTCTTTTTATAGGAAAAGCATTGACCACTGTGTGTAGGTATGAATCCAGCTTTGATAATAGAGAGGAAGAGATGTAAAAACACAAGATTTCAAGGCAATGAGATAAATATAAAGTGATTAATGATTTCCGCGTAGACGATAGCATCTTAATTAATAAATATGTATATTTTATGTGATATGCTTGAAATCTAAATTTCCTTGAAACTGTATTTCCTTGTAAATGAGCATAAATTTTAATTAAGTTTGTTTTGATAACAATTGTAAACTCCATAAAGTTTATTTTTGTATGAAAAATTTTAAATACTAACCACCTCCAATGACGATGAATGTTCTCTTATCATCGACGGTTCTCTTTGACGTAGGTTTAACTCTCTTGTTTTTCCCTACTTCGTGACTAGAAGCACTTACTTTAACTTCTCCGCCATCGACTCGAACCTATAAATAAAACTTACAATGAAAAGCATATATTTAAATATAAAGTTTTGGTATTTGAGAACAATTAGAATTAGAAGATTTTTGTATACTATAATACAGTGTAGAATACGCAGCATTATATTCTTCCTGCTTTAAAGCTGTGTATATACTACAGAGTATTTTGCTGAACATTTTCTTTTAGACAATCACCATCTATTAGATCCTTTTCTGGCTTTGAGCCATGCTACATAAGTATTATAAATGAAGTGTGTAAGTCTTTACCCTATAACACGGCAAACTGTCGAGTCCGGGAAAATCTTCAATGTCACCGGTTTTGCTATTAAAACAGGCGCCATGCCACGGACATCTTATTTTACCATTACTCAACACACCTAAAGTAGAAAAAACAAAATACAATTAATTAAATTAAAATTTATAGTGTAATTAAATATAATTAACACTTTAACTAATCATTACCTTTAATTAGAGGGGCGTTATAATGAGTGCATTTCGTACCGAGAGCAGAGAAAGTTCCATCCTCTTTCACAAGTAGGACACTTCCCTGTTGACCCAGTTCATACACTTTCATTCTAAATATAATTTTATTTTTATCACATAATAATCTTTATGGTGTATAAAATATAATTTTCATTAATTAGAAAGCACTTACTCTCCATTTTCTAAATCGTCTTCTCTGCACACGGTTACTTCCACTACATCTTCCGCTGCGCCAGAGTCGGTTTTACTACAATACACACCTTCTGCAGAAAATCAAAACATGCTTTTATTACATGAAAAGGCATCAGAATAATTTACAGACTTACCATTTAATTCACCTCCTTTCCTTTTAGATGCTGAAGTACCCATTATTTAGTTTCACAGCTGTAAAATATTTTAAATAATTTTAATTGTAAATCCCGTATTTGTCAAATAAATGCGATGACTGCAGTCGGTATCACTTAATCGACGATAAAAGGTTTGTAAATTGAGCAAATTGCATAATAAAAAGCAATTAAAAGTTAATCAAACATGCAATTACCCATCTAATTCCACCAATTAACTAATTTTATTGACCAAATAACAAAGTTGTTAAGGAGCAATTCATTTCTATCAGAAGGATTTAAATTCTCCTTCAAATATGGTTAATTAATTGAGCTTATATTTAATAATGTTTGGCAAAGAAGGACACTTAAATTAAAATTATAATAAATTCACATAAGCAGAATGGCAGTGTATAAAAGTGTTGCAGTTCCTATGTCAACATACTGTAGTAAGACATGAGTATAGCAAAGAGACACAAGAGTTGCATCACTGCACACGAAATGAGATATTTAAGGGAATGTGTTGAGCGATGAAGAGGAACTGCATAAGGAGTGAGGATATCATGAAAGAATGTGGTATAAAACAAGCCTGCTTTACAATTATTTGGCTGTATTGAGTAAATGTGAGAAATTACTGGAGAGTACACTTGGGAAGAGTGGAAGGAAAGCTAAACAAAGAGTAACCAAGGAAATCCTGATTGAGGAAAGTGGACGAGCATTTGACGGAGCAAAAGATCATAAGCACAGGAAGTTTACTAGGAGAAAAGCGAGAGAGATATGCAGAGATAGGAGTGTCTGGGGGGATCGCGGAAATGCACATGTGCACCCTTTCTTGCCTCCTGCCCATTCCTTCCGAGAAATGCGCATTTAGATTTCTCTTATTAGATACAGAAGATTCCCGTCTGTTAACTTCTATGATGAATGCAAAGCCTGAAAGCATTTGTGTTGCTCCAAAAAAAGAGATTAAAATTGGATTTAAAGAATTAAAATTAAATTTAAATGAATTAGTATAATTATTAATTAAATTATACATGCTAAATAGGGCTCATTAATATTAATTAATAACATTTATCAGGTTGATTGTATATGCAACTAGCACATCTGGAAGAAAAGATGGAAGTTTGAGCAACATAACTGATAATTTCTGTCAAATATTAAACTTAATTTATATGAATTTAATAAGTAATTTGATCGTTTAATTACTAAACTCTACTTTCATAATAATGTAACCTCATAACATAAACCAATTAAGCAGAATCTTGATAAAACCTCTCGCCTTACCTTTCGCGCAGATAAATTTTTGTAATTCGAAAATTATTCTGCTGTAAACAACATACTTTTATATATTTACTTGAAGACGTGTATCAAATTTAAAGTTTATTGCCATTCACCAGGATATACAAAGTATTGCAAGAGCATTATTGCTTAATGAAAAGGAAGACATTCTGACATCATTACACACAAAATATGAAAGGGAAGGAGAATCGAGTGTCGAAATTCATAAGCATATTACTTAATAAAATTCCACTTGCGTATATAAGTGATTTATAAATTGCTCTCATGTGCCGCTTACTCAATGTTTGTTTATCACGATGAATTGACGATGCGGCGACCCTCTTTCATCGATATTAATCATATTTATTGAACGGTATCTAATTTTCTTGTTGTCAACAACAGGTAGCTGCCCGTCAACGATGCAAGAGTTGAAGTTTTATTCTTTAAAAATAACCATTATCCACAAAATATATGATTAAATAATGTGGTATGTAGATACTCTATCAATACTCTATCTATACAGGTGAGGGCGTGAGAGGAAATGTAACGATAAACGAATATAAATTTTTCCTCTCTTCTCTGCTTTCTACTGCCGTACGAACGACCTAAATACTCGTCGATAACTCGTTCCGAGGAAAAAAGTATAAATGAAAACAAACATGTATCCATTTGTTAAAACAAGAAATGTAAATGCTATCTGTCGGCATAATGCTTCCTTTTATCAGTAGGTAACTGTTTTGCTGTAAAAATAAGCTTTTCTTTCTGGATTTTAATGCATTTTCTCGACTCGGTTTTCTAATTTTCAACTTAGATTTGGAAAAATTCAAGTGAAACATTAACAAACGGATGTAAATGCAAACAAATTCTACGGCAAATATCAGAAAAGAAGAAAATGCTAACATAATACGAGCCAAATATCATAAAAAGGAACGATTACCGACAAAATCCGAGGCGGATATCAAAACACAAGCAACTGCCGACAAAATCTCGGGCAAAAATTAAACGCAGAAACGGTGCGATCGCAGTTATAAAGCGATAAATCCGGTCTCTGGTAAAAGAAAGAAGAATCAAAAACGCCAACATTAACTACAAAATTTCGAGGAGCGGTTCCACTCAAGGTTAGCACGATTATATCTTCGACGCATTCCAATTTATTTCTTAAAAACAAACCACCGAGGGGATTAAACAAGTTTCCGAGAACTTAACGGGGCAAAAATAACCGGACAAGAAAAAAAACACACGAAATTGCAGCCGGATTGATTTATGACCCGATTAAATTTTATATGTGTATGTGTTTAACACACCAACAGCACAATATTTTGTATATAAGTAATAAGAATATTCATCTAAGCATTCAATTTTTGGCTTTAATTTGCTCGGAAAGTAGAAAAACCATGTGTAATTTGGCAGAGATTTCACTTGTAAGAATGGAAAAGCTTTGCTCTACGTTGAAGTAATTGTTTACTTTACACATACAGACAGACCATACATACGCACAGAGGTCATTTATATCAAACGGAATGAATAAAACATGCCTCACACCCGAATAATCAGCCGCAATTGGCGTGTAAACATTGTAAAAACAGGTAAACAAAGAAGGAAAAATGTAAAATAAGAAGATCCAGACACATTAGGGAATGATAAAACGAGTTTAAAGAGATAATTAAGTTAAATTTACGCCCGAAACAAGAAAAATTCCGGTATAAAAAGCAACAACAAACCTGTCTGCTTCGATCAATTGCTATCGACACTGACATGCCCACCTTCCACTCGTAACCTATAAACGAAACTCGATTCGTGTTAGGTTCGATCGTAGTACGGATTCGATTTACGAATAAAAGAAACAGGAATCGAATGTGATTGGTTAATGTATGATTTTTTTTTTTTTAATTTCTTTTTCTGTAGAGTCATTCCGGCCAGATATTTATTCGCCAGGTGGTGCGTTTTTTTTTTTCGATACGAAAAACGCGTTTAGGTTCGATTACGGTAGCGATTTAATTTATAAAATAATAATAATAAATAAGAACGGTCGAATAAAATCGATCGCGATTGGTTAATTTATAATTATTTTAAGACGTCATTTCCCGTGAGGTTTTTCGTCCGCCAGGTGGTGCGGAAGTTTAGAGAAATTGACGAATAATTTAAAAATGTCTGCTAGTAAGCTTCTGTGGAGTGTCATCGGAGGGGGCATAACTGCCGGTTGTTTGGCAATATCGGGGGCCGTCGATTTTAGAAAGCGTGCCAACGCTTCGCTGTTAACGTATCCTTCGAATTCTAACGGTAAATGGGATTCGAATTGGGATAGGTGAGTGGAAAGTTGCAGTTAATGGAGGAAATTTGGAGTCGCTGTGAAGATCTTTGACGAATTCGAACGGGTTGTAGCTATACTTGGCATGTGGCACACTTCAGGTGTGGTGTACACGGGTGCGGAGATAAGGAAAATTATATCGGATGTGGTATTTGTGGTATTATTATAACAACGTGGGACGTACAATGCGCGGGGCATGTAACGTGCCCCACGCATTGTACGTCCCACGAAAGATTACATTGTAAATCTCAATCTGTTCTAAAATAAGATGGTAGATCTCTGATGGAAAGCCGAAGAACGTCAACAAAGCAGAACCGAGACCGACAGTTGTGCCTTTGTGAGTTGCGGAAAAGTCTTCTCGGCAATCTGCAAAGCGGTAGAAGGCCCAGGAGGAAGGTTTCCGTCGGTCCGGATGTTTACGAAAGCATCCAAAGCCCGTCGGTGTCGCGATTCTTGGCTTTTGACGGGAAATCTTTAGTTTGTTCTGATAAAAATGTCTGGCTCTGCTATTGGATTTGGCATATTTAGAGTAGTATATACCACAACCCAATACAATTATCCTAACTGCCGACATCGGCAGTTTTTTATGTGCATGTATGGAAAGATGAAAGAATGTTACCACAAACTCCATGATTAACTAACTGGTTATTGTTTTGTGATGTATCTTAAACGAATTTCTTGTGTGACAAATATCAAATAATGGGTTCGAGTGGAACAGTTGGGATGGTCGAGATGGCCGAAGCATTTAAGGCACTGGCCTGTCGGTTTGAGGGATCCAGCGAGCAACTCTTCTGGAATAAAGGCCCTCTTAGTACTCGCAGAACAATAAGTAACAGATACACCTTTTTAATTCCAGGAAGGAGCCGATAATTCCCCGTTTAAAGGCCTGGAACAATCCGAGGAAGGCCTTTAAACGTGGCCGGAAACTTTTGTTCCGAATAAATTTAAGTTGCTGTATCTAGACTTCCCGCTGATCCCATTAAACTCTTCGACAATTTTTTGCCTACTGTGGTTCCCCGACAGTAGTGTGGCGTAAACTAATAATAATTTATACTTTAATTTTCTTACATTAAAATGAAATTTAACTAACTCACAAAAAATCTTAACATAAAGCTGGGTTTACATTGTCATACGAACTACTGTAAACCCAAAAATGCACTCTCATCAAAGCAAAATCTTGATCCAAGTTAGAACTTGGCCAGTCAAAACACTAGTCGAGTAACTGTCACAACTTTGGTTTGTTGGACAATCCAATTTGTCAATCGGTCCATCAGTCCAATAAACCAAAGTCGAGACAGTTTCGACTCTAACAAATTGGTCAAACGGTCGACAAAAGGGGACAAACTGATTGGCCCGTATCTATTTAGTGGTTCATATGTCAATACAAACCTAGCCTAAATGATGATATAAAAAACAATTTATTTGGTTATTTAAATTATCTAGGAGAGAACCATCTAGTTTAGTCAACCCTCCAAAGAATTTGAGTGCAGAAGAGGAAAATAGATATAATGAACGTTTAGAACAAGTGAGATCGAGAGCGACTCGTCATTTATTTTTAATACGACATGGTCAGTATGTTAAGGAGGGAAGCGGTGACTACGATAGAGTACTCACCGATCTAGGTAAGTTTTAAAAGCATTTTTTAACTAAATACTTCTTTGCCTGGAACGTTTTACGTGGAAAGTACAAAAAGCTCCATGACCGCTGCCATATTGCTTGAATATGTCGATATGAAAACATTTTAAATGCTGCGACCTTCAAATACTGTTGACCCTTCTGCCAGAGATCATGCAACTATTCGAACCATCTTTCAGCAAGCAGACTGTTCTGTAACATCATAATGAAAGCATTTCCCCTTTAAGAGGCCCACCAGTAATCAAGTGGTTCCATTCCTTGAACACTGGTAGTTCTGTTGTGGGTTCACATCTCGTCAAGACAAGCTGGCCACGTGGAGTTCTTTGTGTTTTCTCTATGTCTGTAACACCTGAATAGGGGCTAATTACCCTTAAAAAGACCTCTCGGAAGGCATTCCCCCTAGGCAGATCTAATTTAACAAAACAAACAAAACATTTCCCCTTTTAAAGGGGAAATGTTTTGTTTGTTTTGAAGGTAAAAATCACTAGGTGTGGAATAGGGCAAATAGAAATGGTGTGAAAACAATAGAATAGCTAGAACTTCTTGAATGTAACGTTCAAAAAGATATTAAAAGTATCAAATTATAATTGAAATTTATTAAAATTTTAAGTAATTAGATTGAATATGAACTACATTTTACTTACCAGGTAGAAAACAGGCTTTAAGAACTGCTCAACGTCTCAAAGACTTTGGATTTTCCTACACTAAAATCGTTCAGTCGTCGATGACGAGAGCCAGAGAGACTGCAGAAATCATCTCCAAATTATTTCCCGAAGTCCCATTGGAAGAATGCGACTTATTGAGAGAAGGGGCGCCGTTTCCTCCCGAACCGCCTTCGAAACACTGGAGACCGAAAAATCACGTAAGACATATTTAATTTACGAATGTTGATTCTCTCCGCAGATACATAAATGAACGACATTAGATTAATTGAAGTAGTTCAAATTTCGAATGCAGAAAGCACAATATAAATTGGATCTTTACAGTTTTCTGAGAGTATCCTAATTAGGATGCTCCTGGAAAGCTGCAAAATCCCCATGCAAAATAAACTAGAATTTGTAAAAATTTAACTTGCATAGGGATTTCAGTTTTGCAACTTTTACAAATTCTAGTTTATTTCTACATTTTTGCACAGACATTATTTTCCACATTAGCAGTTGATTGTCATTAAAGTTGTTGATTCTTGGTAGTAGTCTGGCCTGGGCACGTTGGGTTCTATTTCACACCATTTGGCTCCATCACAACCCTGGCCAAACCAATGATGGGTATTACGAAATGGGCTTCTTGGCAACTGTAAGATGAATATTAGTGAATATGTACAGTACTTAATGTTGCCTTTCTTTAAGCATGTGTTTCTTAAATATTATTCAAATAAAAAATATACCTTTTAATGTTCTTCATCAAATGCAATCAAGGAATACCAAACAAGTGGTTTTCATAGTATTGAAATTTTCCACTTTAGCTAGGATCTAAAAGAAAAATTAATTTAGTTTGATAAATTAAACAGATATCTACTATAAATATATAAACTATTCAATGAACACAAGGGACTTGTAAACATAAGATAAACACCAAAGATAAGGGATGCGAGAAAGTCTGTGTGACAGTAAGGGTCGGTTTACAGTCCACTGCTAAAAGGAAGTTTGTGGTTTTGCTATGATTGCTATCCTTCACTCTACACATCAAAGTATAGATGAACACTTCTGGTCTAGTGACACAAAATTAAATCAAGTACAACTTCAACATGTGCTGATTCCATGTGCCAAGTTAGCCATTGGCCAGTTTGATGATGTTCTAGCAACGGCTAGCAATCTTGAGACTCTGTACTGTCATCGGACTATAAACTGGCCATGTTGTAAGAACAAATTATGACAAATGGACTTTCAAAATCGCCAATAGAACATTAAAAGAAAACATGGCAGAATGTCCACTAGCCTCGGGATCAGAACATTGAGCTTATGCCATAGAAGAAAAGTAAAGGACAAAGAATACTGCATTATAAAGACATATTGTGATAATCTTAGATAAGGAATGTACAGTCGACCCCCCCCCATAACACTGTTGATTATTCCGTTTTATATGAATTCCATGTTGTACAAGTCGCTTAGATTTTACAAATACGTGTGCCGGGCTGTGAACGGCTCACATATTTGTAAAATCTAAGTGACTTGTACAACATGGAATTCATATAAAACAGAAAAATCAACAGTGTTATAGGGGGTCGACTGTATGTTTGGATGATTTTTATGTCCCCATATGACATGGTTGCACATAATTCTTTTCAATACAGTTCAGAATATGTAAACTTGCATGCAAAACATAAAGTGACGAACGGTTGCGAAGTGCATTCTGTATGGCAAGTAGTAGATTGAATCACTTATGATTAATTGAAAGTTACAAAACAAAGTTATTGATTACAAAACTTTCTTATTTTAGCAGTTCTTTGAAGACGGAGCACGAATCGAAGCGGCCTTTAGGAAGTACTTTCACAGAGCTCCAGCCTCTCAGAGAGAAGACAGTTATGAAATTATCGTATGTCATGCAAATGTAATTCGTTATTTTATATGCAGGTAAGTTCCACTATAGTTTATTACTATCAAATTACCTTAAATTTGTACGCAATATTCTAATTACTTACATTTTATAAATCTTAATATTCTACAGTACACACAAGGTGCTTTGGGCAAAGAATTACTTTAATTTAAGAAAGAAACCCTTGTTTTGAAGCCTTTTTATTTGAGGTTACGGCACTCGGTGGATAAATCCACCGAGTGCCGTGGTCATATCTGGGGTCAGATATATGAAGATTTTACTCATTGTTAGCATTTATATTAAAAATATAGAAAGTTTTTTATAGTAAAATCTCATAATAGATTATACCATACACAAATTTATTTATTTATTATGATTAATAATATAAGATGAGATTTTATTTAAAAAATAATTTATGCAACTCATTGGTAGATTTTTTTATATTAGTAGCTTGAGAAATTTAAGTTGTAAATATTTGTGTGCAAGTTATTTTAATGGGATGATTACTAATTTATTGTGTAAAGCTTTCAGTTAATATTATCTTGGAAAATGTCTTTCTGCTGCTGTAGACTAATTGCAATCAATAAGTAGTAGCATGCACTTTTAAGACAAAACATTTCTATATAATTGGAGGGAATTCTTCATTATTACTTCTGATTAATCTGGCCTTATCTTACCTCTTTTGGATCCTGCTTAGGAATATCATAAGGTAATCCTGATGGTACGGTAAAGGCTAGAGTGTAATTTGTTAAGTCCAGATCAGATTCTTAAATTTTTGAATGATCAGGCCTTGTCTTCATCGTCAAGCTGCCTTTGTAATGGCCTAGCAAAGTTCACGACTGGCTTGTAAAAAGCTCTTTTATGTTTATATTTGTCGTAGAGGATTAATAATCAGAATTTCACGCAGTGCCACTCAATTTCAGCAAATGCTTAGTTAATTTGGGCTCGTTAGTTGTGACTAATCATGTTAGTCCCGTATAGTGAAAGAATTTAAACAAATAATAATAAAAATCTACCATAATGGATAAAGAGCTGTCAGTTATACAGCCATAACTGTAGGTGGCTTATGTGGCCAAGCATTACGTAAACACTCCCACTCCATCATAATACATCGTAACAATTCCACATATCTACCCACCCGTATCTGCATTACATAATTTATGGACAGCCTGTCTCTCCACATAAATAGGCACTTTTAAGCCATCTTTTCAAGCTGTTAGACTCGACATTTGCTTGATAACATGCATTATAAGTTATCTATCACTAACGGTGTTAACAATTAAAATGTTCCACATTTAAAGCATTGGTTATTCACTTGCAGTAATTTAAATAGTTGAAATTTTATTTCAGCTATACACTAGCTGCTGTTCTGCAAAGAAAAAAAATGGTCAAACAATAATGGATTAGTGTTACTTATAATTGTTTCAATGTGTCCTTACCACTAGACACTGATTGTAGATTTTTCTGGGATCTTCTTCGTGCATCCAGCACCTAAATAGGGGGCCAGTTTACTATAGTAAGTCCTCAAATTCTCTTCGGCAGTGTTACATCCCATCAAACCAAACCGATCTGTTGTATTATCTGCATTCGTGTATGAGAAAAAATGCAAAGTAAGTTATTGATAAAGTTATTGTTCTAGTCATGCCAAATAATTAAATGTTTTAAATAATTTCTTCTAAATTAGTAATGAATTATTGATTTTGAAATTACTAAAGTATCTATAGCAAATATTTAAGAATTGCCGAATCACCCAATTATGAGCGAATGTTTATTTACTTGGAATTTTGCCTGTTTAAGTAATTATCAAAAACTTTACTATCATTTAATGGATTTGTGATTTAATGTGTCATTGAATTTATATTGACATAGAAACTATTGGTATTTCTTAGCATATTTTTAACAGAAATCAATATATTATCAGTTTGTTTTTCATTTTATTACACATTTATTAAATTGTTAGCAGCAGTTAATAAATTTTCTGGTCTGTAAAGATTATTTTTAGCTGCGTATGTGGACATTTCTCCACCTTTGCGGTATGTCAAATTCGGTTAGGATTAATGGAATACGCAGTGCAACTCTCGGGTGATCTGCCGAAAAGGATGCCTCCTAAAAGGACTTTCTATGGAAAACTCGCCCCTGTTTAGGTGTTAGAGACGTAGAGAAAACTCGATACGACCAGTCCATCAGTGGGGAGCAAATCCAATGTTCAGCAGTTTCATCCATCTCAAATCATACCAAGTTTATAAAGATCTAAAGAAAGAGTTATCTATTAACATTATTTAATTGAAGGCATAAGAAGTTGAGGATAAGATGATGACATATGTGGATTTTCACCTACCTCTGAGAGAGAAAAATATATGATAAACTTGATAAAACAAATGAAAAGCGATTTAAAACTTTTTCTATATAATTACATTACGTTATATGACCAAAAGATGAGTAGTAAATTTTCCTGATGAATCACTCAAAGATGCTCCCTGGAAAGGCCTGCTTTTTGCTGTTCATAATGACAAATTTCATTAATTACAGCAGCAGATTCTTCCCTAATTTTTGTTATGTTTTGACAACGATTACTGTTATATCTAACAGAAGGAAAGTGTGGCGATCGGTCAAAAAACGACCCCTCGAGACTTCTCACATTTTTGGACTTGGGACCTTGAAATGTCGAGAAATGCAAAAAACTTTGGGAGTTTTTTGCATGTGTGAGAGGAGGCACAACTTCGTTCATCCACTTTGAAGCTTAATAACTCCTGTGCCTTTCGTTGAAAATTTCCAAAATTTTGCATGGCGGTTTGTGTATTACGGGCATCGATGCCATTACATTTTGACAGTTAAAGGTCGAGGAGGTAGCGTGTCATATTTCAAGTCAGGTCAGACTTAATGACTATTTTACTCATTATTAGCATTTTCTCCCCTAAAAATAAGCTTTTTGCCATTTTAAAATAATAATAATAAAAAACTTTTAATAAAACACTGTAACAGATGGCACCACGCGCAATTTTAAATTCTCTTGTCACAAAAGTGATGCAGTTTTTTACTATAATGATGCTTTAAATAAAGAAATTTTAATGAAAATGTGACTGGATCAGGGGTCAAACTAATGTATAACATAAGGCAATTTTATTTTTTTAATTAATAATAATACAATTAAAATACTTGCTAGGGCAGGAATAACTATAAAGTATTAAATCCTACTTTTCATTAAGAAAATAAATAAAAATACGATAAAAGGTGGGTTGTTATTCAGAAACTTCAAACACCTGCTAAAGGTATGATTATTTGATATAATTAACTTCAAAAATCTGTATTTTCTCATAAAAAATCTCATTAAACTAGCTTTGTATTGTTACTAAGGAGTGTACATTTTGATTTAAACTTCCATAATTTTTGATATTGAAAATAAACTCAACTTGGCGGTCGTTCTTATCTTCTCTCTTCCATCGTCCTATTAAGAAGGACAAGGACGATGAAAATAAATATATCGTTAACGGCCGGTTACATTAAGCTTTGTTAAGTTCTAATGTTATATGATATCGATGACAAAAGTTACCAGTATCAATCTTTGTCAATTAGAAAACTGGTTATAAACAATGGATCTTGTAAAGAATATAATTGCTGGAAGTTGTTAAAGTGTTTAATATGTCGACAGCTAGATATGCGATGCTTCCTGAACGTAATTTATGGATAAATAAAAAATTTGTCGTAGTTTTCACACATTTAAAAGATTTTTAATGTCATTATTTTTATTAGTAATATAATAGGAAAGAAGTTTAATTTTTCCAGTATCATAACATTGAATCATTGACAACTGGATGGATGACAAATCTGTAAGGGTAAAAATCCCAGATTTTTTATATTTTTTAAACTTTCCCGACAGTTATACGTAAGAGGGAAAGTATGGCGATCGGTCAGAAAAAAATGACTCCCCGAGACTTTTAATTTTTGGACTTGGGACCTTGAATTGCCGAGAAATGCAAAACAATTGAGGGGTAATTTCTGTATGTATGGATGTTTGAGTATGGAAGGGGCACAATTTTTTTAAACCCTTTTTGAAGCTTAATAACTCTTGTGCTTTTTGTCGAAAATTTCAGAAATTTTGCAGGAAGGTTGTTTATTAGGGAGATTCCCGTTAAATTTTGATGATTAAAGGTCGAGGGGGCGGAGAGATAAAGAGGGTCGTGTGTATCTCCAGTAGGGTCGGATTTAACTATTTTATAATAGTTATAATTATAACTATTATACATAATAGTTATATATAAAATATGATAACAGATGGTGCCACCAAATTGTTGCCAGAAGAGTTTAGCAACTTGTTGCTAATTTTTTAGGCCTTTCCCTCACCGTTTGGCCGAACCCATGATGTGCATTTGGACAATAAGAAGGCCCTTTTCCTTGTTTTATTGATTTTTTTTTATTCATTTATTTTTATGGTTTTTCAGTTAGACATGCAATTCACATTTGTCACTTACTAGATCCTATCTCATTTCTTGGGCTGTGCCAACTTTCTGGAATACAAAGTATAGATATATACTATGGATAATCTTACGTAATAAGAACTCGACGGCATATCTTGGATCTCCGATTATATTGTTCTTTTGCGTCTAAAATGCTTACAGGCTGCTATGTATTTAAACTAGACATATGTTTGTGTTTTATAACACTGACAACAGAGAGATTACCAAAAACTACAATGTATCCGATCTTAGTTACCATACATTATCCACATTGACAAGTCTATGGAGTGAATTTTAAGTGCCTTCTTGTAATTTTATCTGGATTGAAAACTTGAGGAAAAGCAATTGTAAACTTTTCAGTTTAAATTTATAAGGAATATTAAGAAGAAAAGTATCAAATATTTACAATTTTTAATGATTTCTGGGCAAGATAGATCATTAACAAAATGAACAATTGTTTGGCTTTTAAACTATTTAAATATTTATTCTACAGTTTTTGAAAAAAATCAAAACATTTCAAGTAACGTCACCATCCAAAACACGAGATTTCTATCGATTTTTAGATACGTACATATTTCAAAATACATTCTTGCTGTATGAATGATTGCAACTCGTGTTGCACAATATTGTTTTCTTAATTTATAGCCACAAGCAAAGAATTTGGGACAATGTTGCTACATTACTGACTTATTGTTTACAAAAATGGGAAATGTAAACTTATCGTTGTGATGATTCAGCATTAATATGTTCTGGGAATGTTTACAAATGTGTTAGGGAGATAATAAATGTTAAGTATTGAATATCTTAATAATAATAATAATAAATATTAACACACTATTTAGTCTAAGATCTAAAATTAATCATTACTGTAAGGTTATAAAGCTTCATTTTATCTTGAACATGTATTAAAATTCATACAAAAAATATCTTTTACGTTGTAAATATAGCAATTTTAATCGCTGCAATGTAACTAACAATATACACTATATAAATGCAAAAGAGTGACTTTGAAAACGTTGATTATATTGTGCACATGATTAGGTCTGACAAAGTGGGTGGACAATTTTGTATATGCTGTATTTCTTCAATTAAATCTGAGGGAGTTAAGGTACTGTTAGAAATAAACCCCAGGTTGAAAATGTTTTGAAATGTGCACTATACAGAGTGGCAGGTAAGGAGTGTAATTACAATTCTATTCCTTCAAATTGTCTAGAGTCAGAGAGTGCACTATTCAAAGCTTTATGGGAATATTATTTGAAATAAAATTATAAATATTATCAAATATTAAGCATAGGAAAGTCGCGATAAAGTTTGCGAGTCGAGAGCTTATCGGTATTTCGAATCTTATAGCTGTAACTCATAAATACAGTCAATAAACTGTTTTGAGAGTTTGGAAAATGCATAATTAAGGTATTTCTTTCAATTTTTAACCATTCATCTCCTGTTACAACGTAATAAACCACAGTCTGGAAAGAACCCATGGGGATACGTATATTCTAAAAATAACCGCACAGGAATTTAATTGAGAAAAATACAGTACATGCTGTCATTAGGCTCGTCTATGGGTTGAATAAGAACAAAATTGTCATATTCTCTCATCTTTAATGAGATATTATATCTGCTAATTATCCATTATGCATTGAAAAATGCTCAATAACTTTAAATATCTGTATTATTGTAATTAAATTTCCGACGTGCATTGTTTATGCAGTCAAATACTTAAAGGAAATTAAGCCAGGATGAAGTGAATACTCCGAAAATACTCACTTATTGTTTTAATACTATTTTTAACTTGTGATTGATTTTACCAAAACTGAATGAGTATAATTAAATGCAAATTTTAAAAATAAATAAAGCTATTATGCATTTTATAATGCTTAACGGATAATTAGATGTTTTGTGCAATTTAATCAAATAATAATAAAACTATATCTTTTGATCCTGTACTCGTGTAAAGGTGGATTTATACTGACAGGACTTGTATTATTATATTATGGAGTATATTATAGTATATATGCATAAAAAACCATTTACTACTATATATGAATTGACAATTCATTCAATACAACTTGACATTTTTGTCTAACTCATTCATTTACAGGAATTGCATGACTCGAGCAAAGACCTTTAAGGTTGTGTCGTTTACTTGAGTCATCAAATTTCAGTATAAGTGTACTCAGCTATTTTTAACTCCTTTGTAAATGAGATGGGAGTATGCACGATTGCACAATTGTATTTTCTTAACAATAAGTTCATTAAAGTATAACATTCTTCCCGAATGCATCTTCTATAGAACATTGATTTATTAGCTATTTTAGAGCCTCGTACACAGAAATTATTTATCGTGGTATTCGTGCCGAGAAAGTAAATGAAGTAATTGAGGATATTTAAGTCTCTGTAAATTATTTTCCACGACAAATTTAATTAAATGTGGCACTATTAAATTACGTTAAATGTGGCACAAGTTTATATATATTTAATTTAAATATTGATTAATAAATTAAAATAGCGTCTTCGTATTTCTATTTTGATCCTATCGATCTAATGACTGCAGAGATTCGATTTAATGAAATAATCGGTCCTATTCACTACCGATCGTAATTCGATATCCAAGTGTGGGAAGTGTATTTATTTTAATAGTGGAATATCAGGTAACGACATTTTTAAATATATAGGATTACTCTGTTCCAAATCTATTACTATTTTTCTACGAAACTCGATAAAATTTACTAGAATTAAGCGAAAACAAAGCTTATAATAATTGACTGGATCGAGTTTTATCAGTGGGTAATGCGGCATTTGTTCTGTTTAAGGTATTGTTTTGTATTAAAATACTTTAATTTCTTCTTCTAATTAAGATATTTTTCAGTGCTTTAAGTAAAGAGTGGCCCAAAAGCCAGTTGTTAAATATATGAATCATAAACTAAATTTATGTAAGTGTATACCTAAAATAAATGAAATAGAGTACGGTTAACTGACTTCTGGACCACCCTGTATATTTTATACGTAAAATGTTTGTTTTGTTGAAAGAAGTTGATAGTTTTCTTTACGTGTCTAAAAGTCAATTTACGAACAGGTCAGGGACAAGTTCCAGATGAAGAGAATGCATTCAGAATATAAATAAGCACGTGTTGTTACAAATTTTTAATTAAATATATTCATTAAGTAATGACCTTTGTGTGTTTCTCTATATGTTTATTGTAGCATGCTAGTGTGTATACATCTCTGACATCTCAGTTAAAGTATCCTAGAGCCATCCTAACGCTATCTTTGAGTCGCACTTATTCTATCTACCATTTTAGAGGATCCTGATTTGAGTCCGGGAAGACCTCAAAAATTTCCATGAATGATTTGACTCATATATGTTAGCCTTGTCCTTGCCAAACATGTAATAAACATGGATAAATGCCCTTGTGTTTTCACCATATAGAGTCAGTTAAGAAAGAAAAAAACAATCTGACTGGGATGCTGGACTCGATTTTTTACATATCCAAAGTTTACTGCAAGTCGCACTTGTGCATATGTATAGACTGTATAGTGTAATGTGCATTAATAAATCAATCGACATTCTTTATTCCCATGCTTGGGCTATTAATATATATATACATATATATATATTATATCATTATTTAGGTGCAAGATAACATTGAATTTTTGTGATTTCAAATGATAAATATTTATTGAATTTTTCTCTGCTTATATTAAAATCTTCATTTTCTTTCAGAGCCCTGCAAGTACCGCCGGAAGCATGGAAAAGATTTATGCTGTTCCATGCAAGTATAACGTCAATAACAATTAAACCGAATGGTAGAGTAATAGTGTTTGGAATAGGTGACAGTGGTCATATACCTCCGATGGAATTATCAGTTTCTTTTCAACAAGGACTTAAATAAGAGTATAAATAATGGAATTTTCCTATACTAGTTTAATAATTCGATGACAAGACTTTGTCGAAAGAGTGTTTAGATGGTGATATCACGGTTTGTTTTGATGTGGCATCAAATAAATGTTTGAGAGAAATTTAAGATTTTTATGGTTGTATGTAGAATCATTTATAAACTGTCAGAATCACCTTGATGTATTCCAGTCTGTTGGATCTGGTCTTAATAACAGGAAAAGTTAATTACAAATATGTAATTTGGATTTAGCACATCTGTTACTTTTTTAAAGATATATTAATAGATACTAATTTAATTTATAAATGGGTACATTCCAGTATCAATCAGTCTCGGCTAAAACTGCTGCACCAGTGAGAGGTTTAATACGCTTTTGCTGGAATGTCTGTCAACCTAACAAGACAGCGGAAGCAAACGGTGCTATAGTGGCATTTGAAGACTTTTGTCAAAATAACTTTGGATTAATAAAGATGATATTTAAAATAGTATTAATAATGAAACTGTGGAGGTAGCCATATTTCTTTGTCAGAGCTCACTGTATCCACAGACCAGCGAGTGGCTACACGTGTAAACTGTGTTCCATCCGTGTATACAAACTGATGAATATGTCAGTGAATATTAAACATAGTTTGCTGATGCATCATTAAATGCATATTGAAACATACCCGATGTTTCAAGCAAGTTTAGAATTTCAATGTTCATTGATTGTGCTCAATTACACGAAGTGAACAGTAGAACAGTACCAAATTCATGAATCGACAATGGTACTATATTGACAAGTTGAAAGATTTGTCATAATTTAAATATTTTTGAAATATTAATGGATGTGTTCAAAAAAATGTGGAATGATTTTTAATATAAAAATATCCTTATTAGCATTTACTGAAATTAATTTTATTTTATATAAACAGAATTTACAATATGCCACATTTTTAAATAATCAAAATAAAGGTGCAGAAAGCCTGCTGTGTAAGAAACATATATTCATAGCAAAATATTAGTTTCTTTTTTTCTCATGATTAATAGAAGTCATACTAAATGAGACTGGTTAAGCTATAATTCAGTTTAATTAATATTTGTATAGGAAAAAAAACTTAATTATAAAATGCAATGTTGAAAATTAAAGAACAAAAGGATTCTTTTCATCAGTCCAAATTCAAGCAATTTATTAATTAAAGTTTGCTATAACCTGTATTGGAACAATATTTTATATATAACTTATGTCATAAATGGTCCAATATACAGAAGCTGTAATATAGAAGAGCCACGGTTTGATCTCTGTGGGTATAAACCAATAAATTTACTACCGATATACACAGATGGATGAATGGTTAAAGCAGTAAAGCCTATCATTTGAAGGGTCCAGCTTGGATTATCAATTTTCACAGCTGGTTTCTTTATATTTAGGGCCTATCTGGTACTAGGTGGGATACTATAAGAAGCTGCTGTTCATGCAGTATTGTATCTGTCATGTATACGATAGACAAAAAAAAGAAGTGTATATATTCTGGTGAAGAAAATACATCTCAAAAGTATTCGGTAAATTGCTTGAACTTAGATTAATGTTATTTTTAATGAATATTCACTGAATGATAACGAGATACAGAAAATGCGATTAAAGTATATTTGCAGTGAATGAAAATATAAAACAGTAATTTTACAAAAATACTTATTATGTACTGTATAGAAACAGTCTTATTTGTTTGAAAATATTGTCTTTGTATGTTAATCACTTTTATCTTTTATAAATATCAAATAATGTGACACTCAATTAGCAATATTAGTTAAAGAAGAAAGTCAGCACTTGAATTTAATTGAATTATTATTATTATTGTTTGCATTATTTTATGCTACAACTAAGTGCCATTTTTTAATAATTATTCATTTATATCCTAATAAATGTGAGAAATTAAGCATATTATTGTTTTTTACCTTAAAGTCAATGTATAATAAATGCAAAAAAAAAAAATTGCTTTAAAATAAAACTATATCAATTCTTATGCATTTTATCACTAATTTTGAGTATTTTCGAGGGTCACAACTCCAATTTTTTGGGTTGTATTTTGGAAAATAGTCCTTGATCCAATGCGACCGATATTGACTTTCGAGCCCTGACCCTATTAAGCTGGATATCAAAAGTTCCGCCAAAATTGGGTCACTTTAATATAGTCGACATCACGTAAGCATTAACGAAAGCCGATACAATCAGAACAGAAACAAAAATCCTTGCTTAAAATTTAATATGCACATTCTTAAAGCTCAAATTAATTAATTATTTTTCGCGCTTAATTTAAAACCCATTCATACAGTTTATAAGCAGATGAAAGCTGATACAGTCCGGTTATCTCCACAAAACTATCTGAAGTGTTTCTTTGATAATTTACAAAAATATTGCAGTTAAATAATAAATGAAAACTCTTAACATCTGTCTTGCTTGTCGTGTATATAATAAAAACCTGTTTTTTGAATTAATCACAACTTGAGATAGAAATCACACAATATCAGTGAATTTTTTGAAAGAATTAATGCCTGACATCAGTTAATTTATTAAAATTCTTGCATAGGAAATAGCTTAAGAGCGTCTGATAACGATCTGAATGTAGAATATCAATTTTATTAATGCATGTTTGTTTTTTAAAGGGGTTTGTTTAATTGAATTATAAGATGCGCATAGCGAAAAATTAATTATTCGTATAAATATTTATTAATGTATGTCTGGAAGGTATGATCCAGTGAGTCAGGTTTGCAGGTAATGAGTCATAATGACCTTGTGAAGGATAAACTGTTCAGTTTCATTAAACCACGTGTCATTTCGTTATTGACAATTACGCGCACCAGATGGCGCTATGCGTAATTATCGTCTGGCACAAATATGCCGGACATTTTAAACTCGGTTAATTTTTATAATTTAAACGATTAAACGTTTATTTTTCTTAAAATGGGCTTACAAATTAACTAAATTTTCATTTAATATATAAAATGAAAGCCCACGTGACTACATTCCTTACGGACGTCCCACTTGGGTTTTTCGGTTAAAAATCGTGTTTCTTAGCCATTAAATCAGTTCCGCGTGTCTTATTACTTTAAAAATTTCGTTTTTTAATTGCGTGAAACTGCTACAAATCACGAAAAATAAACTACGAACAAATTACCTTTTGTTCTCGACCAGACGATTAAAAAGTCGCGGCCGACCACGTGACGAGGAAATGTCCACCTGACGTCACTACTAAAATAATATAATATAATTAAAATGCTTGTAATAAAAAACGAAAAAATATGTTAAATGGAAGCGCAATTATCAAATTATTGTGTCTAAGTTAAAATTACGAAATAAAAAAGAAAAAAAAAGAATATACAAGCAAATAAATTCAACTTTTCTCTCTACTCAATAAATAATATTTTTAGTAATGACTATTAAGAAAAGTCAATCGTATAAAAATCGATTAAATTCTCGTATAGAAAGTATTAATATTTATGAATTAAATCTATATTTAATTATATTGCACTTATCGGGTATAAGATAAATGACGTCAGGTTGCTAAGACAACGGGATCTTTTAATGTTTTTTTTTTATAGTTAGTCATTAGTCAAAATGTTCATAAATTGGAATATGCACTTTTATATTTATTATTATTTAATTTAATGTAAATAGCAAGCAGATACTTATCAATTTAATCAGTTTTATTTATAATCGGGTCGAATCTCATTATTTGCGTTTTGTCATCGAGATCATTTTTAGTAATTAAAGCGATAATAACGTCATCGCCGTTGATAAAATTGTAATAAATACATTAATATAGACTTTTAATCGAGTTTATTCATTCGTTACGAACTACAGTAGATAATTTTCGTAACTATAGTAACGAGAATTTCAAATACGTCGATGTCGATGACAAATGGAAATTTTATCTATTTAAGCATATAATTGAGTTTTATGAAGGAAATAATTTCTTAATAAATTGTATTAATTGCGTTAAACTAGATAAACTTTATCAGCTGGCACGGAAAGAAAGAGGGGGAAAAAACTTCGTTGTTATGACAACAAGAATTTGACTTTTAATGGCTACTTCATAAAGAGATTTCTGAGATTTCCGAAGATTAAATTACTGAAAATTTAATTTGGGATATTAATATATAAAATTTATGGAGATTTAATTAAATTAATTACTACTAATCGTAAAGCCACGTGTTGTTATGGGTTGCGAGATTTTAATCGGCTTTAAATAATATCGATGTTAAATTTTTTTATTACTAAAATGCACAATAATTGAAAAATTAATATCAATACGTTAGAAATAAACTCGATTTTATACAAAAAGAACCGTAAATAAAAGAAATTTAACAAAATTATTAAAACTTTAGTTGCTATGGTAACGAAAGACGAGTTTGTGAATAAATTTCAAAAAAAAAATAACGTTCGAAATTTTAACGATTTATCATTTAAAATGAATATTTTATTTAAAAATTATTTATAGAAAATGTTAATAAATAAAAATAAGTTCTTTATTTAAACAAAAGTGAAGAGGCAATCGCCATGACAACATCCGGTAAGAGTGAAAATTAACACATTCCAATCTTATAAAGTGGAACTGTGAGGAAACGCCTCTCATCGATACAATTCACAAAAGAATTTCGAAAAATTTATTATTATTATTTCGATTAAAACTTTCATATTAATTAAAAAAATAGACCGCACTCTAATCGAACCTAATTAATGAGTAATGCCGAATGGCAACAGCGATCCTAATTAGGGAAATTAAAGATTACAACTGTGAATCACGATTTGGCATCCTTACAAATTAGTTGTGTTCTATACCCCCGTTGGGCAAAGATGATTTATCATCCTTTCCCTAATTTAGTCGAGACATTTTTCTTCCCTGTTGTGAAGTTATTTAATAATAAAGTATACAATTTATATTCGTGTACTGTATATGTTTTCTTTTTTCGGACTTCGGTACGATTTTTTCTGTGTTTATTAGAAACAAGGTCAATTTGTTCGGCATTGTGTGTCCCGATTTGTGAACATTTACGGAAACGTTTTTAAAGAAATTTTTTTTTTTAAATTGTCGAAAACGATGTGTAATTTTCCCCGAAATTCGGGAGGTGCAGTGTTACGGAATGCGAGCGTCGCGGATAGTATTAGGGAATTTCCCTAGGGGGATCGGAGAGACGGGAAATTTTCTCAATGGTGGGTTGTTGTTGATCGCTTCAGCTTTACTGTCATCTCGAGAGATGGCGCTACGAAAGAGTACTACTACGTCACTACAGCAATGCGGTCACATGTATCTCAGCCGACATAGGGTTTTTATTTGGCGTAAAGCTAGTTTGTCAACTAGTTAGCTGTGTGTTTCGGTACGAGGTGCACCTCTCCCTCAAAATGACATGGTTAGTGTTTAGTCGTGCACCTTTCTAACGTAACGGATTATGAAGGGAATTAGAATGGCCGCAGACGACGTGGATACTTGTCCATCCGGCGGTGGCGAAGGGCTAGCCATCGACGATCTTCATCTCCTACGCCACTTAGAACCTAGGCCCTTCCGGCCCTTCAAATCAAGCGAAGAATATCTATACGCCATGAAGGAGGATTTGGCCGAATGGTTGAATAGCCTTTACGATTTGGACATCAATGTGGACAATTTTATGGATCGTCTAGAGACCGGTGTTATACTTTGCAAACACGCTAATCATGTGCTTCACATGGCACGCGATTGGCACAAGGCGGGTCACAATGGGGTCAATATGCCCATCCCCGATAGGGATGTTGTCTATAGGACAGGGGTCATGCCCGGCACTTTCCACGCACGCGACAATGTATCGAATTTCATCACTTGGTGCCGAAGTCTAGCCATCAAGGACTGTTTACTCTTCGAAACGGAAGATCTGGTGATGCGTAAGAACGAAAGGAGTTTCATACTATGCCTTTTGGAAGTGGCGAGAAGAGGTGCCATGTTTGGCATGCCTGCGCCGCTACTGGTGCAAATGGAACAAGAGATCGATGCGGAACTTGCTAAAGGTGGTGCCGACTCGGATGGACACGAAGCCGACGACGATTCGGATACCTATTCCGAACCCAGGATGCAAATCATCACTAATGATTTGAGAAGCCTGCACGAACGGGTAAGTCATTTGTTTATACCAATGTCACACTAATTCGAAAGAGGGTTTAAACTCGCGAGGGAGGAGGGATCACGCCGTACAACCATCCCTCGTTTACATCCAATAAGTTCAGTTACGCGAACACGCAGTCCTACGTAATAGAAAGAATAAAAAAAAAACCCACGATTCGACCTTCCCTGCGTTAAGTTAGAGAGGGGGTGACCACATGCTGAAGCTTTTATTATATACAAAAGCAATAAAGTCAGGCATTAAATTTATCATAAAAACGTAGCGAAAGAACTAATAAAAGAAATACAATAACCAAGTTTCGAGGGATGAGGAAGTCGACTTATGTTACGTGACGTCGGCCACGGTGGCACTCTTATATTTTGTTCGATAAGTAAGTAGTTTTGATCAATAAAACTACCCTCAGGGAAAAGGGGCTTTTGAAAATTCCTCTGTTTTTATCGCTCCTTATCTCTTGCTTCCTCTTAATAATCGGCAACGTCACACGTTGCGTGTCGATAACGATATTAATAAATTTCGTAAGTCATAGAAAACGAGTGTAATTTTGACTGTAGGCGTCTTAAAGGTGGCATAATCGAGAAGAGAAAAAAAATCTCTGCCGCTTTTTATTTGTTTATTGTGAAAGCGCTTCCGGATGCGGGTTTCTAATGGACACGTTGTCAGAGTTATTTTCGGGGGGTTTTTCCTCTTAGAAAAATACCAAGATAGAGCTTTACGTATCGTCTCGTTACGTAGATATAATCAGTTTTTGAGGGGGGAAATCGTAGACGTACATTCTAGACTTCGTATTGAATGGAAACGAACGAATATGATTGATGTATAGTAGTAAAATTAGAATGGTTGCTGCATGCCATCTTCCAATCGGGGTCTCCCATTATCTATGCAGATCTTTAAAAGAGACCACAGACAAAAAAAAGGAAACCGGCGAAAGTGATCAATCCGTACCATCAGAATCGCCGATTGGGAGCTGACGGGTCGCACGTGCATCGGTTAACGCCCATCCCGGTATGGACCGGTCCCTCCGGCCTTCGATTCCCGAACACCTGTTAAGCATTCAGTAACAAGGTCAACGCGTTAATACATCGATCGGGCGCCAGGGGCATCGGATCATTTCCCGGCCCACTTTTATTGCGTCATGATTTAACACATTTACGTCATCATACATATAATATATATATATAATTTTTTTTTCCGAAAAGAAGAAATGGTGAATATAGTATATTTTATATACTATAATAATAATAATACAAATAAATAAAAAGCAAAACGTATTTCGTCACGACGTTTCGAGTTAATAATAATAAAACAATTCATTTCCCAAACGAATTTTGTAATATCTATTTAGGTCAGGCGATTTTATCAGCAGGGGGCGTGAGGGTAAAGGTAGGTGCGTTATGGCGGACGGATTAATGGAACTAATTCTAAACAGGTGGAGAATATCCTACACAAGGTCGCCCATCTGCCGTACAACGAACAGATGGAAGTTGAAACACGCGAGTAAGCTAACTCCACCCATAAAAATAATTTGAGTGAAGAAGAAACGTTAAAAAAACACAAAAAAAAGTAACTTAGAGAAGCAGACGATCGTGACGGTAATGACGTCACTACGTGGATCCGGCAGACATTTTGTTTTTTTTTTGCGAATTAAAGTATAAAAGATAGAAAATGGGATTTCCTCGGAGAATATAAGTTTTAAGAATTCATTTTCTGAGTATTTTGATGACTAAAAAGCTCTTTTAAAGTCATTAAATTGTTGCCATTCAGTTCTGACGTCATAACAGTAAAGGAATAAAAATGGAGTTAGTCACTAAATAAATGTAATTTTAAAAATGTTTACGCTTAAAATAACGACTCGCAACGTTTTTTTTTTTTCATTAAATTACGCATTTTCGACGTATTTTTTAAGGAAGTAACAAAGAAACTATGGCATTCGCAGAAAGAATCTTTGTTTTTTGAGAAGAAAAAAATGGAAATTGTGATTTATGAATGGAAAAATGATTTAAAAATCGTATTGCGTCTTTTGAATATTTACTCGAAAATCTTTGTGTAAATAAAATGCGAAAATATTCCAGAAAAAAAAAAAAACAATACAATTTGAAAATGGAATTCAAAATGGCGGAAGTATTTTTATCCATATTTTGGCCATTAATTACGAAAATGTAACCGTTTCTTGTGTTTCTGGAATGAAAATTGAAGAGATTCTTGTGGATGTAAAGAATTAAATTTGATTATATATATATTTTTTTCAAATTAATGCATTTTTTTTCGACAAAGTAACGAGGTTTGTGCCTTACGCCATAACCGAATTACTCGATTCTTCTGGTTGTTTATAAAGGTTCTTGCAAGTTTAATGCTATGAAAAAGAGATTTTAATCTATATAAAGTTGCTGAGACTCGTCAGCGGAATATATTATCTCCCGGATATTATATATTTGAGATTTTGTGCCTTCTGGGGAAATTAAATGAAGTAAATCGGTGCGATGACATAAATGCATATAAGAAGAGGACTGCGCTTTTTTTTTCTCCGAGATCCAAAGATGGCGACCGGTAATTTTATTTAACAATTGACAAAAATATCGCCCGTTGTTCCCTAGAGAAAGTTACTTTGAAACTGGCTAAGTAATTCGAGGTATTCAAAGGTCTGTTTTTTTCGTTCGTGACGAGTGATTAACGAAGAATTGATTGTATATATTCACCATATCGATTTTTCTACGCTTAAGAAAGATTTATAACCCCCTATTGAAAGAGACAAATGGCACAAATCAGTGATGGGTGACGACACAAGAAGAATGACACTAAAAATAAACGTCTTTAGTAACGAAAAGGGGAATGGATTAAGCGAAAAGGGAGATCTATTAAGTAAACAAGCACAAATGGCCTCTTTCACTCGGTTTTTACGCATTGTGGAGAAGCTGAATGCCTCCCGTTTCGTGACGTCGCGCCGGTAAACACGAAAGAAAAAAAAATGAGACTTTTGTAGAAAAAACCGAAGCCAAGAAGATATTCTTCTCGGTAAACATTACATAACGTTATTTATTTATTTTATATACATATATAGCACGAAGCGCGAATCACGACGGGGAAAAAAATGGCGCTTTTTAGAAAAATTTCAAGCGTGACGCTTTCGGGAAAGGGGAGGAAAATGGCATTTCCGAACGAAATCGAAAATAATAATTTGGCATGAACATCGCGTATGGATTCGATACGATTTTCCGAATTTTTGCCTGAAGGGCGAAGATGGCGGTAATAATAGTAATAATAATAATAATAAAAAGTACGATAATTTTCGGAGTAATCGAAAACGAACATAAAAGGGACGGAGAGAAACATTTTACGAGCCTAAATGGGCCCTCGGCTAGACGGAAGTCCAATACATACGGAGTTATACATAATCGGGGTAAACCAATATAAATTTTTCGGGCTCGGGGCTAATTCAATCGTCCTACAAAATTCCGTAAGAAGAAAAACGACTTTCGAAAAACCTGCCCCCTTTTTTTTCTCTTTTTCTCTCTCGTCGTCCCCCTTTAACGAAGCGTAAAAGACGTGGGTGGATTTTTTTTTCTGTCGCATAAATATTAAAAAATAAATAAATAAAATAAAATCAGTTCATGATTCTTCGCGCTCGAATAATAATTGAATTGGTCTGTAAATCGATTAGCATTGTTTCGAATAGGTAAAACGAAGATTTGAAGTGTTTCGAAAGGTTATTTCGGTTTAAGTGCGATGGTTTAAAATTAACGTCAGAGTTTTTTTTGAAAAAAAATTAAAAATTCAGGGGGCGCCAAGCGTAGCGATTATAACAATCGACGAGGGTGCCACCTGAGAAAATTGAACACGCTACGCGGAACTAGGGGTAGAAAGACATGGAAATTTTTATGATTCAGCAATGCGCCCACGCCCCATAATTTTCTTATTGAATATTTTCGTCAGATTAATAAACTCCCATTTCGGATGTATTAACTTAGTAATTGAATATAAATTACACGGATTTCGTTTTTCGGCGGCGAGGTTAACGATCTTAACCTCACCAAACCCGTGTCGTAAAATCGAAATGGCCAGGGTATTAACTTACTCGAAACGGTAAAAATTGTGCAACAAGCGTAGGGTCTCATCGAAACCCATTAACTAGATTCTTTTTTCTTTTTTTTTTTTATACTACACTCGCGGTGGAAGGCATCGAACGGAGAAGATTGATGGCCCAACTACTTCAAGCGGTGGGCAGAAGAACGGCCCACATTTGATAAAAAAAAATTCTACAAGGTTGCCACAAACGACATCAACGTAACTATTCATTGTTGCCAGGCTGTATAAATTGTCATCGATATCACAAAACGACGCGTGAGAAAACGATACAGCGCCGCGCCACTCGGTGACAAACGGGATAAATTCCATTAATGCATTGCAATGGCACGTGATTTCCTAGCCAATAAAGCAATTGGAATCACGCTACGTCACTAGTGTATAAAATGCTGATGGACGATCGGAATGCTCGGAAAACACTAGAGTTTTTTTTTTTTTGTTTTTTTTTATTTACAACTGCGCTATTTTTCGCTGGATGCTTTACGCATCCAGCCTGCGCCGTGCCGCACAAGGTCAATAACACAGATGTGAGTCACACGAGTCGAAAAACTGGCATCATTAAAGGGACTTCGTCTCTGTACGACGAGTCTTTTCTCTTCCTGGAACTCGAATTGTGCGAGCATTAGGGGCCGGTTAATCGATTAGATCCGCGCCGATTATCCGGAAGGGAGTCTTTAACGACTTTAAGTAACCGATCGAAATCGAGTTACACCCCCCGAGTGTGCCGCTCTCTTCCTGGTAGTTCACGCCTTTCCGTGATTTTTGTAATAGAATCTTTTAGTAGGGGGGGTCGCGTTTTATGGGTCAGCTCGTAAGTTTAAGAGGTTATAAATAAGTAAAGTTAATAGCTTCGTTTGTTACCGGGGAGAGTAAAAACTACAAAAGAGCATTCAGATGGGTGCTCTTGCGAGGTGGCATCATGTGGTAGATAGTGGCTAATTAAGCACTAATTATTTTAATGGGAAATCTGGAGCGAAAAGGTGTCGAAACCCTATTATCGTACGTGTAAGTGTCGGCATATTCCCAATGGGACGAATGCCATAATGTATCTATGGGAATTACGTATGGAAGAATGGACTGGGAGATCTGCCTCCCTACAGGAAGATTTTCTATGGGAAACTGTTCCCTATTTAGGGGTCAGACACGTGGAGAAAACCCGGAAAAGGCCAGCGCTCGAACCCTCAACCAACTACTTCAGTGGTTTATGGTACCCCTGGAAGAATGTCCGCTTTGTTATCATATATAACGTGGCTTCTTTTATGGTGATAATTTGAATGTCGTATTGATTGAAATTATGTATGGGTGTGTGTACCATCACGTAATGTGATTCTGATGATCGAAATCGTGAAGATAATGCAAATTACCCGAACCCGTGGCTCTATTTCAAATTCCTAACACGAGAAAATGGTTTAATTGTATAATATAAACGTGAAATTCTCCGACCTGAAAAAAAATTCGAAGTGAGGAACTTGATACAGCGTGGTCCAATTTAAAAGAATCGAAACCACGCGGAAAATTTTCTATTTAAATCTTCATACCAATGTCTCTTCGCCATATCCTATTTTAGCCGGTCACGTGACGCGATCCTTTCGTCATATTTTTCGAGTTTATTCCGGTCTCCTTCCCTAAAAACTGGGCGATCATGTTATACTCGATGGGAGGCCACTCCTCAGAGGCCCATGTCAGATATTTTTATCCCAGTCTGCTGCGGCTGTCTTATCGACGATGACAACTTCTTCTCTGTGTTTGTTGATGCTGTCGGCGGGCACGCGCCGAACTTTGACACCGTCTGTCCAGAATATTAACCTCTTCTAGGGGAGGAAAAAGTAAAAAACAAAAAAGAATCTAATAAATTGTGTCTAGTGCCACTCGAGCCATTTGTTTGGGTAAACTGACCGATTAAAGGGGTCAACAGGTGTAGCGTATGAAAGTGGTTACGGATCGCGCGGGGTTAAAGTTCATATTAAATGCTGTATTTTGTTTTGCCCCCTGTGACGTTTTTAAATTTATTTATTTGATTGTTTTTCAGGTTGTGGATCTGCTCAATCGATGTACCTGTCCTTCGCAGTTTCCTATGATTCGGGTGGCGGATGGCAAGTACAGGATTGGAGACACCAAAGTGCTCATCTTCGTTAGGGTAGGTCACGTTTATTTTTCGAATTTCTTACAAGATTAACGCGAGCGTAACACACAAGAATGTTAATGTATTACGCGCGACGATACGCAAAAGGGTAGTGATAAGTATTGTAAATCATACGCAGGTACTTATCGGTTGATACTTAGGTATGTTGCACCTGTAAGCTGCTGTTTTCCCATCTGTGATAACAGCCTACAAGTTCAATTCCAGTTGCATGACGGGGTATTTCTTCTTTCTTTTTTGTTTTTCTTTTATTAGAACACATCCCGTCGTGCAGCTGGTTAAACTTTTGTCACAGATTAGAATAGAAGTCCTGTACAGATGGACGTGTACACGATTTCCTGGTGAGCGCGTGCTTTTCTCCTGTAAAGGTACAGGTGTGCTTACACTCGAAAAATCATTTCTAGCTCGAGCGTTTCGGTTTCTTAATCATAAAATAAACGAAATTCCAGTTTTTTTTTTTCAAGTGTTTGCTAACACGAATATTTCAGATTCCATTGTTACCTGGTGTGCAGCAGAATGTTCAATGCTCCGTGATACAGTTCCATTCGTTGGTAGTAGAATCAGCAGGCATTTAGTGGGCCAGATGTCAAAAAATAGGGATTTTAGAACGAGTCGTTTATTTGTGTTGTTTCTCTTACAGATTTTAAGAAATCACGTGATGGTGAGAGTAGGCGGAGGCTGGGACACCCTGGAGCACTACCTAGACAAACACGACCCGTGCAGGTGTCGTTCGGGTGAGTTCACGCATTGTTTAACAATCGGGATCGGGTGACATTTACGACTTTCGACTGAGCCTTAATTGTTTCGTTTACCTTTTTTTTCTTACGCAGGCCACAGGTTTTCGACCTCGGCCAAGCTGAGCATGTCGCCTGGTAAATACGGCCCCCAGATGCAGGTCACGTATAACAGGTGAGATCACGTTTCACCAATTGTGACAGGTGTAGTGTGTTTACATATCGAATGCTCACGAAAATCTGCTCCTCTTTTCAGATCGACCACACCAGGCCTGGGCAGGGGCGACAAACCAGCAAGCGTTCCGACATCTCCCCAAGTTCGTAGAAGATCTTCACATCAGGAAATGGACAACCGAGATTATCCAGTTCGGGGTCCTTCCCGAAATTCCCATTGCAGCGACGATTCTTCGGCTTCCAGCACCAGCGTCCACACTAGGGACGACAGCCCCACGCCACGAATCAAGACCAACGGTTGCCCCCACCCCATGTCAGCCGAAAGCTCTTCGGAAGTGTCCGAAGGCGAGGGTCGCACTCAGGGAAGGCGTAGAAGCGTGCCTCGAAAGATCAGCAGAGGGAGCGCCGATTACGAAGAGGACCACCTGAATTGGAGGTACTCTCAGGGCTCTAGACCGTCCTCTCAAGACGCTAGTTCCATCGAAGAGCTCAGTCACTACACGGGTCGAAGGCGCTCCACCTGCGACGATAACGATGCAAAGATATTCAAATCTCGCATACCCTGCTTGGATCCCCCCGCCCGGAAGCTCTCCTGCTACCAGAAAGCTCAGAGTTCGGAGGACCTGTATACCATTAGCTACGGTGGGCGTAGATCGGATCACCACTACAACAGCTACTCCAGAGGGGCATCCCCCAACCAGAGTCCAGTTAAGGGTAGGAGGGCATCGACGGGTACCGGTTCAATGCCCAGGAGCCAGTCGCAGACATACGACGAGCTCGACGACAACCCCGTCCTGTCCAGACAGGGCCCGGGCCGGTACTCGTGCCGAAATCTCAGAATGACCGAGCAGCGACCGAAGGTGGAAACGGGCAACAAGACGTGGACCTTCAGGCAGCGCTCCCCGCGCCCCAGCGTTGTCAGGGAGACGTACAGGCCACGGAAGAGTCCCGCAACCACCCCCAAAGTGCGTTCCCCCGAAAACCCCACCATAGCGGTGAGCAGCCCGGCGAGGTCCAAGCAGATATCACCCCTACTCGAAGAGATGCTGAGGGACGATAACTTGGACTCGGACGAGAAGATCCTCGAGAGGATGGAGCTGCTCATCAATCAGTACAAGAAAAAGGTGGAGAACGGGAAACCGGGACTGGAAGACGAAAGCGATCAGCGAAATTACTCCCCTCGCAAGGACTCGATGGGAATGTCGCCATCCAAGATACCTCTACGAACTTGGCGCAATTGAGATGCCTCATAAAATGCCTCGACAATCCCATTAAGAAAAAAAAAAAAAGAAATAATCCATTTCTTTCGTTTAACCGGTTGTGATCCGAAAAATACGCTAGGTGTTGCTCTCCACTGACCTTTATTTTCCTCCTCTTCTTCCTCCACCTCCTGCTCCTACTCTTCCTCCACTAATAAACAAGTAGCCATGCCATCCGTCGAGCTTCTGTGATGAATTAGTACCTGCTAAGAAGCAAAAAAAATAAAACTATTTTTCTTTCAGAAAATGCAGTAAAGTTTACAAGAAAAAAAACGCGAAACAGTAGGGGGTGCGGGGGTGCATGATCGCTAAACAACGACTCGATGCTCCCTTTTACACCCTTCGTCTATGTGAATAGCCCCAACGTTGCAACGTGCGTTAATGAAGTAACTCACATTCCATTTTTTGATAATTAGCGTGTGGGGGAGCTAAACAAGCCCATTGTGTTTAGTCCCGACCACACGAGTAAACAAAAGGAACCATTTTTTTGCATAATTTTCGAGAACAAAACGTGTTACGACAGGAAAACGAGCGAGAGAGAGATAGAGAGAGGATGCCATTCGATGATTTCGCATGTTTCTTTTGCCAAAAAATAATAAGTATGAATGGTTGATGTACATTTGTGCAATGTTAAACCGTACATGATTGGTTTCTTTTTTAAATCTTTTGTTTTCGTGTACGTAACGAACGTAACCGAATTAGTAACGTTGTATGAGAAGTTTTTTAAACAACAGGAAAAAAAAGCACACACACACACATTCCGTTGGGTAAAGTTAACGAAGGTAAGGTACCCAAATTCTGTTAACATATGCGTAACATATCCTAAATTTCGAAGCTTAATCAAAATCAAAGTAACGTCACGGATTAGTTAAATATGTTAAAATGGTGAGCCGGTGTGTGTTTTTCAATGCCACGTGACTGTCAACCCTCTGTTACGTTTGTTTGGTACGTATCTGTGATAGGTGCCTTACCTTCTGAAGCTGTTACTGATCGGTTTCAACAACAAAAAATGGACATTTACAAGGTTTTTTCGCTATTATACATAAGTTGTTACGATCAAAATGTTTTCAACTAGTCAATTTTTGATGAGTAGTGTTAATAACGAAATTTTTGGAAGATTTTTCAAATGGGACGTAACTGTTTCAAGCCACTTTTTTTGTGTTTATATATATATATATATATATATGAAATGCCTGTTACCGAAGAGATGACGATGATGATGATGATGATAAGAATGAAGATGATTGAAAAGTTTGTGTGTAATAACAAAAAAAAACAGCAAAAAAATAGGACTAACTGTAATGTTGTATATTAGCGTTGTAACATTTTGCGAAAAAAAACAATAAAATAAAAAAATAAAGCGAATGTTTCTTGTTACGTTTTCCTTTTATACGTGGTTAAAAGGTTTAATGGTTGGAAAATTAGAGTTTCTGGCGAGTTCTTAGCGAGGTTGCGGCCGAAGTTTTCATCTCTAAAACGTGAACGTAGAACGTAAACGTGAACGTCGAACGTCGAGCGGCGCTCGACGTTCGATGTTCACGTTTACGTTCGACGTTCACGTTTACGTTCTACGTTCACGTTTTAGAGATGAAAACTTCGGCCGCAACCTGGCTCTTGTTTAGAAAAGATGTTACGCCGATTCTATAAAGTTACGTAAACGTGTTTTAACGCTTACGAGTGGAAAAAATGGCGCTAAAATCGGTTACTTTTTCCGGTAACGTAACACACGCGCACACACACAAAAAAACGGGATTTAAGCGCCCAAAAAAAGTGGATCTGTACCGAAGATTTACGAGAGAAATTGCATAAAATTCATTCGTTAAAAAAGCAACATTTTCGTAACGAATCGAGCGTTACGCAAATCAATTTTAACATGAAAAAAAAGGTGTCTTTGTTGTCTTTTAGATCCTCAATTTTTTCAATTACTGATCCATCATTGATCCACACACAGAAACAGAGCGAAATTTGAATTACGCGTAACCGTTTCTTCCAATTACACTCGGTTTTACGCGTTTTTACATGGAAATAAATCTTTAAAAAAGTCGGTTTAACGAACTGAGAAGAAGTAAAATTCAAAATGTCCGTGACATTTTTTTAATATAAACGGATAACTTTCAATTGAACACTTGAAATTAGTTCAGAAAAAAACGAAGCTATAAAAAGAAAAAAGAAAAGAAAAAATAAATTGCAGCATTCGGTGCGAATAACCTAGAACTTTTGTTAAAATGTAGGAAAAGTTAATTGAAGCATGGCCTTCGCTCTAGAAAACAGTCACAACCATTGATAATCTGGAGAGAAGTACAATTTGACACCGGAATGACCCACACAATTCGAACGAAAACAAACTTAACCCCGAAAAAACTTTCATTTGTTTATATAGGTTAGTAGGGTCCAAACCTTATAAGGATCATAATGGATTATGGAAGAGGAGCGTATAAAAAAAAAAATAATAATAATAATAACGCGAGCGCCAACTTTCCCCTTGGCCCATTAAAATGGATAGAAAGTTCGTAGGTCGAGTGAAAGTCGTCAACCGGCAACACCTGCGATACACGCGAGCCCTTCGACGACCTTCAAAATGCCGACCGGAATCATGACCAAATTTGAGCAATGAGCACATCGACACGAACATAAAAATGCATCTGCTATCCATTAATGTCTGTTGCACGCGCTGTTCAATTGCTTTTACACTCCAAAATTGCACAGTTTCTTTTGATGTGAGATAACGTTGATAGGGCAACACGCGCGAAAGGTTTTGTTGGTTTTTTTTGTGATTTATGTCCATCCTCTTTTGCACTGTGCTGAATGGTTACCCTATAGGGGTTCTTCTTCTAGAGTAACACTAAGCAAAATAGAGTGTTTAGTATACTCTACAGCTAAGCGGAATAGTGGTTTAATTCGTTGCCCTATAGGGTATCACTAGAAGACCTGTAGGGTACTCATTATTTCCATCAGAGTAACCTCAAATGTTTTGCTTGATTGAGCAGCTTAATCTGCACAATTCGAGTACGATGTTCAAGGGATAAATTGAACAAAAGAGTTATTTTTAATCAAGCAAAACGCCCGGTTAAATCTATCTTTTGCAATTCGAAAACCTTGATCGAAAAACAGAATAACCTTGAGCACGATCGAATGATGATCAAACCGAATGCAAAATGTATTTCACGCCATCGGGCGCTACAAATAAAGAGTAGATTTAATTTTGGGGCGCTTACACTACTAGATTTTAAAAAAACCGTCCAAGAAAAACCCCCTAAAGCGAGCCCCTAACCATCATTTGTAAAGAAGGTATCTAGCGTAGTATCATTAATTCCTTAATTGATCCACGTCTTCAATGATCTTCGCTGAACTGGGGGAGAAGGGAAGACCTCAAAAAAGGATCAAGGATAGAAGAAAAAAATAAAAATAAAAAAATATATATATAGAAAGCAATGCATCCCCTCACGCTGCGGGCAACATCTCCACCCTAATTCTCCAGTTGGGTTGATCTGATCCAAGCAGACCCGCCTCGCTGCGTAGGTTGCAGGTATTTTGTAGATAACCTAGTAATAGGGAGCGGGTAGGGTGCCCACTCGATAACAACGGATAGACGGTTCCATTCTAGAAAAACGTTTGTCTTTATTGTGGGTACTAACTGCACCTCGTCGTTTCATCTACCTATACAATTTCCTGTTCTTTCAATCTAGTTATGAATTTTTATAAGAGAGGAAGTTAACGCAACCTATTTAAGACCTGGAGGGCTCGAAAGGGGGGTTGCTGCAGGAAAGTTACAAAAATTAAGTCACGTGCCGTCATCCATCCACACTGAATGGGCGAGTAATGTGACCTTTTTTAGTCAGAAACGCTGTGTTTAATGCCCCTTCGTTCATAAACTTCGATGGGAATTATGGCGCAAATTATGAAATTTGTTCGTTTCGATCAATTCCGTCCAAACGAGATTCAAAATTTCGATTTTCGATCCCTCCCGTGTTGATAAACAGAATTAAAAGACTCGAATTTTACATTGAATTCCTAATTATTTCCGTTTGAATTCAGATGATCTTGATCGATCAGGAAGCTCGATCGGTCAAATGAAACTAATAGCATGAAGAAGATCTGGAGATTCGATTAATCAATCCACAAAGCACTTTCGTGCGATCGATCTGACGAAACTGCTTCGATTTTCAATCGAGATAAAATGGACAATTTTGTAATTCATCCCCCTTCCTTATAGCTCATTCACTCGATTGTATGAAAATCGATCTCTTGATTGATCGCTTGATGACTCAATTACTCATCGAAATCGATTTCGATCGCACAAAACTTATCTCGATTCATCTCTAAATTCGACTTAGTTCTTGAAATTGCTTCGATTTTAAATCGAGATCGATCGGACCTTTTCAGCTCATTCTATCGATCGATCGAAAGAAACTGATCTTGACCGATCGCATAAAAGAAAACAAACTCATGACTCGACCGATCATCTCCAAATTCGAATTGCTGCAGCAAGGAAACTCGATGATCTCGATAATTTTTAATCGAGATCGATCGAACAGTATTGCAGCTCTCTAGATATTGAATCAACTCGTTAATACTCGATCAAGTTCTGAGCGATAAACGTGAGAAATCGATCAGAGAACGGGATTAATGACACGATCGACACCAAGAACGATTAGCGAGGACGATGTCCTAAGCCAATCTTCTCTCCAGCTGAGAAAAAGTAAAGAGTATACACTACAGAAGCAACTGGTGTGGAAACTTGGCCCAAGAGAAAGTCATTTGTTACTATGGTAGCACGAGGATAGTTTATGCTACTTCACACGCTCGAAGAAAAGAACACAAGTCGTGAACCTTTGTCCCTACCGAGAGTGGAGAAGTGGATCAGTTATTGAGACATATCTGATGGTGTACAAAGTGGAATATTGTTAAACTTCCTTTCTGCTTTGTCTAACACCATAACATAGAAACACTCTTACGTGCATGATCAACGGTGCGAAACCGTAACGGTATATCGAAGCAACGACAGTTTAACGGTCTATAACGAAGCGTAAACAAAGAAATTAACTATTTAACGCGTATGATGCTAAGTAATTTAAAAGATTTTACTTTCCAAAAACCGTCCTCCTTTCCCCCCTCTCTACTTCTTTTACTTTTTGCTAATGAATCCTTGACCCCGGAGGACCATAGATTTGTCAATAAATATCTTAACTGTCGAGGAAAGTCTTTGACCGAGACTACACAGGAATATAAATGAGTACGTTTCCATGATAAAATGTGGGTTAGAATAAGATTAAGAGGTTCTTGTGTCCTTCCAAATAAAGGTTCGAGGTGTTGCCTCTATCTATATTCTTTCACCTCACCGGTTTTGGGCATTAACCCCTTTGCGTAAGTGAAATTTCTGGACGTTTTTGGTAGCGGTGGCATTTTCAAAATGCATCCTTTTGTCTTGATAATAGTGTAGTCACCTTGACATAAGTTGACAATTGTTGCGTGTTACAAATAAAAAAAAAAAAGAATTTCGTTTGCCATACTTGAAAAATCAATTCCTTGTTGAGAAATAAAACATTCGTGTTAAGAATTGTGGAATGATTTTCCAAATTTGGTAGTATCTCTGCTATCTCTGCCATGCCAAATTGGCTTTAAAGCTCGCGTGTCTTGCACAAGATACGCTACCAAATTAAGATAAACACTACCCCGGATTGAAAAATTAATATTTACAATTTAGCTGCGGGGGTCAAGAAATTCAATTTTGGGTATTAAATCATCGTGGTAATCGTAAATCATTTAGTTTTCACCTTATTGTCTCGGGTGGCACACCCTTATTGTCTCATTCTTCAAATCCCCTTTGCAGAGGGTTTGAAGAATGAGACAATAAGGGGTGCCACCCGAGGAATTTTCTACAGGAAATTGGCCATATTCAGGTGTTAGACAAATGAAAACAAGAAAAGCCACCTGGTCAGGCACCAACTTATCAGTCTTATCTACTATGCCACCAATGGACCCCCTTTGCAAAGGAAGAAACTCAAGATAATTACCCCTTTGCAAAGGGATAAAAACCGATTTTTCTGTAATTAAAGCTCAAGAAAAGCGTTTCCAACCCCTCCACTTCTATAATGTTACAAATTTTGCATGCAAGGAAAGCAATTCCTTATTAATTCTCTAAATCAATTTCTAAAAATTGCTGTATTTTGTGAGCAGTTGAGTGAAGGGGAGGGAGGGAGAAAAAGAAATAG